TCACCTCTTACTTCTCTCTTCTCAAACCAATTCATTCTCTCTCTCTCTCTCAATCTCTCTCTCAAACTCTCTCTCAAACTCTCTCTCAAACTCTCTCTCAAACTCTCAAACTCTCAAACTCTCTCAAACTCTCTCTCTCTCTCTCAACACACACACACTCTTCTCTCTCTTCTCTCTGTCTCTGTCATCCATCCATTCGACAGTGCGTCGGGGACCTGGACGGCACCACTTGTTCAAGTCTTGATTGATTGAAGGATTGCAAACAGGTGAGGGTGGGGGAGGGGCAGCCAGGCAAACGTGTGCACCATGGCGGCGCCCGCGCTCAAGCTGCCAAAGAAGACAAACGTCGAGTATCGCATTCGGCTGAAGGTAAATGTGGGCTGCCCTTGTGCGTGTTGGCCTCCTCGCCACGTGGCCATGCGCACCGACTCATCTGTGAACCACCCGGCGCTTCGACCCCGGTCTCGCCTTGATAGCGACGTGAACAAGACTGGGATGCCGTCCAAGAGCTTTTGCAGGAAAAAGCCGCGCGCAAGCAGGTCTGGCCCCTGCCCCCGGGTCCTACCGCCCTGCCTTTTTCATGGAACAGGCCCACCAGGTCATGAGACCAGCCGTCCAATGCGCCTCACAAACTCTCTTGGCCGGACTTGATTAGCATGGCGTGCGAACACAACTGGAGCGCGCCGTAACCGCTGAGCGAAAGAAATCACTGCAGCTCTTTCATACCAATGCCAAGCGGTAAGCTGGCGGTCGTTTCTGGATGATCCAATGCGACTTGAGGGCTGCGAGCCCCTCTGGGATGTCGAGGTGCAACCATGACTCAGCTGAGACCCTACCACAACCACTGCTACCTCCTCAGGGCAAGCAAGGCCGGAGATGAAGACAAAGCCAAGACGCTTGAAACGCGGCGCTCCGCTCTGCTTGAGTACAGCGCGGAGCAGTTGTGTGCCCTCGTTCTTGGTGAAGCTGAAAAGCCCACGGCAGCCCCCATCCAGGCCGCACTTCAACGCTTCACGGGCAACAAAACCATCAAGGTATCAGCTTATACCTCTCTTTGGCACTGCCCCCTTGCTCCATCCCTTCTCCCCTTTCCTTTTCCTTTTCCTCCTCCTCCTCCTCCTCCTCCTCCTCCTGGGTATTTCCTGATCCGCCCGAGCGAGCATGTGTACATTGCACCATCTTTCACGGTTGTCACCTTTTTGTTTCAGGACCTGTTGCAACAGTATCGTGTGGCGGGCATGGCAGCCACCCCAGCCGTGCTGGAAGTTGCCGTGCAAAAAATGAAGACCGAGGCAGAGGAGCAGGCTGCGGCCAAGGCCATGGCTCGGAAAAACAAGGGCCGAAACAACAAAGCAACAGATGAAGCGAGCAGCAACGCCCCGTCTGATCTCAGCGCGGCTGCTGATCAGGTTGATTATCAGGAAGAACCAATGACCGACAGCGACGGGGAAGGCCAGATGGGACATTTCGACTCAAAGTCGTGGAGTCAAATGGTGGACAGCGTGGGCCATGCCAGCGACGACGATGATAGCGACGATGACGAGGCTGAGCTGGCGCAGATGCGCGCCGATCTCGCCGCTGCTGAGAAGCAACAGGTTGGTGCTTGGCGTGAAGTACCACCTCATGTGCAGATAACTTGTGGCCCTTCGCTTCCTCAAGAACGGGTCATGTTCGCGTGTCCTTGTCCCGCAACATTTGCCCCCAATTTCCTCTTCCCTCCCGCTGACACATTCACTCTGGCCTGCCTGCGGCTTGTTGGGTGGGGGTTTCATGCCGCTAGAAAAAGAAGAAAAATCGACTGGGGCAGCGAGCACGGCAGATGCTCGCTGAGCGCAAGTATGGCAATGATGCGCGTCATAAAAAGGACCCGAGCAAGGATGCCAATCTGCGCCAACAGAAGCAAAGAGAAAAGGCGCAGCAAGACCGGCGACGCGCACGACAGGAAGATCGAGGATCGAGCCGGTCCCGAAATGGAGGTGAAACTACGGCTGGGCGCCAACCGCGCTCGCGCGGGTCCGGTGGAAGCACGTCGTCGGCCGCTGCACCAGCAGAGCCCGTTCATCCGTCATGGCAAGCCAAGCAAATGCAGAAGCGCCAGGCCGTGGAGATTGGGGCTTTTTCAGGGAAAAAGATCAAGTTTGATGACTGAAAAGTGCTTGTCCATTTATTCTTTTTTTCTTTTTTTTTTTTCTCTCCTGACCCAGACCGTGGTGCGCTGCTTGTTGGTCAAATGGTGCACATTTTCAAATCGAGTATACCCAAACAGCAATGTTGTTCCCTGGTTGAGCGAAGGCAATGAAGTGATGACGAGATTCATTGACAAACGCTTTCGGCCACGTTGAGTTCTCGCTTGTGGGAAAGACTCCGAGCGAGTCGCGAGCACAAGGGCGAACAGCACAGGTCAGAGAAAAAGAAAAGAATGATAAAAGAAATTTTGAGTGGACCTCGTGAAAAGAGGATGCGGTAGCGACGCCTCGGCAGCATAAACCAAGTTGCAAGCGACGTCTAGACCATCGGGATCTTGATGGGGTGCAAGACAAAAAGATACTAAGCAGTTTTACTTGCAGACAATTTCTGAAGCTTGGCCTCAACGGCAGCTAAGCGGTAGGGAAGGAGAACGGCACCAGCAAAGTGAGAAGAATGATAAACTCGACATATGGGGGGCGACGAATCTGGGGTCGGAGCAGACAGGACACACCAAGGTCTTCTGCGGTAAGTTTGAGCTTGGGAAGCGAGTTATCGACGTATTCAATGTAGGCCACCTGCGCGCTATCTGGTTTGCGAAAGCCGGCCTTCATGATACGGGTGTATCCGCCAGGACGATCAGCAAAGCGCTTGGCCAGCTCATCTTTCAGTTTGGTCTTGAGGCTTTGGTCCTGTGCAAAGCAAGGTGGCAATGGAGATACCGCGAACGTGAGAACAGATCATGATGAACCACGACACGGGCCCGGATGGCGCGATGCATAATTTTGAGGGGTCAAAGGGGATGGGCAAGCAAAAACTCTGCCGCCACGCACGAAGAGGAAGCTCTGAATGCTGCGATCTGCGTGTGGTGTATTCTTCTTGGCAAGAGTGATGAGCTAGATGGGCAAAGGAGGTGCGGGAAATGCGTGAGGGGAAGATGGAAAGCAAGGCGGCTACTCGAGTCCTTCCCGCTCCGACCGAGAGGTGTCTGCAAACCTGCTCGGCGGGGCGGCGCAGCTCCTTGGCCTTGGCCAAGGTAGTTTTGATGCGCTCATGGCGAATCAGTGAATCGGTAAGGTTGCGCAGCAGGGCTCGGCGGTGGGCTGAGCCGCGTCCCAAGCGCCGGAACGCCTTGCCGTGACGCATTCTTGCTGTGACAAAGTATCAAGACGAGCACGCAAACACCGACACGACAACGTCCACCAACGCACAGCAACTCTGTGACACCCAACGCTGACCGTCAAGCAAGGCACTGCGTTGCTCGCACCGCGCTGCCACTGCCGAAATGAACTGAAAAAAAAAAAAAAAAGAGAAAAAAAAAAGCGTTTGCCCACGCGTTGCTGCCGGGGAAAAATAAAATGGTCACTGCTTTCGCTTTTTACCCTTTGCCCTTTTGGATTTTTGGGGAGTTTTTGATCTTTTTTTGACCTTTTTTGACCTTTTTTTCTTTTTTTTTAAATGGCTTTGTGGCTTTGGGTGATCCACACTCTCGCACGCGCACACGCGGATCTTAACCTATGCTCTAATTCACGCTCATCGGGCCGTGATGCTCATCTGATCAACAAACCAACGCGGCCTGAAGCGGCCCTGTGAACCAATGTGCCCCTTTCAACCAATGCGACCCCCCAAGTCTGACCCACTGCCTTTACGCAAGAAACAACAGAGACAAACAACAATCGTGGCAGCTCGACATGCTCCCAGCACGTTGGATGAATGGCATTGAAACACACTGAAGCAAAGCCCATACCAGCTCTACTCGCCCCCGCCCTCGTCTCGCTCTGCCTCTCTACTCAGCACCCTTCCCGCGTTGCTTGCTTCCCTAACGTAATCCTGAGCTGTAAATTTGATGACATTTATTGCTGACACATTGGCCAGAGACCCAGTGGAACGGGCGAAGCCAAGTCAGAGGGAGGAAGACGCAGTCATTCGAACCAAGTCAATCTCAAGGAGATTTCAGTAACCGTCGAGAGAGTCTGGCCATTTCTGCCCGGCTTCTAGAGAAGCGAAGCAGGGTGCAATAACAGTGATAACACGGCTGCTGGACGACTCGAAGCGGCATCCTTCCCTCCCGCTGCACTGCAGAGGCCGGTACTCGCCGCGGTTGACGGCGCCTTGGCGCTTGGATCGTGCGCAGGTGGGCGGCGTTCAGAGGATAGGTGATTGATGTGTGGATGGGTCTGGTCGTCGCTAGGCCCGCCCCCGCGCCGACCATCCAGGACACACCGATTGACAAGCGCCTGAGCTAAGTTGGACACACTAGCTGACGCCTCTCCCTCTCTCTCTCCCTCTCTCTCTCTCTCCCTCTCTCTCTCTCTCCCCCTCTCTCTCAGTGCCGGTGCATGCAGGCATGACTGCGGCGCGCGCCATGACCACAGTCACGGCCACTGAGGCGAGTGACCCAACACTCAACCACAAGCAGACGGCGCTAAAAGGCTCTCACCACAGCGGAGTCCGCGCTTCCCTGCAAAACCCCGCTTCTGAAGCGCCCTTCCGTGAGCGGCCAGTCTGCCCCGGCACCTGGGCCCCCTCACGCGGCTGTTGCAAACTCCAGAGCTCCCCCCTGGGACGCTGGCGGCACCGTCTACTTCAACGCCCCGCATGGCCCAGCCCTGCCCTATCATCCGAACAACCTTGGCACTATGGCCCTGCCCCCGGGCTATGATCTCTACGCCACTCAGCATGCTCTTTTAGCAACCTCGCCGGGCTTCCCCCTGTCGGGCCCGCCGCCGTACGGCTACCCGACCACGCCCGAGGCCAATAATTACAACCCCTGGCCCGTGCCCGGACTCGGCCTGCCCACCCCAGCCTCCCCGAGCCTGGGCTTGGCTTCAAACGGTTTCCCGCCAACCCCGACCATGATCGTGAACGAGACGCGATCTCACATTGCATCCACCCCGAGCAGCAACACGAATGGACCGTCACCTGGACCTGGCGGCTACATGCTTCATTCCTACCCACACGCCCTCCACGCCAGTTCGGCGTACCCGGGCACGCCCGAGCAAGGCAGCTTCTGGGCTCCTCCGCCCGAAACCTCAGAGCCGTTTCTACATGCTTTCACCGGTCAAGCACCCCCCCTGTCCGCCAACGGCATGCCCCTCGCCCCCTACCCACACCCGTACGCGCACGGCAACGGCAACGGCCCGCAGCCCGTGCATCCACAAAACGCATACCACGGCCCGCCCTTCCATCACCCTCAGCACTTGCAGCAGCCTCACCAGCACTACCACGGACCCCAGGCTCCACAGCCTTACCATCAGACCGCCTTCCCAGTGCCCTCGGCGGGCCCCACGGCATACCAAACACAGCCCTATCAACGAGCCATGCCGCCTGCAATCCCATCTCCTCATCCGTCCAGTACCCGCACCCCGCCCTCGGCCACCGCTTTAAAGCTTCAACCCCCACCCAAAGGCAGACACACCCATACGCCCCCCTCGTCGTCCATCTCTGCGCCCGCGCCCCCTGCAAGCCCCGCGTCGTCAATATCCCATCCAACTCTGCCCGATGGACCCCGGCCCAATGGACCCCTGCCCTCGGCCGAGCCCTCGGCGAGTACCTCAACTGTCGCTTTTTCACAGCACCCGACAGTTTTGGCCGCCATGTATCCGGTTCGTGCCGATGCAGATAGTACCTGGCCTCCAACAGGCTCTAGTCAGCACCAACGTGCCGGAACAGGCCTCAACACCGTCCACGACCCGCCACCACCCACCTCTGTCGCCAATGCGCCTCCCTCCGTCCCCACCGACCAGGCCTCAGAGGCCTCGACACAGGAACAGGTGGAGTCGCACGGCCCTGCAACCAAGCCCTCTCCGTCAGACCGCAGCGGCACACCGCCAAATGTGCAGCAGCAACGAGCCCGTGCCATGCTCGAGCTGCGCAAGGCACAAGCTAGCCGCGCCGCTCAAGATTGGATGCAAGCTCATCAACGACCACCCGTTCGAACGGCCCAGCACGAAGCAAGCCGGCCACCCATGCCACACAGCTATCGACAACAGCGTCCCAGCGCCATGGTAAATGGGTCCCATCACCACTCGACACCTGCCGTCAAGCAGCTCGCCGCACAGAGCGATTCAGGTCTAGATCCCGCAACCCCTACGTCCACCGCTGCCACAGCACTTCTTCCCACCGAGGCCGCCGATACAACCTCGTCAGTGTTTGAAGCTTCAGTTCTAGCCACTATTGAGGCCGCCACTGATTCGGGCACCACAGACCCGCAACTCGTGGTGCCGAGTCCAGCCCCCGTAGCGCCTGCTCCTATCCATGAGCTTCCAGATGCCGCGCTTCTCTGTCTGCAAGCTGATGCCTGTGCGACGCTTGATGAGATGCTGGACTGGTGTGACATCCCAAGCCATCTGAGGGCTGCACACGACTCTGAGCAAGATGCCCAAGTGCACCCGCACTTGGGCCGACGATTGTTCACCATTGACAACCCCGTACTCAACAAGCCCTCCACGGACGTCAACGGGTTTGTCCCCTTTCTGTGTTCTTGTTCCGATGCCCTTTTCCCTGCTTTTTATTTTTGCGTGATGGCCATCATCTTCGTACCTGGCCTCACCATCATGGATTCTGCCTACGCACACGACACATGGGTGTCATAGAATTTTGGAGCTATTGCACGAGATTGAGACTCCCGCGCCCGTTTCTGCCGAAGAGGCAACGGCCGAGGCATCGGCAGGGGGGCTTTCCGATACTGTCTCGTCATCGCACCGCAGCACTCGAACGATGGTAAGTGCAAAACACCTTCACCTCTCTTCTCGCCGACAACGTCATCTGACTGCAGCTGCCCGTGCAAACCCCAACAACAGGATGGTACTTCCCGAGGCCGCTCCAACCCGCACCCGCCCGTGTTTCAACCAGACCAGACTTTCATGCGGCAGCAACCTGTCTGGGTGCAAGGCAAGGCTCCTCTGGCCCAAGTGCTCAATGCTTCATAGCCTCCGGTTCGATTTTTGATTTTTTTTTTTTTTCGGTGTTTCTATTCTGACCGCTCCGAGAGACTACCAGCACCCTTTGTCTCGGGATCTGGCTGCGCACTCGTCGGTGCTTTTGACCACTGTCTGCTGCGCACTTGAACCTCGGGGCCTGGACTGACACTTTCTCCTTTTTCTCTCTTTTCTATTTTCTATTCTTCCTTTTCTTTTTCTTTTTCTTTTGCTTTTTCTTTCCAATGCGATCCGATCCTGCGCACGCCTGGCGTGTCCGGTTTGTGCCACAGCTCATCACCTTTGGAATTTACGAGTTTGTATTGAAGAACCAGTCTGATTTTCCTGCCCGAGGCGCCACCTCGAACAGCATAACCAAAGCGGGTCGGACACATTTGTTGACGAACGCAGTGAGATGTGCTGCGGTTCAGCTCGGCACTTAATGTAGCAATTATAAATATTATTGCAGCTTTCCAGGTTTAGACGTGATAATACCATTACGATAAAGTATCAGTTTATGCAGTACTTATCGCTACTTTTGTGCCGTGCACTTTTTATTTTGTTGTTGAGCTGGACTTGATCGAATCAGTGACGGGCAACGAGGAGTGAGACGCCAGCAGGCAGGCCGAGCACAGCAGTGCGGGGCGAGCGGGTGTCGCCTGACCACAAGCATCCTGCTCAAGAAGCGAGGGCGTTTTGTTTTTTCTCGCCAAGATCATGCCGACCATCATCTTTTCTGCCTATCTCACGAAGCAAGGTCTGACCCCGTCCCGCCCCCCTTGTCGCTCGCCACCGTCTCCTTCTTCAGGGCTGGCTGCACTGGCTGCTGTCCGTGGCCCTGACCCGTACCAGTCTATGGAATGCTCTTTTCTCCATTGTTTCTTGATCATACATGGCTGGGCTACAAGCCAAGCCCTGCGTGCGGCTCTGTCCTCGCCATGGTAGCTGGTCACAGTCCATTCACGCATTTGTGGGTGGGTTTTTGCATGTGTGTGCATCGGGTAGGTGCTGTTCGCAAGAGCTGGCGCAAGCGCTGGTTCGTGCTCGACAGTCATGGCAAGCTATCGGTACGTATGTGCCCAAGATACCTCGCTTCATATGCCCACGAACCTGATGCGGCGTGCGGCCTCGGGCTGATGCTGCGCATGTTTGATGCACCATAGTACTACAGTGGACAGCACTCGGACAAGGCAAAGGCATCCATTGATTTGAAACTGGTCAAGGACGTCATCGCCGCCAAGCACTGCGAGGTGTGCGCCTGCCGACCAACAATTGCGATCCTGCCATCTTGGTTCAGCCCACGCCGCTAGGGTCGATCGTTCGGCGGGGGCGCGTATGTGAGGGGGAAGCTTGCAATCGACACCATGGGGCTCTGACAGTCCTGTCTTGACTGCTTTCGGGGGCAACCAATCGGACCCAATAGTGTGCCTGGCCTCAAGGATTCCCACTATCACAAGCCTTTGGTTTGGTGACTGAGACTCGGACCTATCACGTTGGTTGACGAGCGCATGAACCCCAAACGACACCAACGCCTCTGCCCCAGGGGCTGGGCCTTGTGTGGGCCATGTCTTGTGTGTCTCATTGGCCTACCTCGTCTACGACTGCAGATGTATAGCGAAAATGACCTTGAGTTTCTGGACTGGATGCGCTACATTAAGAAGGAGGCGCGGATCGCCCACCCCATCCCAACGGGTGCCCCCGTCACGGATGGCATTACGTCTCAAGTTGTGAGTTGAGCCCCGACTGTGGCATTGGTTGAGCCCAGAGGCGTGCCAGGTCAAGCGCTGGCCCGTTGGCCATGATCGTGACTGGTCTATATATCCGCGCACGGGAACGGTGACCCCTGTCTGCACTGTGATTGGCGCCTCTAGGTGCAAGAGGATCATTTGGGTCGACACAAGAGCGTGGTTCGACTCGCGCATCAGTCCGGGGTGAGCTCTGCAAGCCAGAGCATGACCTTGGTCGGGTTCGAGCAAGCGTTTGGACACTCAACCCGGGTCTTTGCTCGAAATCGTAGGCAGCCGCCGTACCGGCGAGACCAGCGGCGGCGCCCGTAACCGTGGCACCAGCTGCAGACCCAGACCTGAGTGCGAGTGAGTCATCGGGGGATGAATGGGATTGAGGAGGGGGGTGTCTCTCTGAATTCCCGCAGCACCCCTGACTCACAAGCGCAGCTTTTCCCAGCAAAGGTGTTTGCGTTGTCCCATGTATCCATTTGAACGTACTCTCTAAGCGGCTTTCCTGTCTTGATGTTCTGTGTGTGTTCCTCTTCCTCTCGTTTCTGCTTGTTCTTCTTTTTTTTTTCTTCTTTTTGCTGATCAAGACTTGCCTTGATGGGCCTGGCCAATCCATGCCCAAGTACACCCTTTTCCCTACGTGCCGACCCTCTGCCCTCGAATACGCAGTCCCACCCCAAGTCATGCATGGTCGATACGCCATCGCGCACATCAAGCCAGCTACTTGTGCTCTTTCGCTTAAAACCCAACGCCCAAAAGTCTTGCCGAAACCAATACAAAATTTCGCTTTTGCATCTCAAGAACAAAAGAAGTTGGCCAACAGATTCCTTTTGTTCTCTCTCTCTCTCTCTCTCTCTCTCTCTCTCTCTCTCTCTCTCTCTCTCTCTCTCTCTCTCTCTCGTCGTAGCAGATCCAAGCTGGAATGCAGAATGCTTGGTTTTTGTTTTGTTGTGGTCTTTTGTGTACACGTTGATGACAGGTGTGGTTAAAGCCCCTTTGAATGGCTATGCAAGGTGATACATAGGTGTGGGCACTCTACATCTCTGAAGTGTGTGCGAAAATCTGTCCTCACGCCCCCCTCCTTCTTTTCTCTGAATGTCTCTGTTCTCTCTCTTCTCTCTGACTCTCTTCTCTCTGAATGTCTCTCTCTCTCTCTCTCTCTCTCTCTCTCTCTCTCTCTCTCTCTCGGTGTTCAGTGTCAGTGACAGGTCTTCAAAAAGAGATCATTTGGCAGTCGAGATCCGCCGCTTGAAACACTGGAATTCCATTTTCCGTCCCTGGATAGCATTCATCCAAGAGTGTCAAGGCCGTAGTATCAACCTGCCATCATGCCCTGGAAGCCCCCACCCCAACCCAAGTAAGATTGGCAGCAGCTCGCGCTCGCGCCGCCCTTTCCCAACATCGAGATGACTGCAACCCACAACCCGACTGAGTGTTTCTTGTTGTGGTCCGTGGTGTGAGGCTTGCCGAGCCCCGTTGGCTCGCCTCTCAACAGGCCCCGCCACCACCACCACCACCACCACCATCACATCCAAACCCCTTGGTCCATTTGATGTGGTTTTTTTTGTTTTGTTTTTTGACAAGTGGTCGACGCCAAGGCAAATCTGTTTGTGGAGCTGCCTTCTGGCTAGTCTCATGTTGGTCGTTGTTGCTGTATCTTCTTCGGTCACCATTGCGTTTGCTTGCACTGCCAGATGCGCGCGCTGCGAGAAGACGGTGTATCCCACCGAGCAGTTCAAGTGTCTTGACAAGGTGTGCCTGCCGTCATCAGCCTGCAAGCTAAAGAGGCCGAAGGATTTTGGTCAGGCCAACTCATGCTTTTTTCCATCTCGTGGTGAACGAATAGCTCTGGCACCATGGCTGCTTCAACTGCGAGATTTGCCACATCAAGCTCACCATGAGCACGTACCGTGGCTATGAAGGCCAGCCCTACTGCAAGACGTACGCCTTTTGTTTGCTCCCTCCCCCTCGGCAAACGTGCGTCTAACAAGTCACTGATCCTGGACACCTATGCCGGCTGATGGTCCCGTGAGACAGGCACTACCCTCAGGGTAAGGCCACGCAGGTGGCGGATACCCCCGAAACGCTGCGTTTGAAGAAGCAAACCGAGCGTCAGTCCGTCGTTCAATACACCAAGAACTATCAGGCCGAAAAGGGCAAATATGTTGGTGCCGCTGATGACAAGAACATTGCCGTACGTGTCATGTCTGTTTGCACAATGGTCTGCTCGGGGATGCGACCAAGGTCTCAAGTCGGATCGAGACAGATGGGGATTGTGACAGCACGGCCTCCACTGATCAATCGTCATGCCATGCCAACCTGCTTGCTTCGTGGCACTTTGATCTAGTCCGCCCTGTCTAGCCAGAAGAAGGCGTCCAACCTGGGTTATCGCAGTGCCGCCGAGGCCCCGGCACCCACCAAGCCTGCCCCCGCCGCTGCTCCGGCCGCTGCTCCGGCCCCAGCTCCTGCTGCTGCTGCCCCTGCCCCTGCGCCAGCGCCCGAGGCGGCCCCAGCTCCTGCTGCCCCGGCTGTCGAGAGCGAGGACTATGTTGCTCAGTACGACTACGAGGCTGCCGACACGGACGAATGCTCCATCCAGGAGGGTGATGTCATCACTGCCGTCACCATTGTGGACGATGGCTGGGTCAGCGGCACCAACTCGCGCACCGGCCAAAGTGGTATGATCCCCAGCAACTATGTGGTCAAGCAGAGTGAGGCTCCTGCCCCAGCTGCGCCTGCTGAGCCCGAACCCGCACCTGAGCCTGAACCCGAACCTGAACCCGAACCTGAACCCGAACCCGAACCCGAACCTGAACCTGAACCCGAAGTGGCAGCTCCCGCTCCTGCGGATGCTGCGGCAGATGGAGAAAAGTGGAAGGCACTCTACGACTACGCCGCCCAAGATGGCGACGAGGTGTCTGTGACCGAGGGTGAGGAGGTCATTGTCCTTCAGGTCATCGACGAGGGTTGGGTACAAGCCCGCAATAGCAGTGGTGCAGAGGGCATGCTGCCCAGCAATTACATTGAGAAGGTCTGTTTCTATCGTCTCTTTTCTTTTATCCGCCGAAAGCTTGAGGAGCCAACACTAAATGCTTTGCCATCCCTTACGCCACAGGTTGGAGGTGATGCTGCCGCTGCCGCTCCTGCTCCTGCTCCTGCCGCCGGTGGCGTCGAGACGTGGTCGGCCCTTTACGACTACGAGGCCCAAGACGGTGATGAGCTCAGCTTCCAGGCGGGAGACAAGCTCATTGACGTCGAGCAGGTCGATGACGGCTGGGCTAACGGCACTTTGCAGAGCTCGGGAGCCCGTGGCATGCTCCCCAGCAACTACATTGAGAAGGATTAAATCCCTCCGCGCCTAGCCAGCATCTCGTACCTCTCAGTGTTCTCTTGCTTGTTCCTCTTTTTTTTCCCCTTGTTTCGGGTGTTTGTCATGACGTTTGTGTTGCGTGTTGGCATGTGAGTGTGTTTGCGGGACGGGACACTCAACAACACTTTCATGGCATTAAACATTCCTCGTCTTTTTCTGTTTCTTCTTCTTTTCGAAACGTCTCTGGGACGGCACGCGCTGCCTTGTGACCCGCCACACGTACCTTTTGGGCCTTCTTTCCTTGATCGGGGTGGATGCTTGCCCTTCTTGTGTTTGTATAATCTGTAGGGTGCGTGCCCCGACGCTCCCAGTACCTTGTCTCTCCCTCTCCTCTTTTTTTTTCTCGTCCACTTTCTACTATGCAAACAAATTGACATGTGAAGAAACCCTGTGCTTATCATGTTTGTCAATTCGTGTCGTGTCTCGTCGCGCGCGCATGTGACGGTGCGATCGGCCTACACGCGCGTGCTCCAAGTTGGAAAGATGGCAAATAAATAATCAACAGGGCCATGGCACACAGACAGGCGCTAGTCGGGCAGGAACGGAAATTTATTTCTTAATATTCAGACACAGACCCTGCAATTCAGTCCGATGCGTTTGAGAGAGCGGGGCTAAGACATCATCCAAAGAGCGGCGTGGTGTCTTGCTTGAATATTGAGTGCCGCCCGATGCTCGCAGCAAGCCCCGCGGGCCTGCAACGCCCGAACCATCAGGATGTTGATGCATGTCATGCTCGCTTTGATCAAAAGCAGGGGAGAGGGGCATCTCCTCGAGCAGCCATGGATCGATTCCTCCGCTTTGGACGACGGGGTGATCAGGCGTGAGCATACGCATGTTGCTGCCGAGGGATAAGGTCGAGGCCCGCCGGGTGCTGGGTCTGGAGGCATCTGGGGATCCGATGCTATGAACACTGTTATTGCTGGTCTGGCGCTGCAACGTGGCTTGGCAGGCCAGTTTGGTGTGCTCCGCTGCTTCAACGCGTGGGCCTGACTTGCATTGGCGCTCGTGACCATGCTGTGGCGCGCTGGGAGTCAACTTCAAGTGATCGCAAGTGTGGCGGCGGCGCATGGGTCGCTGGCAAAAGTGATCAAGCGCGGACCGTCGCTCGGCAGCAAAGATACTGCTGTCTCGGCGAACGTCGCTTTCACCATCTTGAACCAAGTCCAGAAGATTGTCCGAGCTATTGCGCGGAGTGTTGCGCGGGGTCCAAACGCGAGAGCGGATTTGTACGGCTTCGTCGGCAATCTCGCGCGCGGATGGACTGCGCTTGGCATGAGTAGGACTGTCAGTGCCAAGCATGGCGTCGCGAACACGAGCAAAGCGCGAGGCAGCATCGTGGCCAAACACGGCTACGAGCGCTGTAGCCTGTTCGTGGCTGTGTTCGAGGCTGCTGGCGTTACTGATGGCGGTGGCAAAGCTGGTACCACTCATTCGGCTATCGACGCTGCTGGTGACGCTCGCGACGCTCGCGACGCTGGGTGTACTGCTGCGGAGACGGCTGAGACTGGGATTGCCGTGGATGCGATGACGAGTGGGATTGCGAGATTGCGGGCCATGATCGTTGAGTACGCCATGACCCTCACAGAGGCGGGGGGTTGGCAGGGACGAATGCGCCATTGAGCTGGCCATGTTCCTGGACAGCTGGCACAGCGCAGGAACGTGGACAAGCCAACAAGAAAAGTAAAAATGTGCCCGTCTCAAGACAATCTATCAGATGACGCGCCAATGCATCCAAAGGTACTCCCACAGTTGTCCAGCTGGCTGGATCTGTCAGTGTGCTAAAGACGAGGGGCGAGGGCTCCGCTTGACGTCGGGGGGTGATGCTTGAAATCAGTATCGGGCGGTAGGCAAGGTGCGCCTCGCGGATCGTGTATTCGTGCGCTCAGAAGTTGGAGGTGCCTTGAGCATGGGAAAGACGGGCTGAACGTTGCTCGTCAACAGCAGCCAGGCTTGAGCGACGACTGTTTCGTGGGGAACGATAATAAGATGGAGAGAGGGAGAGAGGGCAAGAGAGGACCGAAGATTGGTCAGAGGCAATCAGCAAAATGATACTGCTCTCGCTCGTGTGGTTTAAGCACCCGGATGGAGGGCACCAAAACAGAGCTGAAGGGTGGCGGCGGGGTGACCGGCGTCGGCCTGGGTTGCGGGTGGCGGGGGAAGAGAGAGAGGAAAGAGGGGGAAAATGGTGGTGGATGTGGTGGTTTTGCAATGGGCAAAGCGTGCTTTTTTCAAAAGAAGAGGTTCAACGGCTGGTCGATTGTGGTGGATTGGCCTCTTTGACAGGCTCCCCACACATTGAAAGTGGGGAGGTTGTTGGCATCGGCTGTGCGTGGGCGAGCTATCGGCGTTGAAGAGAGAGGCGGACAGCAAGCCCCAAAAGAGCAGTCAAGTGGCGCCAACTCTTCTCCGGCTCTTCGCCAGAAAGGCAGGGGCCAGGCTCCGGTGAACACAAGAGCGCGAGCGATCTGTGGCGACAAAGCACGAGCGATGGTGAGGGTAAGCAGCAGTCGAGGGGCCAGGAGGACGTTGCGAAGAATCGTTGTTGTGGTGATTGGCAACTCAACGACGTCGACCTGCTGCTGCTTGTCAAACTGCATACATGCATGCATGACACACGGGCGTGACTCTAGTTACACATGTTCTGTCCGATCGCTTGGTCCGTGTTGTGAAGAGTGGGGGGGAGGACGACCGTTTTTTCCCCTTCTTCCCTTTGCCGTTGTGGTGTGCTATCCCCCACTCTCCCTTGAGCGGGAGGAGGAGCGGGCTGGCGTCGTGGAGCGTAGGTGATGATGTAAAGGGACGTGTAGAAGATGACATTGTAGAGGTCAAAGTGGCGGACACCATCAGCCCTGTTTCTGCAGAAACGGCGCCGAAGGCAGACGAAAAAAACACGCCCGGACAGTTGATTACAAGATACGTCGAGTTGGACATGGCACCGCGCCAGAACAGCAGGAGTCAAGGCCATTACGAGCAGAGAAGAGGCGGCGGGAGCACAGTCCACAGCATAATTACAATACTCCCCTGACGAGAAGGAGAAAAAAAAAAAACAGAACAGGATTTAGGTTGTAACACATGGTCAACGCCACCATCAAGTTACTCGTCGCCCCCAACCATCGACAGGGGTCGAGCGGGACAAATCCGGCCACGGCGGCCGTCAATCACGCGCCCATGCAAACTTATTGTCGAGGTTGCTGCTGCTGGCACGCGCGCTGCCGTTTAGGCTCTGCGCCAACGGTGAAGCATGACTCCGACTCATCCTGCGATACGTAGGCCATCCCCAGGTTCATGTGAGCTTCAGGCGCTTGACCAAACTGTCACAATGGCCAAATCGCCTGCCCCTCTTCGAGCCGACACGCACCGGGAACTCGCGCTGCTGAGATTTAGCGAGGTGGCGGGCGAGCGATTGGCCGACAAAGAGGGATCCTCGTGCCCGGACAGGTCATACACGGTGGCCAGAAAACTTTGATCATACGATCGCAGCTCGCGCAGCTCCTTGATCGCTGTATTGCCATTGAGCCATGAGCAACCGCGAGCGCCAAAGGACTGCGCTGCCCTTTTGTCCCTTCATCCTCCCAAAGACATGGAACAAGCACCACAGGCGCGGAAGCACTACCACACACTGACCCATGGCCATTTTGCGACGCGCTCCAAAAGTTGAGACACCCAGCTGCTTCATATCTTCCTCCGACAAGGAAAGAAACGTGCAGAGATCAACCTCTTGCTGCGCAAACACCTATCACACACACCCCACAAGTAGAAAGACGAGGCGAGATTTGAGCTGCCCGAGCATCCCGGCCGAAACCCCAACACGCGAGCCGACACATAGAGGTAGCGCTTGGCGCATGCGAGCAATTCAGGCCGGTGGGTAGCAGCGCCCACCTGCACGTAATTGTGGAGGTTCAGCTTGGCCAGCAGCTCAGGGAGGCTGCGAATATTAAAATAGGAGCGCACTTCGCCCGACACCTCGGGCATGGGCGTGGAGGGGCTGGGTTCTCGTTCCATATCCAAGTCAAAGACATCCTCGCTCGGGTGCTGGGAGTCGAGCGCATGCGCATGTCCCCCAAAGACCCCGCTACTGGCCTGACTGAGCGGGCTCAGCGGCGCTGACAGCGGGGAGACCCCAGCTTGGTGAGCATCCCCCTGCCGCTCTGAAATGTGTCCGAGCGTGCCTTGACCCAGCGCACTGGGTGCGGGTGAACTACCCGGCGCCAAGCTAGGCAAAGCACCGTTGAAGGAGAGAGACAAAGATGGCCAGGGCCTTCCGCCCCGGCTGCCCTCCGCTGCGTCCCGCAACGCTTCGTAGGATGCGACCCCCGCGTCCTATTCGCACGCACATCCAGGCAACTGTGAGCACATTCCCTTTGCCAAGCACGTGGAAACCGAGTGTGGCTGCACCAAAAGAAGCAAAGCATGTCCTCCTCGCAAAGCACCGCCTCCCGTGTCCCGATACCTGGCCCAATGCAGACTGTTGGTGCAGGTGTGCGTCCTCCTCGGCTTGCTCTAGCGCCTGACGCTGCAGTCGCTTAAACTCAGTGGCCGGCATTGAAAACGAAAACCCATCACCCGCAAAGTAGCTGTTGCAGAACCCATGACGAGAACAGGAGAAGCGTCAGGTCCCAAAACCCGCGCATGAGCCACCACGAGGAAGAAAAAGCCTGGCCCAAGACAAAATAAAATGCCATTTACACACGCACACGCACACGCACACATAACAGCGGGGCGATGGCAAGCACAGCAAGCTCTGCCACTTTAACGATGCAGCGCGTGCGTGGGGGGAGAGGGGAGGCAGGGGAATCATCACCTGGTTGGGGCACGTGGCTTATTAAAGACAGTCTCAGCGCGAGCTTGCTCAGCCTCCAGGCGCCGCTGCTCCCAGCCGGGCTTGCGCAAATGAGGTGAGCGCGAGCCCGATTGTCGCGCCGACTCCAAACCAGGAGGTGGTGCCGATGATGCAGCAAAACCCGTTGAAGCCAATTGACCGTCCTCTCCATCATCCAGCCCCAAAATGCTGCCGTCACTGCGACTGTCGTGCAGACTGCTCTGCCGACTGGCATGCCGACTGTCCTGCCGACTATCGCGCCGACTCACCAGGGGGCTGCCTCTGCTTTGGCACTGGCTTTGGCTTTGGCTTTGGCACTGGCTTTGGCTTTGGCTTTGGCACTGGCTTTGGCTTTGGCTTTGGCTTTGGCTTCCACGACTTTGCGTGGCAAGACTCGTGCGCAACGGGGAGGGGGCAAGTGGCGAGCCCGGAGCTCGTGACTCCATGACCAAAGGATTGGGCCCTGGTCGCGGCGCCGCGGGTTGCAACCAGCGCGCGTCGTCAACAATGACATCAAAATTGGGAGCATCAACATCCATGCTGCCATAGCCAAAATCAGGTCCACCCCCCAGCGCCCGCAAAACTGCCCGCCGCGCCCGATAGAGATCAGATGCGGTGGCTTCGGTGGACTTGAGTGAGATGGACGCGGTATTTGCCTTCCGTCGTAGCGACAATTGCACCTGTAACTCCTGTGCGCGCAGAATCTGAGCCAGAAGGACTTCAGCGTCGATGCCTGAGCGGCCAGATTTGTCGTCCAGCTCCAGCGCCATCTCCTCCACAAGGTCAAACGTCAAGCTGATGGGCATGGTGCCCTGAATCATGTCCAGCCCAGCTCGTACACACTGAGGTGGGCCCTCGATCATCATGCCTGTATCTTGGCCCGGCATGGTAAAATACATTCTACACAGGCGCGCCAAGTGCATGCAGAGTGAGACGGCCAGCTGCCTTGGATTGTCGCAGTGACAGCTCAGAAGAGAAGAGGCACAGACAGACGTACAGGGTGCCAGTGGCGTCGCCCAGCGCCTTGAGGCCCTCTCCTGCACGGCCAGCAATGTTGCTGTGGAGGTGGCGCGGAACATCAATCTGAACACCGTATGAGCAGTGAACCCAGGCGTGAGCGCCGACATGGGCTGCGCGAGAGCAGATGGTGAACGTTCGCCCTTCCCACCCACGCAGAGCGAGTTGATGGCTCAACTTGGCCCCTTGCAAAGGCTGATGCAATGCCTGACCTGAGCGCATAGATGATTGAGATCGGGCTCAAGACCAAAAGCTCGCTGAACGGCCTTCCAAGCTTCATGCAAAATGGACATTTGATAGCGCGGGCCTGCGTTGATGAAAGAGCGGGAGCAACCAAGTTAGGCGAGGGCCAGCTGCTACACGCGCCGCCAGTCGTACTGGCCTTTGATCATGACCATGGTGCCTTGGTTGCCAGGCTTGAAAAAAAGTGTCAGCGCGTACTCCTCGCACACGGTGCGCGCCGCCGGCGGGATATCCGTGGTGTCGATTCGTTCAACGCCACGCAAGTGAAACCTGCACACCGCACGCATGGGTCGGAGCAGGGGATGGAGTGAGGAGGCTGGTCGCAGCGGCGCACGCATTGCATGGGCCTAATGACCTGTGCGCAGTAACCGGTGCCAAGGGTAGTCGTGGGCTGAATGGCCGGAAATGGAATGAACCCACCAGAACACAATCGCCATGAGCCCTCGAATTTGACGACGAGCGTGCTCCACGGCGTCGGGCTGGCCAGAGATGCTGACCTGTATGGTGGTTTAAAACAAGGAGTCGGTGAGAGCAAACGGGCGGCATGCTGGGATCTGACAGCCATGGGACAGACCAGAATACCTGGTCTTTGGCGCCTTGGTTAGCAGCCGACATGATGGGCTGGCCACGGCGCACGTGATCGGGAAAGTGACAATGACAGCCAGTGGTTGAGGATACGCGTTTCATATTCTCGCCTTTGCGGCCGATGATGTAAAAGTGCTGTTCGTTGACAATTTCCAATCGCAAGACCATGCGATGGCTACGTGTGTCACAGATGCGCAAGATCTCCTGCCGAGCTGCCAGCATCTGTGCGCCTTGATCGGATCGAGCTAAAATGCGAATGGTTGGATCTAAAAGGAGGCAGCAGTATCGCGTTGACCGGCCGCATGATGAGGCAGGTGAGCTGGGGTTGGCTAGCGTACACAAGCACACACAAGACTTGGCCGAGCTGGCAAAGCTTTCGTTGTTGCACATGTCGACATACCCTTTTTGGAGCGAGCACCAATCTTAAAGTTGCGATCCACCGTCACAGCTTGGATGCCATGCTTGCGGGCAATAGCGTCAAAGACATGCTCCCCTGCATGTACAAAGCGCGGAGCTGGCAAAGTTCATCAATAAGAGCCCAAACAAGAGAAAGCCAGCTACAACCGCGAGCCCGCGACACTGCGGCTCCGGCCGGTCATTCGCGCATGCCCGCAGAAGATTGCAGGCCGACCCCGGACAGTCACCTGTCCGAAGCAGCAGGGCTGGTTCTCTCACACATACGCACACACACACACACACACACACACACACACACACACACATGCAGTGGAGCAGAGCATGGTGCCTACCTTGTAACACATACTCCAAGGTGCGACGCTCAATGCGCACCCGATCCTCCACCAGCCCAGACATGACGTCGCTCATTTTGTTGTTTTTTCGCTCCCCGGGAGGCGGTCCCGGCACGACCCTGCCACCCAGCGTTGAGACACGCTCAAACCCCACACGTAATCGTAATCAACCTCTTCCCCTCTGCAACCTGCGCCTTCCTCCCTCGTCCCAATGCCTCGGGCTCCTCCACGACCGCCAACACCGCCGCTGCCTCGACGCGCGCGACACAGAGAGAGAGAGAGAGACAGAGAGGCAGAGAGGCAGAGAATGTGTGAATGAGAGAGCGAGAACTAGAGAGCCAGAGAGAGACGAGACGAAAATAGCGCAAAAACAAAGGAAATAAGAAGGTGATCAGAGATATACACTCGGACAAAAGCAGTAATAGAGACAACACTCACTCACTCACACACACACTCTCTCTCTTTCCTTCTTTCGGGTAAAATGTATTTTACTTTATCCATGTCGATCAAGCGTACTGGAGCAGGATGGGGAGGCGATGGAGATGGGAAAGACGATCAGCATGGGTGTGGCCAGCGTGGGTGTTGCGGGTGGACAAGCGCGCTGCATCGACCGTGCTAGGCACATGGAACAGCAGAAAAAAAAAAGAAAAAAAAACCCCCCATTCCCTCCTGTACGCGCTTCTTTGGAAGGAAAAGGTCAACCAGAGAGGGCCTGCCCATAGGAGCGGAAACAATGTCAATTTGCATGCCTGTGTGCATGTGAGAGAGGGTTCAGAGGTGAGGAGACGCGGGTGCGCTGGGTGGATCAGTTGACGGCGTTTCGTTCGAGCCAGGCAGTAAAGGCGCGATTCTCTTGGTGGCCAGGCCTGAGCGGAGATGCTGGTGTGGGTTGGGAGGGAGCGGGCCGTGGGCCGGCAAACGCGTTCGCCTCGAGGGGCGGAAATCCAACGGGAGGGGTGGTGGAGCCACGATTCGGGTCGACGTAAGCCTCAAAGCTCAACTCCTCGGGTGAGGTCGCGCCTGAGCGAGGCTTCTCGGGCTCGGTGTACGCCTGGACCGGCTCATCAAACCCCGGAAATCCCGCCGGCGGAGGCTCCTGACCATGGCGCTGGGCCTGCTGCAGCAGAGTTTGAGACACACCTTGGCTGCTGTCCACGCGAGCAGCTCGACCGAATTGCTTGCTACGGTCCTCGAATGACAAGGCGCGTGTGCTGCGCATCACCTCGGGCAGCGCAATGACTCGTCGCTTGCGGCGACGATGGTCCTCCTCTAGAGCCGTGGCCGGTGCTGAGGAGGGGTGGCCTTCTGGCATCGCCGCTCTTGTGGTTTTGGACCTCTCTGACCTGGGCGAGCCGTCCCCCTGATTTGCTGGGGGCAGGACGGCCTGTTCCGATGCTTCGATGCCAAAGTCGGCCCCGTTCGCCACTAAGAGCTCGACGACAGCACGACCGCTGGGATCAGCTGATGCGTGCTTAATGAACCCTTCGCAGGTCAACCCTGCCACAACAGACGTCGTCCGTGAGGGAAAGATCAAAGCAGCACGTCGCTACGAGAGATGAACGGGACCCACGTACCCTCTCGTCGAACACGATCGTCCAACGCTTTTCGAAACTGCCGATACAAAGTCTCCTTGTCGGCCGGCGGGAAAGGTGCGCGCGTGGTGTTGAGTCGACAAAGGTCATACAACACATACACGGCCCGACGCAGCTGAGCCCCGGCCAGCAACTTCTCATCGTGCTCATCGTGCTCGGCTATCCAAAGGGAGGTACGGTTGTAAGGCGAGCGCACGATCGACGAACGGTACTTGCAGCCATGGTAGCCGCAGGCAAGGCCACCACGGGGTGGTCCTGCAGTCGTGCAAAAACAATGGCACTGACCAAACGTATCAAAAAGCAGCGTCAGGCGATCAACGGCACTGCCACGAACGCAAAGCGCCAGCATGCCCACATAGAGGTCGGTGTGAAGACGCTCCGAGGTGACGGACAAGGCTTGCTCCGTTAGGCCTGCATCACCCATGGGGGCAGGGTCTGAGAGCAGGGGGGCGACCGGTCTACACGAGGACAAGCTTGATGCTGATCCGGAGAGCATGGTTTGCCTCAACTTACCAAAGTGCTGCTCCCAAGGCCATTGCTTGTGGACGCTAGAGCTCATGATGGTGTGAAGACTATGAATGTCCACAACGCCTGAAGGGAGCACACGGCGGCTTGCGTTACGCAGCGCAGCGCAAGCAAGACATGGACAAACGAGCAATGACAAAAGGCATCAATCATCACGCGCCGAACCTTGCAAGGCCATGTCGTGTAGCAAGCGAGCCGCAGTGCGCAGCTCGAGAACGGTGAGACTGCAGCCCTGGAACAAGTCTGTAGCCACACGCCCATCCTATTAGACCAGGATAACGCGTGAGCCAAAAGCAATGGGAAATAGACAGCGTCAGGGCACAAGGTAATTGAGTGTCACCCACAACCCGTGCCCCACCTTAAAAAGAGCCCCGGCGTCAAAGACCAGCTGCTCGTGCCCTGCATGGTGCTGGGCCTTGTCCACCAGACCAAATCGGCTAGCTAGAACCCAAGTGCGCAACGCATGGACCCCAAAGGGCAGCGGAGTGACGGGGCCCAAACGCAGTGATGGCAGAGTCTGACCTTGAGCCAGATGATTCTCGTCATAGTTGTGCATTCGGGCCTCCAGGAGCTCCATATCGTGTCGGGCCAGCACGTCGACGCGGCGCTGCTCCTGGCCAATAGCCAGCAGCCGCCGACTCAGAGCAAAAAGCAAAACCAGAAACACGAGCAAGGTTATCAATGCGACGGCAAGGGCCGCCACGGGCCCGGGCCTTTGGGTCCATGTGGTGGACGAGCTCGCTGCGACTGCGACCGCCTCGGTGGAAGTAGTGCTGGGAAAAAGAGTGGAGGCTGGTGTTGTTGCCAAACTCACCACTGGCCACGGCGATATGTTGGACTCTGGCACCACGCAGAAGAGGGGGGGGGAAGCAGCACAACCATTCGAGGTGTGTGAGCACATGTTTCCGCGTCGTGCATTCAAGGCCCGCAAGGATGCGGCCGATGGATTGAGGCACGATGTGGTTCTGAGAACAAGGCATTGCGTGGGTTGCTGGCAAGTAACTGTGTGGTTGTGATGAGACAATGGGTTGATGTGTGAAACCACGCACCAGCGGCAAGAAAGACATCGGCCTCGATCTGCAGGTGGTCGACAGCACCGCCTCCATCAGTGGCGGTCAGGTTCACCATGATCGTGTAGCGTCCCGGGGGACCTGTGGCAAAGACGAGGCCCGTGGTTGGATCGGCCTGTACAGCCAAAGTGGATGGGTCGCTGGGATCCGTGATGGCTAGGGCACTATAACGAATTTGACCCCAAGGCGAGGTGGGAGCATCGGGATCCTGGGTTTGGATTAGCGGTCCAAGAGCCGTAGCAGCCGGGCCCAACTGGGAGAGGCGCACAGATGATGACGCGTGGGCAAAGGTGACCGGTTCGTTGATATCAGTTACCAGTAAGCGCAGACGCCAGTTGATGGTCCATGAATCAGTGGCATTGACATGGCAAAGAGCCGACAGGAGGACGGGTATGTCAGGCTGAGTTTCGTAATCGAGCTGCCACCAGCCCTGCAGGAGCTGGTGGTCGGAGCTGGCAGTCAGGTTCAAGACATGGGGGATTGAGCTGTTGACGACGATGAGACCGGACAGGTTGGCCGCTGGAGTGAGAGCTGCGAGGTGCCAGGGCACGGCAGTGTTCTCGGGCAGAAAGATGGTGAGGGGAGTGTCCGGGTCCAGGAGCTCCGCTCCATTGAACACCAAACCGCAACCTATATTGCAAAGCATGAGAATGAGTGACGACGCAACCACCTACACCACCACAAGTCACGAAAATGGCAGAAGGTAGTTGCACCACACGCACCCGGGGGTGAGCTGCCGATGCCACTGGTAACCCGAAACAGCGAGGCGAAAAGGAGGATGAGAAGCGGGGTCGGCCGGTGAGGATGGTGGTGCCGACGGTCATCCTGCACCGGCCGATGGAGGCGGCCTGGCGCGCAGCCTGCCCAGCGGTGACCAAGCCATGACCCCATCACCCGAGGTCCCCCACACGTTCGGCACTGCAATCCGTTGACCAGGCGGCCCAAGCGTTGTGAGGACAGACGAGGGCCTGATGGCACTCGGTGCCAGGGGCTGGAGCACCGAAGGGGGGTGGCGCATACGAGCAAGCACCACGGGGAGCCGCCTTAAACAATGGTGGCAGCCCGCTATCCGCCAGTCAGCGGGCCACCAGACAGACGATCACACAACGGGCCAAGGTACAGCCGGCGCCAGGCAGCATGGACGGGTGCCAGGGATTTAATGGAGGCGGGTGAGCGTGGCACTTTATACCGGATGCCAGATGCCAGATGCCAGCGACACCAACAACAACAGCAACAATCCACTCGGCGCCAAATCCTTGTCCCAGTCACACCATTGATGGGTTTCGAGGTTATATACGCAAAAATAATAGTTATTGCAGTTTTGTATATGGTCTTGTCTTCTTAAAGTGTATCAAATATTCATGTTTGTGTAGGGTGTGTTGCGGATGGGTTTTGGCCTTGTCAATGGTCCGGTCGCTGTGCATCTGGATGTACCTGTCCATGCTTGCTGCCCCGGCTCTGTCAAAGCTCAAGACGAGGTGGGCGTGCGAGCGCGAGACAGAGAGACAAAAGAGAGAGAGAAAGAGAGCGCTGAAGCCCAAGGCACGCTTGCCGACACCTCCAGATGCCATTTGACGTATGGGTGCGGTGTCGTCTCATCATAATAATAATTTACATGTTAGTCTTCTACGGTAAATACAATCAGACAGGAGGTGCAGTTGAATTCGTATGTTCTCTCAGAGTTGGCCTGAATTGGGTCCAGGGCAAGTTTAGTTGCTTCGATCTTTGGCCGTTGCAAGGGCCGTTGTCTCTGGAGCGCCGTTACCAAAGAAATTCGCGGCCTGTTGTCCAATTGGCCTAGAAATTGTGAAATGACTCGCGCAGCAAGATGTTCATGCTCGCTGGTGGCATGCAGGGAGCTGAGCGAGGGAATTGCCCGTCAGGCCGTCTGCTGTGTCAGCTGCTATCTGATGTACTGTCGCACCGGGTCTCAAAAGATGAATCCATCGTGCCTCTTGAGGTAGGGGTACTTCGTATCGCCACATGTCCAAGCCAGCTGGCGCTGAACTCAAAGTGCGCCATCTGAATACCTTTGTCAAGAACGTACTGGCTTTCCGGTATAAGTCCGTTCCACTCGCTTGCCAGGCTTGCACAAGGAAGCTGGGAAGTTGACATTGACGAGGTCCACAATGTCTTTGAGAGTCCAAACGTATTGCTTCCGTATTGTGTGTTTGATCGGATCAAAATAGGCACCGCAGTGCTTCTTGGTGTGCCCCAACAACCATGAGGTGTAGTTTGATGCTTTTTTTTTCAGATCCACCAGGCTATGCCACGCGAGATACTGCAGCACGAAAAGCGGTTCTTGTTCTGAACTACACGATTGTGTGAGTCGATGGCATGGCTTCCCATGAGTCGGAGGTTCAGTTTCGTTGTGTTTGTTGGCAGACTCTGTATCGATTTATCCTGCTCGCGGTCAGCGCCCGACAGACGGTAGACTGGGTAGTCTTCAGCGTACCGCACCAAAAACGCCAGTGCAATTCGAGTGTGTTGGCGTCGATGCCCTGTGGCTCTGCCTGAGCTTGGACGGTAGTCGTTAATCAGGAAAGCGTTGACTGTCGTAAACGCAGAAACACCACCCAGGCACATCTGTCGCCCGTGTATCACGTATACTGTAGTGATGCGCCCAGATTGCTCCGATTTGGATGCGCCAGCGACTCATTGCGCTTCTTGGCGGAACTAGAGCCAGAGGTTCAATTCTTCTACACAGGTCTCAGCGCGTCGATTTTATCTCTCTCTCTCTCTCTCAAACTCTCAAACTCTCTCAAACTCTCTCCCCCCCCTTCATCCCCGTCCCATCCTGCTCACAGGCTCGAGCACCTTCATTCGCTCCCTCATCCTGGGGTGTGCCTCACCCTGCACTGCACGCATGTCAGGTCCTTTTTCCGGACTGCTCGTAAAAGACAGTAGATTGCGACACCGTGAAATGTCAGACTATTTCATACCCAGCTCACCTGTTCGCAATAGTTGTTGCGACCATAGATGGCACTCATGTTTGAAGATGAAAAAACAGGGCCAAAGCTTTACAGAAATCCAACAGCCACCCCTCCCTTTCCTGGCATCTTCGTTTGCATTTCAAAGTGTATCATTTGTCATACTTTATTGGGTGCTGTTCAGGCTATAAACTCCATCACGCTTCCCACCCGTGTTGGATTTCTCACGCTGGTGTACACGTGCAAACAGAAGCACCAGGAGTAACCTAACCCTCTCTGTTTTTGTCAGCCCCTTTTCTCAGCTCTCTACGTCTCTCTCTCTGTCTCTGGCTCTCTGCGTCTCTCTGGCTCTCTGGCTCTCAGTCTCACTCTCTCTCTCTCAAACACACACACTCTCTCTTTCTCTGCCTCTGTCTCTCTCTCTCTCTCTCAAACTCTCTGTGTGTCTCTCTCTCTCTCTCTCTGTCTCTCTCTCTCTCTCTCTCTGTCTCTCTCTCACTCTGGCTCTCTCTCTCTGTTCTCGACGTGGGGTTGGCTGTGCCTTTTTCCATCTCAAGGTACTGCGCCATCACAGGAGGCAGAAACGGCAGGCGTCGACACCTTGCGTGTCCTTCTGTTGGGTCGGGGTTGGTCATGACTAAATGGCAGGCACCGATGCGGGTCGCTTGAGTTGATATCTTGCCCGTGGATGCCCTTGATTCTCGACCGCTCCTATTTTCGCACAAGCCTGTCTGCCATTGTGCACGATGCGCACACCGTCTCGTGCTTTGAAATGGGAGGCCGTGCTAACACATGATGATCCTTGTTGACCAGCTCGCAAACTCATGGAATCGGTGTTGCGCGTCTTGTGTTGGTTCTGATAGAAAGCTTCGTCTTTCCTCCTTTCAGCCGATTTTTTTTTTTTAACAACGTAAGCCTGCCCGAGAATGATGCGCAAATTGTTCTGCCAACGATACACGCAAATGAGTTTGATACCTGCAGCGAGGCGTAGTGAAGAGCAGACATAATTTTGACTTTGGAAACGAGGGATGGGCCGGCAGTATGCCACACAGGCCTCGCCGCCACAGTCGCATTGCGTGTTTTGTGATGGCTGCTGTGCTGGGTAACCTTTATCTCATAACTTGGCAAACATAATTTGTTACGCCATGGGCGTCTCACATCGCGCGGGGATTCTCTTTGTGTTGTGTGCCACCACGGAAGCTGTTCATTTTTTTTGACACACCTCAACCCTTCCAAGCCTGCTCGCGCTCACGACTTGCTCTCTGCGTCTGGTACCATGGTGGCTTTTACAGCATTCGACATGGCTGATGAGGAGTTTCATGCCGCCGACGCCGGTGCTTCGGACGTCTACCCCATGCAGTGCTCGGCTCTGCGCAAGAACGGCCATGTCGTCATCAAGGGCCGTCCCTGCAAGATTGTGGACATGTCCACCTCCAAGACTGGCAAGCACGGTCACGCCAAGGTCCACTTGACCGCCATTGATATCTTCACTGGCAAGAAGCTCGAGGATATCTGCCCCTCCACCCACAACATGAACGTCCCTAACGTTCGTCGTACTGAGTACGAGCTTGTGGACATTGATGATGAGGGCTTCATGTCCCTCATGACCACCGATGAGTCTGGTGACACCCGCGAGGACATTCAGCTCGATGAGTCCAGCGAAATTGGTCAGGAGATCAAGAGCAAGTTCGAGGATGACAGCGATGACATCCTTGTCGTCATCATCCAGTCCGCCATGGGTGAGGAGGCCCCCGTTGCCGTCAAGACCAGCAAGTAAATGGCTTCAATCTCGTAAAAGATGGTGCTCGCGTTAGCGGGAACCAACTTGAGTCGTGCCTTTTTGTCCGTGCTTGATCGTAGTGTCAAGCCGTTGTCTGGTTGCGTTTCTTTGCCGTGCCTTGCCTCTTTTTTTGTTTGGCTGGTGATGGTTGGTGTCAGGGCTGCCGTGGTCACGTGCCATGGCTGCCCGCGCCATGATGTGTGTGGTTGTTCCTCTTTTTTTTCCCTCAACGCGATTTCCAATCCCGGACCGTCAAGGCCGCGGAGGTCGACGCTTTCTTTTGGTTAAAAAGAATAAATTGAAACTTGACAGTATTACAACATGGCATTTAGACACGATACTCTCCAAGATGGCGCCAGCGCGTACGCCTTGATATGGTGCATCTCCATACTGCTGGGCGATGGGTGCATTGAAAGCGGCAGGCACAACAGAGGGTAGGTAATCAGAAAAAACAAACACCCCGATCCCACCCTGGGTTGATCAAACAAAAAAATTCAAGCGAGAGAAGCACCGTTTGAAAGCGAGTCGTGCAGAGATCGCGCAAAAGAAAAAGAATTAACTCCCCCACGGGGAATCGAACCCCGACCTTGACGGTGAGAGCGTCACATCATAGCCATTTGACTATGGGGGATGAGCTTGTAAACCTATTCAAAAATACAAAATATAAATCAAGCAAATATTTTTGGACAAAAAAAGCTTTTTCTTGTGAAGAACAGAAAAGAAGTCACTATGACTCTCAAGGTGGCCAAGTGCCTCGCCGTCTGACTCGTGGGGTACAGTCATCGACAGTATGTACACGTGGACATGAAAATGGAAGAGAAGATGAGATCAGACAAGGCATGAATTGGAATCAGGGATAATTATGACACCCACAAGTGACGCACAGCGTCGCAGGGGCTTGTGGCAGCACTAGCAGCCGCAGCACGGCGTCCAAAAGAACATGATAAACAAAGATTCAGAACTCACGAGCACCCTCTCAAAACAGATATGCCCAACCCCAACATCCAGAGTTGGATGTTCACAATAGTCGTGTACATGCAGAAGAAAGGTTGAGACAGCAAGGATTGGAGACGCGACCAGATCCCCAATCAAGCAGGCAGCCGCGTTTCGACCGACGGGCAAGCCACAGTCAGCCACCGACCAAACATGATCACAAGACAAGGACTTTCAATGAGCGGGCGGGGCTGGACGGCGATCAGCTAAAATTTGCTCTCGATAGAGCCGCGCCACCGTCTCGTAGGTATAGAAGACCAGCACGGCATTGGGAACGGAGCGCATGAGATGCGTGGACATGCCGGCATACAAGGCACGCCAGCCCTCCTCGCGACAGGTGCGGACGAGTGCGTCGAAAAAGCCACGGTAGGCGAGTTGGCCTGGCGTAGGCAACTCCCGGAGCCGTGTCCGAGCCACCTCTGGCGTTCCAAAAGCAAGAGAGCACCAGGGTGAGCAACAGCCGATTCAAAGATTCTCAAGCGTCTAAAATGGGTGAGGAGAGGCGCGCTACATCGACGCGAGACTCACCGTGAGGATATGTCAACACACAAGCGATCGTCTTGGCGGATATGCTGCTCAGAATTAGCCGCCCATCTGTCGCACGTCAAGAGCGCAACGCGAAGAGGCGGCGGTCACCATCGGGGGATTCAAACGCGTGAGAGGCAAGCATTGGAATCGAGCTTGCTCACCGCATTGGCCGAGACAATGGAAACTGATGACAGTGCGAGCGCGCCTTACCCTTGTAGCTCGCAGACACATCGTCGGCGCCGAAGCTAGTCTTAAAGTGCTCATAGAGCGTAAACTGCAGAGCCGATTCCACCACGCCTGCTCGGTTCAACGCGATAGGCATGAGAGACGACGACGACGGGAGAGGACAAGATGAGCCCGACCACGAGTGAGCGATACAAAACTGATGCAACATGATATGGCCAGGGCCACACACCGGCATAGGAGGCTGTGAGACCGGTGAAGAGACCGCGCCATCCTTGTTCTTTCATGGTGATGCGCAGCACGCTTTGGACCGTGACGGGCTTGTTGACCTCGTTTTGCATGAGCTGCAGGCGGGTTTTAATCACCCAGATGGGATTGGTGGCCGAGGCCGCCACCACGCCTGCAGCCAGACCGCTAAGCATGCGCACCCCATGCGAATCAGGGTTTCCGTTGGGGCCAGCAATCACGGGCTTGGTGGCGTTGTACACGCTAAAGTAGCAGGCGCGTGATGGTACGATGCCTACAAGGGTGGGTACAAGACCACGCCACAAGGCCCGGATACCCTCCCGATGCAGCGTCATGCGAAGCGCATTGTATGTGGCGCTGTATTGCTGCCAGCCGGTCGCTGCCCCCTGCCCACGCATGGCTGCCAGCTCTTGTTGCAGGAGCAGCCGATGCTGGCGGGACTGCATCCGTGTCTTGACCACCTGCACCCGATGATCGAACAGAGAGGAAAGTGAGCAATCAGCAATCGATCAAGGTGAAAGGCAGACACAGGTGAGGGGGAGAGGTGGGACCAGGGGCGTACATCTAGCGGGTTGGTAATCGTGGTCCCCACGAGGGCGCCCAGCCCGCCACCGAGAAAGTGAATGTGAAACGGCAAGGGTATGTCCTCGATCGAGGGCGCCATGTTTGATGTTTGCTGATAGTATGGCAGCTTGAGAAGGACGCTGGTTGCAGACGAATCAGAGAAAGAACTGTTAAAAAATGCCAATGCACCTGCGCCAGCAGATTCAAAAGGCCTCAACCTTCTGCTCGAAAGCACTCCGTCCTTGACGGTTCGAGCGGCGCGTAAACAGACTGGCGCGCTTGGGCCTGCCACACACCCAGCACACCCACACCCACACCCACGCACAAAGATGCGACTGTCAAGCCACTACTCGGCTGTTGAGTTGCTCACACTCGCGTCTTTGCGCCACGTGTGGCTGCGCGTGCAGTGCAGCCCACAGCCGTCAGCGCCAAGTCATCAACCCGCCCAAAATGACAACAACAAAAAAAAAAGAGAAAAATGTCACACACTCACACACACACACACACACACACACACACACACACACATTCGGCCTTTGACGTTCTGGCCGCAAGTCTGGGCAGGGGGGGTGTGTCCGTGTCCGGGCTCGTTGAAAGCAACATGGGATGCAGCAAAGGCATTTTCAGGGCAAGGAAGAGTATTCGCCCGCTCCGTCGCCATCGACTTGCTGCTGCCACTGCTGTCGTCGCTGCCCCAGGCCCATGGTTGATCACCACATGCGCGCCCTTTGACAGAGGGAACACGTGCTTTCTTCGGCCTTTGAGCCAGATCTGCATCTTCTTCAGTTTCGTCGACGTTTTCTCTGGTTGTCTCACAAGCTTCTTCGCCTTTTATGGGCCCTCTAATCAACATGTTCCTCACTCTTTGCCCCTGCTTTTGTTGCTTGCGTGAAAGTACCGACAGGTTGCAGCATGTTGAGCGAAAATGTCAGATTTGCAAGATCGCAGCAACGTGGTGCTGCTTCCACAGTCGCAACGTGCCGGGCAGAGTCGGGCGGTGGAGGGGATCAAAGTGAGGGATCGCCGGGGGTGAGTGAAAGGACGAGCATGCACGGATACGGGAGTCGCACAATTGTCACAATGTGGCATGAATTGCTCGATCGAGAGGCAATGGCCCCTGACACAACAGTCCACTCGAAGCCCCACTCAAAATCACGGGTGGGGGAGAAGGGGCGAAGACCGATTCGCAAGGAGCTCGGGCAGCGCGCCCCTGCTCTCTTCTGCTCTTTCTTTTTGATTCTTTCCTTTCGCCTTTTTTTCATTCCAGTGCTTTTGTTGCACGCTGCAACCACTGACGATGACACGGTTGGCTACCAGCCAAGTACATAGTCGCGAAGCGATTTCATGTAGGAGGAAGGCTGAGGGGTGGCCGGAACGGGCCCAGACGTCTGACCTTGGGGCTCAAACCCTGCCCCAGCCGTAACACGACTCTGCCGCATCCATACGCATACAATAGATAAGATGACAAAGACCAAGACTCCAGGCCACTACTGATGTTGTGTGGCCCATGGCTCGAAAGGTGTACACACAGCACTGCACCTACCCGAGCGCTGAGATCTCGAATCGGCGTCTTGCGCACAGGCGTGCTGAGAACACCCATCTCCGTACGGCTCCGCGACTGTCAGTCAACAAGAGCGGAATGAGTGATCGGCACAACAGGTTCCGAAAAGATAAACGCCAGCTTGCGCACATCCACCACCACGTACCTCCACCGCGTTGCGCAAAAATTCTTCATCCAGGCAAGGCTGAACACCAACCATCAGCCTCGCAGACAGGACCATCCCGTGCTTGCTCAACGCCTAGCCCCGGCAGCACACACCAGCGTCCACCCAAACACATATGAATCAGACCACCTCTGTACAGCACCAGGCGTGCGCTAATTTGCCCCATGTGCTTGACCGACGTACTCGCTGAGCCGACAACTGATCATCAAACTGCACGTGTAGCCAGTTGCAGTTGGTCTTGGTCTCCCGGCGCAGAATGCGACCGCAACGCTCAAACTCCGTCATGACCAAATCCAGATCCGCAAGCCCAAAGCCGAAGATGGTCACGCACGCCAGCTGGTGCCGCCCGTCTGGGAGCCGGCCCTCAAGCGCGGCTTCATCTGTTTCCAGCCGCTGCCATCGCCGCGGCGTTTTGCCCCGCACCGGTGTGCGCGCGACGCTTACCATGGACTGATCATGTCCGACCTGCCATGCCACCCACCCCGCCCAAGTGTACGCGCCATGACGAGCCAGGCACTCCGTGAGCATCACGTATGGCACAGCAGTGATAGGGCTTGCAGCAATTCACGTACCATGCTGGTGTTGGCCAGTTGTTGCGTTGTCGCCACCACGCTCACTGTGTCTACAGAGACCGACCCGCCCAGCAATAATGGGAGATGAGTACAATTAAAAAAAAAATCCGTAAAAAGGAAAGCACCAGAGCCAAGATCGAGCGTCACAGCTCAGCAGCAACTGGCGCAAGGTGAGCGTGCGCCCTCTCCTGAGCTCTGACCTTCGCGTCGTGAAACCTCGTCAAACAGGTCTATTTGCAACCACAGCCACCGCACGCGCAAGATGAGGTCTGATGGGTGACCGACAAGCACAGCGCGAGGCACCCGAGACTGATACGCACCAGCAATGGGTGGGTCGGTGGCAGCCAGAACAGCGGCTGGACGCGGACCTTGATGGCCACTCCTACATTGATTTTGTTCCAATCCGGCCATGAGAAGGCCTCGCGTGCAGACCATGAACATCACGTGCTGAGCCCAGATGTGTGCGGCTGACGACGCACGTACCGCTCAGAACCGGCTGCAAAACTGGTACGAGCCAACGACGGCGAGGCTGCCGTCGGCAGCAATTTACTTGAATTTGTCTACGACACAGACACGGCAGTGTCACCCCTGTGAGGCTTGCCGTTTGTTGTTGGCGTGGCTACCCATGCCGTCTGTTGCTTGCAAGACTGTGAGCTCTGCCTTTCGTACCGCACTAGGTTCGCGGCGCTGGAGCAGGATGTTCTGGATCCGATCTGGTGTGGATACGTCTGTGGTACTGCTTCGGTGCCGATGGACCGCGCTGGATGGCGCACCAGCCCCAGGCGTCCCGGCGGCTGTGCCCCGCTGTCCTAGCGGTGGGCTTGCGGGTGGGACTGCAGACGGACCTGTGCAACAACATCCCAACAGTGAGAGACGCGCAGGGCATGGAGCAGGATGCTGGTCAAGACTTTGCATGTGTAAACCCGGAATATGTCTGCGGTTCCGCACACAGACCCAGAGGCTCTTACCGCGCGACATGCCAAAGTTGAGGCCCCCGACAGGGGGCTTGACATGTTGATACCCTGCCAGTCGTCGAGTCGATGACGTGAGCGCCGAGCACGTAATCAGAGCCACGAGGTAACCCTCGCTCCTTCACACCGATACCTCATCACCCTGCACTGGATGCCCCATGCTGCTTCCCCTCCAAGGTTCCATGTTCCTTACCATTCCCGCTGCCACTGCCACCGCCGTACGCTGCCATCATGAGCGTTTGCGCACGCGTGTGTGAGAGAGAGAGAGAGAGAGAATTTCGAAAAATTCGTTGCTTAAAGTGTGACATTTGTCATGCTTTTGGGTCTGACGGAAGAGTTTGTTCAGTTTCTCGCCGAATTTTAACCGAATTTTGGCCGAATTTTGCGACGACAGGTGGCACTCGAGGCTGTTGCTCGTGCTGCAGGTGCCCGTCTGCGGTGTTCATGCGTTGTCGTAGTGCCTTGCCTCGTGTGTGAGTTCAGAGGCGTGACACTATACTATTTGTGCTCGGGTTGCCTCTGCACCCCAGCATCAAGTGCCGATACCCAATATTGTAGTGCCTAGAAATAGGAGGCTTGTGAGTGCTTCGCATCTCTCGTCGATTGACTGACACGAAGGGATAAACAGGGCCAAGAGACTACGGAGAATATGAGCCTAGAATGCGGCACCAATCAAATCATGACATGCCAACAAGCGTTCCTCAAGCCAACGCCACGAACGGCACATCGATCACATGGCGTATGGGCGTCAGCCAACTCTTCACAAACACGATAACACAAAATCAAATTTCACACGCCGATGCAGCAAAGCACTGCAAACAAGTTCGATCACGCAAGGCGCCCTTGGTGGAAGAGCTCAAAAATGAACCACGACGGCCGTCACATCATCAATGTAGCCGCCACCTTCCTGCATCCACATGCGCCGCGCAGCCTTGACAATAGCTTGCGCAGCATCCTGCGACGAGGCGCTACGTGCTACCAGTTGTACAATCTATACCAGGCACATGCAGGACGTAGTAGGTACTGTGAGGCCAACACCAAGCGCCCGAACACACACATTACGAAATCGGCACCCTCCTGGTACTTGGCCAAAAACAATATCACCTGGGCATTGGACAGATGATCAAAAACGCCATCCGAGCCCAAAACGATAAAGTGGTCCTGCGAGTCAAGCGTCTTCTCAAGTTTCCGATCCAGCCCGAGTGGCACATCACTGGTAAGCGGATGCTGATATGCGATATGGCGAGCGATGCTGCTTCTTGTCCAAAGCCCCGGTCCCCGGCCCAGATACTGCCTGCCTGCCTGCCTGCCCACCCAGTTCATCCAAGATGCGTGCCCCCTTTTTTGTTTGCCGTACGTGAATTTGGAGCTCCGGTTCAGCCACAACGCCAGCCTCAAAGAGGTGAAAGTCACCCACGCTCCTGGATAAAGCCAGACCACCCTCCTACAGCACCACAGCAATAATGCACAAACACAGGTGAGGCTTCCTGGCCACCAGACACGGGCGAGAGGGGCGAAATAGAAGCGAAGCAGGGTGTCGCACCTGTTGACGTCGGCGCCAAACACGCGCCGGTCCTTGAAAGCCCCAGCCACGGACGCGGGTCGGCTCCACGTATCCGCCTGCACGCTGAATGCGCTGGCGCTCACCAGGGTCGCTGGGCTTGTGATCCCGTGACAGTGGGATGGGTTGATAGCGGGAGCCACCCAAACACCGGCCCAATACACAGCGCGAGTCACCCACATTGGCAACGATGAGCTGTCGACCATCGGGGGTTCGGGCGCACACCACAGCAGTGGTGCCCGACTCTCGCGCATCGATGGTAGACTTGCGTAATTTGGCAGCCGTGGACACGATGCCGTTGACCAAGGCCTCAGACAACGCCTGATTCTGGCGATAGCTCTCTAAAATCTCGACACCCAGAGTGCTTTCTGCAAAACCTGAGACCTTGCGTCCGTTCACACCGTGGCCATCCATGACGGCTGCCAAAAAGGGCTACAAAGAGAAGCGGCAGGTCTGGTGAGGGCAGGCAAAGGTCCAAGGGCTGCCCCCCCAAATTGAATATAGCCAGCAAGCCAAAACCCGGTCCCACCAGAGCAGAGCTGCCTTCGTAGACAAGAAAGCCATCTTGATTTTCCTTGGGATTCCCAGCATATCCACCTCCCATCGAGTAGGCCCCATATTCTGGTACTTGGATCGTGGGAGACGTCGACGGAGCTTCTGGAGTAGGAGTGGCTGGAACAGGCGTTAAGCCTTCCATATCTGCCCCAAGAGAGTACAAGCATAGTGCCAGTGTTACCATACAAGCAAAGAAAAAACAACGACAATAACAACAACAACCAAAACACAAGGACACCGCGCTCCGCCACGTTGCGCCAGACCAGCTCCAAACGAACCAAAAGCGTAACCCTTGCTATCACGTCGGTTGATGGGCAGATCCTCCCCCTCCTGAGAAATACAAAAAAGAGCGCCAAAGAGGTAGCAACAGAGGGCACAGTCAAGTCATGAAGCGATGTGGCAACAGGGGATATAGGGTGGTGATTGTGCATACAAAACGGCTGACCTCGAGCAAGGCCGGCGAGCTGAAGCGCCGGGTGAGAGAACTTCGTCGATTGCGAGGCTCAGTAGGAATGGTGGGTACCAGACCATCAGGCTGCAGTGGTCCCACTATTACAGAGCTCGGTGGGGTCTGGCGCGAGGCAAGCACATCCTCTTCAACCACACGCAGTGACGGTGTGCCACGGCCCGGGACCGAGTCCAGACGAGGTGGACTCTCGCGTCTATCCAAGCCACTCAAAGATGGTTCCTGCAAAGCGAGCCCCAAGCAAGGCCACAAATAGTATCAGTGAGTCGAGCACCGTCGCGGCTGACGCGAGATCTTGTGGAGCCAAGGCATTGACCTGATTAAGGGTGGGAGACATCATGTGTTGACGGCGAATGTTGTATCCGGCAGGTGTGACGGAGCGACGGTTTTCGGGGGGTCGTGGCGATCGTGGCGTTAAAGTAGAGGGCTCGGCAGTTGGAGGCACGCCTTGACCATCACCCGGCAAGTTCCAGGCAAAGGGGCCGCGGGATGTCGGTCGAGCCGACTGTTGTGAGGCAGGCCGTGGGCGAGTGTGTGGGTCTCGGGAGTTGCGGGCTGGGCTCGCGCTAATGGCAAGACCGGCACCGGGGGAATTGAGGCGGCGTTGCGTTTCCGAGTCGGGGGGTGCTTCACCAGTCTGAGCAAAAAGAGGCAAAAGCCGGCCACTGGGTGGACGCTGGCGCATGCTCTGCGAGCGAAGGCGAGCGCTGCGTGCAATGCGAGTATCTGCGGCGTGTCGCTCCAAATTGGCTTCGGCTACGGCGCTGGCAGGGGTAGGTCCGGGGCTTGGGCTGCCGGGTGGCGGACTGGCGCGCAAAGCAGCCCGGGCAGCAGCGGCGGCGGCAGCGGTGGTGGAGGTCGCGGGAGCAGGTCCACCACCGTTCTTAGCAGGGGGTGAAGGAACGAGGCCAGCCTGAGTGGCGCCAGAGGCACCCGTGGCAGTACCCGTCCAACGTTGCACCGGAGACACCGGCTCGGAGTAGGAAAGACTCGACACAGGTGAAGCTAACAAAGGGTCTCGGGTCGGGGCCTGGCCATGTAGGGTATGGACCGTTTCCATAATTACTGGCTGTGGTGTCGAGCGCACTGATTGGCTAATTCGAGGACCCGCACCATGGCCACGAATGGCCAAAGAGGGCTTGGTAGCCCCACTTCCGTTCTCTGAACCAAGAAGACCAATGGGGGAGCTGGCGGAGAGCGGGGATGCCCCAAGCCCCACAGATTGGAGTGGGAGAGATTGCATGCTCAGTTGTTGTCGAGGCATGACGTTCGACATGCCTGAATCGCGCTGCCACTGTGAATGGCGTGCCATGTTGCCAAATGCTGTGTAGCACGACCAAGCAATCTGGTTGATGTGAACCAATCAGAAGCCCTTTCGGCACTCCCGCGAGAGAAGAGACGAGTCGATACTTCAAGAGCCTCGTTGACACGTCGGATTAGCTTGACAAAGGACGTGCCTCCATGCTGCGATTCCCAACAAGCCTTGTGTCAGCCAAAAGCGCGCGCGCGCGCGCGTGTGTGTGCGCGAGTGTGCGTGTGTGTGCCGCGTACAAAGCGTTGACACGAGCAGGCTGTTGCATGCCACAGCAACGGGCAGCGAGCTGGGCACATCAGCGTACCTCGTTGCGCGCTGTTTGTGTGGCTCAGCAAGACCTGTAATAATGGCACAGAGAGCTCAGTGAGTGCGTACTGTTGGCAGCAACTACGCAGATCAAGCTGGCTGCACGTACATGCACAGGAGTGAGACGGGGAGCGAGCGAGCGCGCGGGGCTGCCGTTTGTCTCTCACCAACACACGCAGACACAGACACAGACAGACACACACAAGAAAAATCATGCTCAGACGTGTGGTACTTTTACGTTATATTGCCTTGATCAAATGTGTACACGTGTGATACTGAGATTGATGCACCCCATGCTCTCTCTCTCTCTCTCTTACATTTTGTTATGGTTGTTAAGGCTTGAAGAGATGTGTGTGTGTGTGTGAGTGTGTGTGTGTGTGTGTGTGTGTGTGTGTGTGTGTGTGGAACGGCTGCTATGGGGGCTATCTCGCTGGAACGGCAGCTATGAGGGAGGGAGCTACTTGCACTCGCTTGCTGTGTTTATTTTTTTATTCTACATTGGATGTACACGGGTGTATATTTCCGGTTTATGCCGTTGCGCTTTGGGGTGGATAGAGAGAGGGTTGATTTGATTTTCTTCTGCTAAGGGAATGCTTTTGTGTGTGTTTCTCGATGGCCTGAGATTACGAGCTGTATTTGGATGGCGCGTTGAGCTGGAAGCACGAGTTCAGAGAGTCTGGGTCTGGGGTCTGAATTCGGAAAAGGGGCGGGATAGAGCCAGCAGGTGAGTGCAACTCGTTGACTGAGAAAAGGTCATGCTGGCTCGAAAAGATACACTGTCATTGTCATCGGATACAACACACATACGTATGCAGACATCTACACTCAAATCACACACTGCGCAGGACAACAAACAAGGAAGGAACATCAGCGAAGCTCGTCGACGTTAGAGAGTTTGGCAATCTCGCTCAAAATGCGCTTGCGGTGCAACGAGTTGTCAATGCCCATGTCAATCAAGTCTTGATCGGTCAGAGCCAACAAGACCGAGCCATCAATCGCGTGGCTTAGGAATCCTTTGGCATACAGGCGAAACTGTGGATGAATGCGTTCCACCCAGGACTTGACCTGATCCTCCGTCCAGGACGCGGCAGCTGGTTTACGTCTTACGCTGCTTGCAAAAGGGGCTCGAGTCGCCGGGTGTGCTGCTTTACCATCACGAATGGAGGGCGAGGGCAGACTGCGTGGCCACTTAACCTTCAGTTTCCGGCGCTGGGCGCTATATTGGGCCACGAGGGCTTGAAGTTGAGCCACGCCCGTCGCTGTGAGCGGATTCTCATCCAAGTCCAATTCACGCAAGTAAGGTTGATGGGTCGGGGCCAAAATCGGCAACGCCTTTTGTAGTGCCTCATCCGTCACGGCATTATGATCCAGCTCCAGCTCCCGCACCTAATTTGATCCAAACGAGAAAGCCACAAACCAACCCAGTAAAACGTGAGATGCGCGAGGCCACGGTGTTTAAAATGGGCGTTGACTCTGGATTTGGGGTCCATGAGCACCAGCGAGTCACGGCTAGACACTGGGTCCCTTCAAGATACGAACAAGTGGACACGACTGACCGTGGTGCTCGATAAAGCTTCAATCAGGGCCTCAAAGCCCGACGCAGCAATGGCATTCCACGACAAATCCAGCTCGTGCAACGAGGTGGGCAAGGCAGCGGCCAAAGCAGTTACACCCACATCACCAATGGCATTGTGGCCCAAGTTGAGTGCTCGTAGCGCCGAGGTCTTGGCAAGAAAAGATGCCACAATGTCTGCCCCCTCGTCGCCCAGCTGCAAGTTCGTCAGCTCGAGACTGTACAGGTCTGTTGGGCGGTCGACGAGCGCCTCTATCAAAGCCTCTGTCATGGCCTCATCAAAGGGGATGTCGTTCAATTCTAGCTTGCGCACACCTGCATTGGCGCGCAGCGCGGCCACAAAACTGATAAACGTCTCCGAGTCGGCACTCACAGGCGCTGCGCGCTTCAGCTCCAGCTCATTGCATCTATGTTCGCCGCAAGCGCACGGCCTCACGTCAATCACCACACGCGGTACAGACAATGCAAGCAAGCAGACGTCAATCCCACCGAGTCGCCAAAATGCGCTGCGCAGCCTCCCACGTCCGAGCTTCACAGTCACTCCATGCCACCACTCCGCCAACCACCAAGCAGCTCATAACGAGAACCCCGCGCCACCACATGCTTCCGGTCCCTCCCACGAGCAATGATTAAAAATTATTTTTGTGAAAAAAGAGAGAGAGATTTAGAGAGAGAGAGAGAGAGAGGCTTTTGATGAGAGATGTTGCGAGAACAAAGTGTGTGTGTGTGTGTGTGTGTGTGTGTGTGTGTGTGTGTGTGTGTATCTTGCCACGGGCTGTGTTGCGTGCCAGTGCCTGGCTTTTAGCTCTGTGATTTAGGAATACAGCTTGCTTGCGGCTGTGAGGGGCACGCGCGATTATTGGTACTGCTAACATTAAGCAAGGTCGTATGGGAGATGCTGAGCCTTGAAGCGTTTCAGGATGATAAGAATGAATAAGAATGAATTACAAAATGGATATCCGAGTTCGTTCAGGGAACAGAAAAAAAAAAAAAAAGGATGTGCGGACAATGGGAGCAGGCCCGAGCGGGAATTCACCCCCAAAAAAACATGACGTGGGATGGAAACTTGGCTTGGCACCAACCCGAGTCATGTCAATAATGGATGGCCAAAATCTGAAAAGTGAAAGCGCGATGTAGCAACACGAAATGACTGGCAGCTCTTATCACGCGTCGCTGGGATCCCTAAACGGCTTCTTCCTCCGGTGCCGGGTCTGCCTCCGGTGCCGGGTCTGCCTCCGGTGCCGGGTCTGCCTCCGGTGCCGGGTCTGCCTCCGGTGCCGGGTCTGCCTCCGGTGCCGGGTCTGCCTCCGGTGCCGGGTCTGCTTCCGGTGCCGGGTCTGCTTCCGGTGCCGGGTCTGCCTCCGGTGCTGGGTCTGCCTCGGGTACAGCCTCCTCTTCAGGTGCTACCTCCTCTGTTGCTGATGCCGCTTCTTCTTCGCCTTGCGGCTCATCATTGGTTGCGAGTTCGGGCTGCGCTTCATCGGCAACATCGGCACTGCCAGACTTGTCCTCCTCCTCCTTGAGGAGCTTGATGCCCGTGTACAGCGCCGTGATAATCTGAGCCTCCGTAATGCAGAAGCGTGCACTCGGCGAAATGTCGCACACACCGCCCTCACCAATCGGCGTGTGCTCGCCGCCAATGCCACGCACCGACAGGCCCAGCGGGCGGCACACCTCCTTGGCCTTTGCATCCGTGCCATCCGCCGTCAGGTTGGGCAGGCCAATGTGCACACTCGCGCGCATGCCCGTACCCAGGTTGGTCGGGCAGCTCGTCACCACACCGTAGTCGGGCGACATGGCAAAGGACAGGCCCTCAATGCCGTTGACCACGTCCAGCGCCGTCTTCAGGCGGTCAAACACCTCGTTCAGCACCGTGCCCTTGCGCATGCACATGATACGCAGGTGGTCTTCCTCACCCACCCAGATGATAAAGCCACGGTCCTCCGACACGTAGCAGCCACGGCCATAGGGCCAGTCGGCCGCAATACCAGCCGACGCCAGGTACGGATCCGCCGCCATGTCCTTGAACATGATGTGGTCCTTGACCAGCTGCTGGTACGCCTCCTCGCTGATGTGGTCCGGGTGATCGGGCGTCAGCGAGTTGTAGCCGCCGCCGTACTCGGGCATGGCCTTGAGCTTGTCAAAGGCCTCGCACATCTTCTTCTCCAGGCTGACACGGTCATCCTTGGTCATGGCGCCCGGCAGCGGAAAGTCGGCCAGGTTGCGACCCACGCGCACGCGCATCGACAGCGCCGGCAGACCCAGGGCAGCCAGGTCCAGGCGCCCGTCAGCGGGCAGACCCTCGACACCCGACAGGTCCCAGTTGTTGGTGTGCTTGGCGTCCTCGCCCACCTTGTGGTAGTCGGCCAGGACCTTGCTGAAGAAGGGCTTGAAGCGGTCGTAATCGGCCGGCTGCATGGCGTAGCAGCCCATGCCCGAGTCGCCGTTGTCGATACCGCTCTGGCAGCACTTGATCAGGGCCTTCTTGTCGTCGTCGCTCAGCGTGTTGTAGTAGTCGACATCAAAGTGCTTGGCCATGCGGTTACCCGGGTGCGCCGCCTTGACGGCCGCAATCTTCTCCAACACTTCAGCACGAGTGGCAATGGCGGGAAGCAAGGTGTTCTTGTTGAGCGAAGCGTCGCTGTCGGAAGAAGGTGTACTTGGTGCAGAGCTGGCAGGGGCAGGCTTGCTCGGCGACGCAATGGGGGCAAGGGTCGATCGCTTCGAAGTTTTGAGCGGTGATGACTTGGGAGTGCCTTGATTGAGACGCTTCGACTCGATGCCGGTTGGCACGCGATCAGGACGTTGGCGCTGGCGTCGACTGCCCACGAAGCGATCCCAAGCATAGGCGGGGACAGCCGCATTGGGGTCAATACTCGCCAGGCAATCCTGAATGTAGGGGATGGGTCGCTCGGGCTGATCATACATCAAGCCCGCCATCAGTGCCTATAGATTCCCAGTCGCCGCCAAATCAAGAGGTCACAAGACACAGGTGGAATCAAACCATCAAGTGAGTGCGTGCGCATGAATCTGTCGCTGTTTCGCGCCGGTCTGTGCACAACTTTTGCGGCCATGGCTGAAAACTCATTGAGTGCTTGGCTCAGGCCAGCGCCTTGACGCAGTCACAGGTTCTCCCATGAAGACGTATGGAAGCCATAAGCACACAGCCAGGCACCGCTGCCATATGCGCCACTCCTCTCAGCTTGGCCCCAACTCCTCCTTCCTGAGATGACCTCACAACCCTACTCGATCAACATCAACAACGAGCAAGCGCTGATTCTTTCGCACCTGAAACAGCTGGGCAAGCTGATGCCGATCGGCATAAGCCTTGGCATCTCCAGACATTGTGCTGTTCCTTCTCCAAGTCTCCTTCTTGCCATTCAATGCAGCGTACAAAGCAAAATCCCCCGACACCGCCCCTCTGCCCTTTCGCGCATCCGCACAGAGAGAGAGAGAGAGAGAGAGAGAGAGAGAGAGAGAGAGAGAGAGAGAGAGAGAGAGAGAGAGAGAGAGAGAGAGAGAGAGAGAGAGAGAGAGAGAGTTGTGTGTGAGGGAAAATGCGGTTGTCAAGCTGACAATTCAGAGCCTGATTTTTGTATTAAACTGGGCAAGTAATTTAGCTGGTGGATTAATTCACATTTTCGACCGGGCCACGACCCTCGTGTTCGACCCCGGTGGCGGGTCGGTCAGTGGCCTGCGTGATGGAGACGGAGGGTGGGGACCAACAGCAGCCGCCGCCAGAGGAGGGCCCGCATGTGTCGCCCGAGTTTACACGCTGGTATGTGGTTGGGTGCAAATGGGGTCTGGTGGCTCGTGTTCTTCCATGCTGGTCGATGGTGCTCACTCACTGACCCTTTCGTTCTGACAGGACGGGACTGGGTGACCCGGAGGTGGCTGAGTTGGTGCGCGATGCGTGCTTTGCCACTTTTGGTGGCTTCTTCTTTGGTGGCGTGACTGGTATCAAGAATGCCTCGGCTGAATTTATCGAGGAGAATCGAACTACCAAGTTCAAAAACCAGGTGCACATGCAGAGTGAGATGAACAATGCCGTCCTGCGTCGCTTCGCCTTCCGAGGCAGCCGCTGGGGCTGGCAAATTGGTCTATTCTACACTCTTTTCAAGTATGTATACATCCAAACCACTCTGCAATATGGCTTGTCGGCGTGTTGTAGTTTGTGGATTGCCGATGGCGCTGCCTCACATGCCTTGTTTCTCGAGCGTAGACTGGGTGAGCACACGCTCCAGCATCAGCGGCAACAACGCGATGTTCTCAACATGGTCGGCTCTGGTGGTAAGCTTTGCGTCCAACCTCTTTTTGTTTTGTTCTTGCTCCATCTAATGATGGGCACGCGCGGCGGCATCACTTGTTGTTGATGATCACTTTTATTGGAGCTGGACTGATTGTCTGTGCTGATAACCTTTAATACGCAACTTTTTTCTGAAACTTGTGATGCCAGTCATTGGCATCTCGTGTGCTTGATTATGTTCATGTCTTCTCATTGGTGCTTTGGCTATTGGCTCCTGCTTAACCGATAGGTGCTGTTGGCACCCTGTTTGGCCTGCGCCATGGCCCCCGTGGCGCTGGTGCCGGTCTCTTGGTAGGGGCTGGCCTCAGTCTGTGGCTGGGTTTGATCCTTCAAGGTTCATGGATTGTCGAGAAGTACATCAAGAAGGAGCAAGCTGCGCTGGCCTGCAACGAGGACACAGCTAACATTGACGCAGATGCTCTCCTCGCAACTTCAAATGATGAAGCGAGCAGCACAACCGAGATCACTGCCTGAGATCACATTTGCGCGCTAGTGCTAGCTAGTTTTCTCTGTTTTTGCCTTTCTCGGGTCTAGTAACGATACAAGAGCCTGCCTATCAATGGCTTCGCTTCTCGACACTCCGCTGTGCGGTTCTTTGTTTTCTTGTTTTATTTCCCTATTGCCAGCTGGTCTGGCTGTGTCGCGCTTTCCCATGGCAAGGCTGCGACACGTGTGGTTCCAACCCAAACTGTGATGCCTTTTTTTTTCTTAGCTTTGCGCTTTCTCTGCGTCTGCGACGCTGGCTTTTTGGTGCCAAGCACCTCTCTGAATCGAACGACAAGACTCTTTTGATCCGATCCCCTCCTTGACCTCCCTCACTGTCGTGTGTGTAGACAGGCCTCACGTTTCTTCCCCTCCACAAAATGCGAGTGGGCCACTGTGCGTCAACATGAGCTTTGCTTGGATTTCGGGCAATGCACAACAACGATTCGGAAAGACGAGTTTGACCGTCCCGGACGGCAAGATGATTGAGCTGGCGCTCTTCTAAGTCGGCGACTCTGGTGTGAGTCGATACAGCTCGACTGCTGCGTCACTGCTGATTGGCCGCAGCGGGGTTTTGAACAAAATTGACGCTATATGAACCCGAGTTGGGGTCCTGTTGGAACTGAAAGTTGTTTGTCGAAAGCCCAAAGGGACGAAGACACATGTTGCCCAGCTCCTTCAACTTGCCTAGACGGTTTGATATGGCATCACTTTGCAATGAGGTGCACCTGGAAAAGATTTCTCCATTCCAACGCCGCGAGACCTTGACATACCAAACATCTCCTCCTTCATCTTTTCCTTCTGTTGCTCTACCAAAGGTGGCAGTCGCTGTGTTCGGGGCAAAAGCAACACGACACCACCCATGAGTTGCAGCAGCACACGCAGCAGACGGAGCGCACACGCAGGGAGCTAAAGAGGATTTATCAAGACAAGACAATCCAGTCAACTGACCACAACCGCAGCACGGGCCTCTGGTTGGTTGGGCTCCAACTCGAGTAGTTTCTTGAAATCTATCAATGTCACACCACGAGAAGCGTACATTCAAGTTCATGTGGCCACGAGAACGACAGCGGTTCGCATCATCCAGCGCAGCTGCAGGGAAAGAGCACACCTTCCAATGCCTGGTCATAGCGTTCGAGGGCCTCCAGGGCCTTGGCACGACGTCCATATGCCTTGGCATAAGAGGGGTTCAGTTTGATGGCTAAATCAGGAATCAGATCAAGATCAGGGCCATTGACACAAACAGAGGCCAGCTGACGCATCTGACACGCACCTTCGTCGCAATCATCGATGCAGAGCTGGTGCGCTTCTAGTTTAAGCTGGCATGCCGCGCGGTTGCTGTAGAAAACGGCCATTTCCTACACACGTACGCGGTGGCATGCATCAACACTGGTGAGGCCAACGAGCGGTCAGCTGACAAGGCAACACGACTAGCTGCCAACGCACTGCCGCATCCATGTATTTGGCGGGAGGTGCTGCCTCAATGGCTTGCGTATAGGCCTCGATGGCGTCACCAAATTCTACAGCGTGGTGAGCACTCGATCGTGAGTGTAGAGGATGATGAGTTCGTGTAGTTGGCAGGCCCTTGACTCACCACCCTGTCGAAAAAGTCCGTTGCCCTGGTCTTTGTGTGTCTTGGCAGTTCGGCACATATCCTAGCACAGGTTGACACGGGTGCATATGTATGATAAGTGACGGTCAATTCTAGAGCAGCAGACATGACGCGGTCCAAAGCGCTCACCTGCACAACGTCATCTGATAGAATTTCTTCAATCACCTCTTCAACCTCCGAAGCACCGCCCTCTTCCGGGCTCGCTTCGATGCTTGGCTCTGGAACGGCGTCGGTTGGCACCGCATCGCTAGGCGCGGCGTCAACTGGTGTGTGCTCGGTTTCGGGGTGATCCGAGCCAATGAGCTCCGACTCGGGCTCCAATTGCCGTCCTTCGGCCTGCTGCATCACATTTCATCAATCGGGCAAGCAGGTACCAGGTAAAGGTGGCAGCATGTTAACAGGCGTACCTTCGTATCGCTGGCTTCCATGTTGCTCCGCCCTAATCAGCCGTGCACTGCTCAAGGATATTGAACACGACCTCGGTGATCACTCTCGTACTCGTTCTGGAAAAACGTAAAAAAAGTAAAAGAAAAAAGAAGGAGAATTATTGGATAAAAAAAAAAAAGGTTTTTTTTTTCCAAGATGTTTGCGAACTCGTGCGATTGCGGGGTGGGTGTGTGGGTGAAAGGATCAATGACTTGGTTGAGACGAGGAGTCATGTGGGTGCAGTTGGGAGGAAAAGAGTGTCGGTATCAATTGGGACGGATGTGCCGACTAACGACGGCGTGGGGGCGGTGGGGCGTCCAATTGGCGACTATCAAGCGCTATGCAAAATTCCGTCAGGATGCGAATGGACTCGACCGGCAATTGTTGCTTATCACCACAGAGGCATTGCAGTACCGTGGCATGCCACTTGGTGCGCACATAATGCAGGGCGCGATACTCGTCGCCGGTCATAAACATGCTGATCCATGGGTCAGCATGACATTCGCGCTGGTTTGGGCGGCGGCTCAAGTTGGTAAGAAGGGACTCGACATCAAAATCATCGTCACTGCTCTCCTGGTCCTCATCCTCGGGGTTGCACGCGCTTTCCAAAGAGCCGTCTTCAGCCAGCCATTCCCCATCCTCATTCACGACAGGTCGGAATAGCTCCGCCGTTACTTGCGGCAAAGAGGAGCCAAACACAAAGACCAAAGCTGGGTCCACCACCGTGCACTGCCAGTGTCGCGGCGCAAGTAGGGCGGCAGAAGAGAACAGGGCGACAAGAGGATTGACAAAGAACCGTGTTGATGAGGGTGATCACCAACAAAATCAAGTGCCTTTGCCGAGTGGCAAAACGATGGGACACACCTCGCGAATGCAAGTAAGTCGCTCTAGTCGTTGAATGTCTTGAAAGACGAGCCAAGTGGCTTGTGTGTTCTGCAAGTGGAACACAACATATGCCATGGCCCACATAGGGGTTGAGACTTGCACAGACGTGATGGTGACAAGACCAGACGTATCCATCCAAGTGCAAAAAACAAACAAACCTTGAGCATGGAGCCAGTATGGACCTTGACGCGCGATTCAGAGCGTGTGGAATAGCTACCGATAGATGCAGTGGATTTATGATGAGGGACGAAAGCAACTCTCTTGAAGCAAACTCATTGCCTTGCCACGCTTTACCCACCTCTTGGCGTTGGGGTTGCGACGTGCAATGTTAGGGTAGAGGCCCGCGCATAGCGCCGCCTTGATCACGCCGCGTTGAGTTTGATTTCGGTTACCAAACTGTGTTGTCATCCAAGCCAAAAGTGATTTGAATGAGCAAATCGGCTTCGTCTCGCTCGCGCAGGAGGGAGGGGCTTGCACACAGTCAGCGCATACACGTTTACCTCAAGGTCCAAGTGCTTGCCAGTCGGCAAGACTGGACACCGGTGTAGTTGCTTCAGAACTTGTTGGCGCATGCCTAAGCAAAACACCGTAATGCAGTTTAGAGCCCACAGATGAAACATGTGCCAAGGGACACCCGTGGTACAAACCGTCAATGACGTTGAGAGTGCTTTCGGACAGATAGTTGTCACGACAAAAATTACGCGCGGCCTGCGAGCTCTGCAGTATGGCATGCGTTGGCAAGCGAACAAGCGGGCACCAATCAAGCGTCAAGATCCCCATGACTTTCAAAACTAGAAGGTGACAACACAACCCCACATGGATGCTGCAGCCGTTTTGGGAGAAAAGACAATGGAAAGGTCTCGACGCAGTGGCTCTTTGCGACATCTCTGCACGCAAACGACGTACCATGGTCTTTTGGCGGCGATACTCGTCATAAACCTTGATCAGAGCCAGATGGTCCGATTCAAATTCCAAACCCCACTGCATGTGCATTCGCTTGGCAGCGGCCTGCTCAACGCCCAAAGGACACATGAGTCTAGCGAGCTGAGGGCGGGAGACCACGAGCGCTGCACACAGTCAAGGCTTGCACATACCCGCGCTTGCGGTTGCATGGGAAGCGCAAAGGGCGAGCGGTAGTCACCGCAGCACACGAGCGTCAGAATGGGATCCAGCACGCCCAGGACATAGGCCAACAACACCATGCGGGCTGATGGTGGTGACAATGACAGGTTGGAGAGACGGTAGCCCAGGTTGGTCACGTTCTCTTCTGGATCGAGCACGGCAATCTGCTGCAACAAGTCAATAGCCGAGTCAATGGCCTTGGGATCGGGGGCTTCAGGCGCCAGCTCCAAGAAATCCTGCCAACAAATGTGTCCAAGATGAGCTAGATGAGCAAAGCTACCACAGGAAGGGACAGGCTTTACGGCTGAAGATTGGTGTGAGTGAGATTAGCAGGACGACGTACAGCAATGCCCTGATCTTCTCGCATCAGCATCTTGGCCTATTGAAGGGCGTAAAAGTGTCAGTAACCACCAAGCTGCCAGATGCTCGTGATTTGCTCAAGAGGAAGGGTGAAAAAAGAAAAAAAAAAGGCCAGCGACAATAACCACACAAGAAAACAAGCAACGGCTCGTGAAATTTGCCGCTGCACTCATGAATTAGACGCACTTGCAAGCAGAGGTCGTCCAGTGATACGCGAAGCAGCTCGGCCTTTTGAAAGTGAGCCAGATTGCGATACCGTTGCTGCAATTGCAAATGGGGAACAACCAGCTTGAGCATGTGGAATTGTCCCACAATTCAAACGGGGATCCGACACGGTTATGCACTTCACATTCGGACCTTGCTGAAGAGGTGATAGGCCAAGCCAGGACGCACGCGACCGGCACGCCCACGGCGTTGCTTGGCCGAGGCCTGGCTAACCCAAGTCTTTTGCAGCGTGGGTACCCCCGTACCGACGTCATACGACTACATATGCGTGAATAGGTCCCGACGTCAGGTCGTCACATGATTGACAGTGGCAGCGGGTGGGTCGCAGTGAGAACCATAGACAGGAATTGGCAAAAGCCGTACAGTTTCTTTCAGTTTGCCAGAATCAATGACGTAGACCACGTCATCGATCGTCACGGCAGTTTCTGCAATGTTGGTTGAGCAAATGATCTTGGTAGTTCCCTATCAAGAGTCGAGGGAAAAAACAAAAAACAAACAAACAAACAAAACAAAAACAAAAACAAAACAAAAACAAAGTCGGGGCATGAGAAGTGGGTAGAGTTCAGTGTGGGCCGAATTGGGTTCTGAGCAACACGGGGCCGCAAATTATGACCAACCGAGGGTGGGTGGGAAAACACGGCGTTTTGATCGCGGGCTGAGCACTGAGAATGCAGGGGCAAGGCGTAAATGTACTGTAGCGAGCTGGTCAGTGCGGCAATCGTGTTCATAATCTCCTCATATCCTGTTTTGTCAGGCCCCACCGACATGAGATTGCGTGATGCAGCCGTGCGCGTCAGCAAACTAGGCATGTACTACTCATGACTAACCGGGCAAAAAGATCAAAATGGCGCCTTCGCCAGCAGGCCAGTGCTGCATGATATGGGCCACGAGCTGGACAATGAGCTCAATGTCGACATCGGAATCGTCGAAGCTGGCCTGGTATGCCTGCACCATGGCCCGCTCATCGACGGTCATATCCTGGGAAAGACACGACACGGTGTAGAGCAGCCGCGGCATATACAAGGCGGCATATGCAAGGCGGGCACAGCAGCACGTGAGCAGGGCTAAAAGAAAAGCCACGTTCACTGTATTCGGCAAGCAAAGAAGCGTCCACTGGACGTACGGCTATGACTTCTGATTGCATGCCGTCTTCGTCATCCGACAGGAAGGTTTGCAAGATGTTCAAGACGTTGTGATGTCCAAAGTAGGCCGCAAAGTCTGCTGCAGTCCAGCCGTTGTGACGGCAGGTGGCACCAGCATCGGCATCTAAGCGTAGCAAACGGTCCACCCATTCGTCCGCTCCTTTGGCCGCAGCGATCATCAGTGTCGTCAAATCTGTTTGGGGGTGCCTGGAACATTACCAGCGATGGGTCGCATGAATGGCTCAATGAGACACACGGTTTTGGCGGCCAAGGGGCCCATACCGGTGGTCGACGTCAATGCCATCAGCCACGAGCTCATGGTAAATGTTCATCAGGTAGCTCTCCGTGCTGAGGCCAACTTCGGCGTGCCACGCTTGGCCCATGCCCTGCTCAATGAGCGCCAGGCTGCTGCGCAGCTGGGCAGAATCGGCTTGTTGCTTCCGGTGAGACTGATGGCCGCGAAACCCAATCGACTTGAGCGCCTGCCAATATGCAGCAAAACGCCGCAAGCTGTGAGACTTGCGGCCTTTTTTTCAAATAGCCCACCGACCAAATGGATGGGTGATCTCATCTGGAGTGCCAGAATGAGGGGGCGGGGGACCCACATCTTCAAGAAAGAGCGACTTGACGGGAAAGGTGCGACCGGCAATATGGAGGCTGGGGCAGTTGTCAAAGTACTGAATAATCGTGACACCAGAGAAGGGCATGGTGAGGCTGGTGCACCGCGGGACGCGGTCACATTAGCGAGGTGGCCAGCTCTTTGATCCCACCTCAGTGAAGAGCTCGCTGTGCAGCGTCGCGGACATGATGATCAACTTGACATCCGGGCGCCGCGCCAAGAGCTGACGCAAGGAAATCAGGAGAAAATCGCTGCGGACAGCATAAGAGGTCGGCAGCGCGTACAGGCGATATGAAGATGACCCAAAAAACGGTGACTTTGTCATGCGTCATGGTAAGGGCGCAGGGATGGCGGCGTTCGAACCACGAGCTTACCTGAAGCGATCGCGTTCGTGGACCTCATCCACAATGACATGGGTGACATGGCCCAGGTCTGACAAAGCATCGATATGATTGTCAAGTGGACGCAGGTTAATGGACAGCCCAACACTGGTATCTGATTGTGAGCGACCGTACCTGGGTCGGACATGGCAATGCGCAGCAGGAGGCCTGTGGTGCAGAACATGAGCTTGGTGTGGGCAGAGACCTGGCTATCCAGGCGAATGTTGTAGCCAACTGTGTCACCTGTGTGTGTTTACACAGGTGTAACAGAACACAGTTGTTGGAGGGGGGCGGGGGGCGGTCAGCGGTGGCAGGGTGAGAGTGGATGATCACAACCAGATTGCGTGTTCTGTGTATTGGGCTGAATCAGTAGCCGTACCAACGCGGGAGCCCCATTCGGTGGCAACGCGCTTGGCCACACTCATGGCAGAGATGCGCCGAGGTTGGGAGCAGACGATGCAACAAGGCGTGTTCCTGCCACAGGTGCAGCATTGGCGATGGGTGAAATGTACAACGGCAAGATTCGATCCGCTGCAATGTTGGCTCAATGCTTTAGGCACGTACCGCTCTACTGCGGCCTCGAGCACAAACTGCGGAACCTGGGTTGTCTTGCCCGAGCCAGTTTCACCGGACAGCAGCAAGACCTGGTTGCTATCAATGGCCGCCAAGATTTGCTCGCGCATGGCAAAAGCTGGAAGCGTTTGGCGAAATTGCTACACAAGGGTCCAAAAAAGAGGAGGGCTTGCAACTTATGAGAGGGCCCCACGAGGCAGGGGCGGGGGTTAGGAGGCTTGAGGCAGAGCAAGCGTACAGCCAGATCCTCTCGGCGTTGCGGCGCTGGGGGTGGGCCGCTGATCTGATCCATGAAGCCCTTGGAAGAGGTGACATCTGTCAGCTTGCGCGCTGATGGTGGAGCGGCCTTGAGGCCATCAAGAATAACGTCGCTGCAAGGGGGTGCAAGAGCAATGAGCATGTTGGGCAGAGGGCGCAGGAGTCGGTTTCTGGTTGGAAGGGGCTGCAAGACCAACCGCTCTTGGTCAGAGACAGGCACCTTTTGGGACACTTGCAGGAGTACCTCTCTCGTCTACGGCAATCATAGAGGGAAAGGTGAGGCAGGTGAGCTCTCTCACATCCCCACAACACGTGCCCCCAGGAGTAGAAGGAAGAGAATCGACAATAACAACTCTCCCCTGGACGCAACCCGAGGCTGCCAATACGGCTTGCCGAGGAGCATCGAACGACGAACCTTGTCAGCTAGGTGCACTTGGTGGGAGCTACTGGCCTTTTGAATGTGTTGCTTTGAAGCCGTCAATCGTCTGCGTGAGGTGAAGCATGAGAATGGTAGAGGTCAGCCAGGTGGCGCCGCGAGACGGAGCCGGCTAGAATAGAAAGTCGTGCCTGTTTTGATTCGAGCCAATTGATTTGGATTTGAGGCCGAGCTTGATACACAGCTGGTGTGCAAACTTGCGCTGGAGGTTATTCAGCGTGGCCGGGAAGTAGAGGGCTGTCGTTGCACGATCATGTCACGGTTCATGCCGTAGATGAGATTGTAGTGGTGACAAGGGGTGGAGGGCAGTGTGAGCCATTGGCACTCTGATGTGAAAGATGTGGGTCGGCACTTGGACAGCCCAAGGATGGTTGAAGAAGCGCCTCAAGACGTACTGGTGTCTTCGGACAAGGCAAAGTCCTCAAGCTTGGCCGAGATCCATTCTTGAAATTCTTCCGAGACGGAGGCGTCGGTGGTGGGAGGGACATCGCGCGTTGGTGCTACACGACGCTCTAGCCCTTGCCCACTCGGCAAGCCATGCGCATTGCCGCGACCCCGCCCACGGTACGATGTCGTTGGATACCCACCACTGCTGCTGTGGCCACCGCCTCGCGAATAAGGTCGATCATCATATTGTCTGTGGCCGTCGCGGCCGCCATGCCCACCACGGCCTCCAGCCCAGTGGCCTTGGCCGTAGTTCTGGCCCTGACCGCGTCCACGTCCCCGACCGCGGCCCCGACCGCGACCGCGGCCGCGACTCCTTCCGCCGCCACCACCACCACTACCATGGCTCTGGTATTGCGTGTTCCAGTTCTCCATTCTTGCACTTGGGGCCTGAGGGAAGTGTTTTTATTTCCAACAAAAGGTCCGGGTCGTGAATGAAAGCTCCCGCCTAGATTGGCCCAGCACGCTCACACGCGGCCCAAACAAATGCAAGTTGACCACCTCCTGTCACGCTCACCAGCAAAAACCCCTACAATAGCCACCGATCAGCTTTAATATCAGAGCGCATGCGTACGAGCGCGCGTCAGCGAAGAAGCCCGAACCGGTTCCCAGTCTGCAACAATTGGCTGTCATAACTCACCTCCCGAAAAAAAAAATCAAAAAAAAATCCAAAAAAACCAAATTGCCTTACGAGAATGGCTTGACGCCAAAACGTGTTGTCATCATCTGTTCATAACATCGGTTGTCAGATTTTTCGATTGACCCGATGAAGGGGGGTTTCTGCAGCAGCTTTTCAAGTTATTGAAGATTGTTTAAGAGTAAAAGTAGAAACTTTGAGAGAAAATGAAGTTTCATTAGGAACTTGATGTAATTTTACAGAAGAAAATATAAGACTTTGTGACGATACTAATTCCCGTGAAGAAGCAGTCCGTGTAGCTATTGCTGTCCCAGCTTTGAATTTTTATCTGACAACGGCCGTCCGTCGCTCTCAAATTTTTAATTTTTTTTTGGCGGGGGCAGGGGAATGATGCGAGGGGCAGCGGCTCGACAGTCGGGCAGCCAGGAGCGGGTGGAGGAGGGGGAGGGGGGTCAGGAGGGGGGTGGAGGACAAGAGGAAGAGATTGAGGCCCCCCTGGTGTTTCAGTGTGATGGCTGTCGACGAATCGTGGGAGATTCTTTCAACTGGGTTGATTCGAATCAAGAGCTCAACGTGATTACCCTTTCCCGTAAGTGGTGTTGGGGCGCAGGAGCAGTGTGCGCGAGCAGCTTGATCCTGCTTGCTCGCCCACAGCCTTTCCCCTCTTTCAAACTCTCAGCTGAACTGCGAGGCAGAGGAAAGGACACAGGGCAAAGGACAAAGCATAAAGAATGTTGAGATTAACTTGGTGACTCTACACCGCCCTTGTGAATCGTGGACTAGGCGCACCAGAGTCGTTGCGGGTCATGGAGCGGATGGAAACAAGTACACAAGGACCCGACCTCGGCAGTACCTATCGGTACTTTCTCTGTGCGTGTGGCATGAACCTAGGCCGCATTTACCATACCACACCGCCGCAGCTCGATTATTTGAGGTTTGTCCTCACCATGTCGCTGGTCTGTCGATTCCGATTGGAAGCGCGTGTGGATGTCCCCTTCACGCGGTCCATGGAACTCCGGTGGTTTGTAGAGGGTTCTACACGTATGACCTCAAGGCACTTCAAAGGTATGCGCCCGGGTCCACTCGGTCCTGAAGCTGGGGCCAGAGTAGCGGGGTGTATATAGCATGCCCGGGCGAGAGGGGAGGGAACGTGTAGTCCGTGTGTCATCCGCTTTGACTGACTGGTACACGTCCTGCAGTTACACCCTGGGCACTGGCAGTCCAGAACAGGAAGTCGGGCAACAAGCATCCCTCCTCACGCGCAGTATTGATGAAGTACGTATGCTTGTGTGTGAGCCCTGAGCCTGGAAACCGTGTGCCTTTTTTATTTCATTTTTATACATTTTTTCTTCGGGCGGCGGCCGCACGAGCAAGATTTCCCGCACTCTTCGTTTGGTCACGTTTGACCGTTTTTGGCATTGCCTTTGACTTATGACTGTGGTTTGGGTTGTGGCAGTTGCGGAACGAGGTCGGGGAGGCGCTTCAACAGCACGAAGAGGGGCTAGAAGAACTACGGGAGGCTGTCTTGGACCTGCAGGCACGTTGGGAGCGCCACGAAACCAAGCGCGCACCAACCAGCACCCCCACCGCAACGCCGAGTCGTCGCAAGCACGCCAAGCGTACATAGTCTTGCCTTTCTCTACGACTTGCTCTGTGATTTGGCAGCAGTTGTCAATTGATTTCAAAGGGGGAAAATAGCAGACCGTTCACATTTCCACACGAATACTTTGGTCGTTAATGGGGGAAACCACCGCCGGACCATTCACATTGACACATGAATACTTTGGTCGTTAGCTGTCACGCGTTGCCACTCGCGATATTCAACATCATCCGCGGGTGTCAACAGCATGAAAGCTGACGATCATGCACGCCACGTTGCTGCCAGGCGTTGCCATGAACATAGAAGTTCGGACAAAAAAAATGATCATGCCAACGCACGGCATCTTCGCCAGTTCGTATCGCACTCAAAGGTCAAGTCAAGCTTGCCATTTGCTTACCCATGCCTGTCATTTAGATGCATTTGGCTGATCGAGCCACATGGAGGGCCAACAAGATACATCTCAACGGCACGCATGGGCAAGCAAGGGCAAGCAACGCACGACTTCCATGGCCAGGCGATTACTTAGTGGTGCGTTTCAACTTGTGAAGGAGATCCTTGGCTGCCCGTTGATCAGCGTCGCGTTTCGTCGCGGCTGACCCCACGCCCAAAAAAACTTGATTGCGGGATTTCACATAGACACCGATGGACCGGATGTGTACTCCAGGAACATTTGTCTCTGCGTCCGCAAAGTCGGCGACGATACAATCGAGGCGTTGTAGAAGCTGGTTGAGCATTGATTTGTAGTCCCTGGTCTTTGGTACTGGTGGGGCTGATGGTGCTCGATATTGGTCCTCAAAGTCATCTGCTGTCTCTTCGTAGTTATTCGTGCCCTCGGCCCTGGCTGAGCTGAAGCGCGACTCATCAGGTACTGGTGCTGCGGCATAAAATGGTGCGGGCCGCGTGGGAGCACTGTCTTTGAGGCCTTGCACAGCGTTGTGGGCCGCGTTTTGTTCGCTCATTTTCTTTGAGACGCCGTAGCCCGTGTAGACAGACTGGTCGTAAAGCCTACACGTGCTAGTCCAGGCCAAGCTATGCTCGGGTCCAGAGGCTCGATGCTCGTAGATGGGGGCTGGCAATGACCGGGCCGCCAAGGTTTCTTGAAGCGTGCTCTTGGCGTTGTAGCCGGGGCCAGCGTGATAAGAATCTTGTTCGTTACTTGAGCTCGTCTATCCGCGGAAGCATGCCAAACAAAAAAAAAAAAAAAAAAAAAAAAAAAAAAGCACCTCAAAAGCCCATGAGCACCAACATGTACGAGCCTGCGAGGGCGCTACCGCGTCAGGTGGCTGTACCCGGGAGAAAAGCAGGGGCTCCTCAGCTTTTGCCGTGCTTGGCTTGTCCTCAAATTGCTGGAGAAAATCACGCGCAGCCGCTTGCTCTGCCAGCTTCTTTGACTGAAGTGCGTGCATCGACCAACAAGAGGCGTGGGCAAGAATGATTGAGGGGGCTCGGGATCAGCGATCATTCATCAAAGTTGGTTGCGAAAAATGGTTCTCACCCGCTGATTAACGGCGTGGCCCACTGCTTCAAGCGGCTCTTTAGTAAAAGAGCTTTTTACAATGCAGGTTGCTGACCAGGTGGGCATGTGCGCTTCACCTGAAGAATCCGTAGTAAAGGAGACCTGTGCAGATGACCAGAAAGTGGCGCCGAGATGAGCAGAGCCACCGCAAAAATGTGCGGCAGTGAGATGAGCAGAGCGCCCCCCGCCAATTCTTCACCAGTGACTTACCGTCCAGTGTCTGGTCATTGCCATTTCATTCAACAGGCTTTTGTAGTTGATGGACATGATGGCGCCGTTCCTGGTCACTGGGTCCGTCCCCGACTCAGTGACCCCAAACCGATGAGTCGATTTGCAAAAAAGAAGAAAAAAATGAGAGAGAGAGAGAGAGAAAAGTTCGTTCAGTTCGAGATCATCTCTCACAAGCGCTCCACATGTTACTTCTCAAGAGAGAAGTAAGGCAATAAGGCAGTGAACATTTGTAAGAAGATGACGCGGGCTGATGATGATGATTATTAAATTAACACCTTGTATTTAAAGATGAGATTATTATTGTGTTGACTCCTTGAATTTTAATCTCTCTCTCTTTCGCTGGTTTCTCTCTCTCTCTGTTTTTCTCTCTCTCTCTCTCTCTCTCTCTTCAGTGACAGCAGCTGGCGCGCGCGACAGTGTGTCGTTGATCCGACATATGCGAGTGTGTGTGTGAGGGAGTGAGGGAGTGAGGGAGTGAGTAGGAAGGTGTTGTGGTCGTTGGAGGAGCGGTTGGTCGCGTTGGGTGCCCGGGACGTGAGTGGCGCGGCGCCGGGGTTTGGGCATAAGATCGAGCGTACAGACTTGTGACGAGCTCCACTCTCGGTTGGGTTGGTCGGCGGCATGGCTGCATTGGAGGCCGACGCGTCCGACGAGCTGCAGCTGGATTTGACGCAGCTCGACATTACCGGCGATGACTTTGACTTTGACGGTGCGTCACCACCCTGCAGTGTCATGTCCCTTCTTGCCTCACCTCGCAGTTGTCCCATGCATGCCTGTTATGAATACGCTGTTATTGTCTTCGAATCTCGCGGAGCACCTTTCCACTTTGTATCTCAATACCGGCTTTGATGCACGCGGACTGCGGTCCCACAGACAACATCGAAGACCACCTGCAGGATGAAATTGTGCAAGAAGCGCTGGATCAAGGGCTTGACCTTCGCGCGCACGCCCGTCAGGTTGAGCGCGACCTTGACTCCACCATTCGTGAATCCATTCAGGACTACCTCTCCGAAGCGCTCCGCATGACAGAGTTGTACCAGTATGTCCTGTCCATTCGGTCACGCAAATATCTTCGATTGTTCCCAAAGCGTGCCATCCGACTCAATCCCACCCATATTTATCTTGCGGTGGCGTGCGTGGCCGCGCCACAGTCAGGTGCAGTCCTGTGACAACATCCTGTCTTCCATGGAAAACATGCTGTGCGAGTTCCAGACCAACCTCGGTGACATCAGCGGCGAGATCCAGTCCTTGCAGGGGCAATCTGTGGACATGAGCATTCGCCTCAAGAACCGTCGTCAGGTGCAGCAACCCTTGAGTGAGCTCATCGGCCGCCTCGCCCTACCCTCGGACATTATCGATTCCATCATGTCCCCGACCGTGGGGCCAGACTTTGAGGTTGGTCCGCCAAAATCAAACCCTGTTGGAGCACGGCGCCGCTTCTGGGCATTGCAAACCCCTGCGCGCACGCGTACCCGTGTCAGCATCCTGTCGCTCAGCTGCTTGTGCACACAATTTTATTCGATTAGGAGGCCGTGAAAGAATTGCATCGCAAGCTAGTGTTTGTGGAGGAGCGTGGTGGCAACTTGGCAGCCGTAGGCGACGTTCAAGGCGATCTGGAGCAGCTGTCTCTTCAAGCCGCGGCCAAGATTCGTGAACTTTTCATGAACACGATTATGCGCGCTCGCAAGCCGGGCCGTGACCCCCAGGTGGGAGAGGGGGCCTTTCCACCCTCACATCGTGGAACGCACGCAATAGCTCATTCTCACCTTTTGGCGGGACAACGGTGGACCGACACAGATGCCGCAAGAAACGCTGCTGAAGAACAAGGCCTGCTTTGAGTTTATGCTCAAACACCATCGTCCCACCGCCAATGAGCTTCGTGCTGAATACGTCAACACCATGTCCAAGGTACCAACTTCGCTCATCCAGGCCTCTCATGCACCACCACTGCAGCACTTTGCCCCACCTCGCACGCCAGCAAAGTCGTCTCTCCTCCCGGCTGTCCTTGGCACAACTACTGCTGATATCTTGTGAAACCCCACTTAGGTTCATGCCTCGTATGTCAAGGCAGACGTACAGCGCTTGCTCAAGATGCAGGTGAGGTGCTGGTCTCGAATTGCCTCATGAGGCGGTGGCGTGCTTTTCATGGTCGCCAACAAAATTCTGGGCTGTAGATCTCGGACAACAGCAGTCAAGACTTGCTGGGCGCCGAAGCGGGGACAAAACGCAGCGGCTTCTTTTCTAGCAAGCCAAGCACCAAAGCAAAGCAAACCACGTTCACGCTGGGCAGCCGTGCCAAAGTTCTCGAGGTATCTTTACCGCCCAGTCACGTGTGACGGCCCAGCATGTGCTTTCTCTGCTAGATGTGCATCTCAATTATGGGCCATTTGCCACAGCGCTTGGACGACACGATTCTACTATCACAAAACACCGAGGTGCAGGCCGACAAACAGCAACCTCTGGCCTATGAAGACATTTTCCGCTCCTACCAGGTCCGTTGATCCTACATCCGCGCCATGCGTTGTCATGGCGGTTGCATGGGTTTATGGCCAAACTCTCTTACCGTTTCTGCGTACATCACCTCCCCTCCGTGTCTTATTTAAGTTGGCCATGGCCGACATTGGGGCGCGCGAATTCCTCTTCTGCACCGAGTTTTTCAGCGTCAAAGAAGCCAAAGGTCTGCTATCTGGGTCTTTGCAAGGTGCTCACCAGCTGTCGCCATCTGCGTGCACTGACGCCTGCCCACCGATTCCGCCTCCTTGGCAGGCTACGAGTTTTTCAAAGAAGTTATGGGCAAGGCCATGGGATTCATTCTCAAGCATCTGGAAACACACCTGGCTGCAAGTTTTGATGCCATTGGCATTGCACTCTGCGCGCGCATCAACACACATTATCGGGTAAATTTTCCCTGACTTTGAGCCCCCTCGTTGGCACCACCCACTCGGTTCATCTCACGCACTGCATGTCTCGCCAGCATTATGTCTCTGACAAGGGAGTGAAAGCGCTCAAGTCTTATTTTGACACAACGGAAAAGCTTCTATGGACAAATTTTGAGCGCATCATCAAAGCGCACTTGGAGAGCGTTCTTACCGTGGACCCCAGCCGGCTTCGGGACATTGACACGCGCCCACACTACATTGTGCGGCGCTACGCCGAATTCAGCGGTATGTGTGGTATACCTCTGCCGCAGAACTCGTGGCATGGGGCGCCTGCACCAGCGCGGCCTTTGGGGCTCCTGCGCTTTCCGTCAAGGTCACTTTCCTTTTCATTTTCCTTGACCCTCCTGTGTGACGCCAATGTTGCTGACCACGGCTCACCCCAACTCGGTACCCCAGGTGCCATGATCCAACTCAAGCAGGGTCACGAATTCCCTGTTCTGGACAAGTGTTTGAAACAGCTGCAGCATGAAGTGATGAACTTGATCTTGCGCATTGCCGCAGAGTTTACCGATCGGTTAGCCGAACCACCTGGCATGAACTGGCGATGACGAGCCTTGGTCTTGTGCTTTTGCCTCGGCCTGGCATGATTGGTCGTGCAAGGGCCTCATTTTTTTTTTTTTTCCTTGATAAATTCTGTTTTATTAAATTGGTCTGCTCTCTCTTTTATTCGCGGCCTCTCTTTGTGTGTGCTGTTTGACAGGAAGGACCAGCTCGTTTTCCTCATCAACAACTACGACATGATGCTCTCAGGTTGGTGTTCGCTGGGGTGTCCGTAGTCCTGCAGATTCTTGTTGTTCTTTCACTCGTTCAATCCTGTCGCCAAACGACATTTTTTTTTCTCTCACCCCCCATCCCTTCCCATGCGGTCCGGTGACCGGTATATACAGTCTACTCTGGGGTGACCACACAGGCGTCGCAGGAAGCGGCAGACACCCAGGCTGCCCTGCAGGTAAGGGAGTGCGGCGTACTTGAGGACTGAGTGCCATGTGATTGGCGACTCAAATGCCTGCTGCGGGCCTGTTCGTAGGCACGGATACAAGAGTATGCGCTGGTAGAGTTGAGCCCCGGGTTCGGTGGCCTCATTGGCTTCGTAAAGCAGGCTGAGGCCTCTTTGGCAACGGGGCGAGCCGAAGCCTTGGCGCAAAACACGGGTGCGTCAAGGCGTACCGACAGCGGGGCAGGCAAACTCGCCTTTCGATCTTTCTTGTGCCTTCATTCCGTTTCGCACCCTTACACCACGCCTGGTGGAACGCAACGACAGGCAAGATTCAGGGCCTCATTGATTCCTTTGCGAGCAACTGGCGGGACCACATCAACACTATCAATGGCGGAGTGATGCGCTCTTTCACCAACTTTGAGGTGGGTGGTGCGACATGTGCTTCTCAGGCTTGCTGGCACGATTTAATCCCTACGTGTGGCCTGACCGACATGTGGCGGGCGGGCATGCGCGCGCAGAACGGTACTGCCATCCTGCAGGAGGCCCTCACACAGCTCGTCGTCTACTATGAGAAATTCACGGCCATTCTGAAAAAGGTATGTGTGCTTTTGCGTCCCCACCCACTCCAACCCAAGGGCCCAGGGACCCCTGTGCATTTCAGACTACCAAGTATAATGTGGACCAAACTAATGCTCTTCTTCTCTTCATCATTTTGCGTGGACGACTAGGCGCCCTTTGCTCAGGCCAGCTCGTGGAAGAATCTGGTGGATCGCCACCAGCTCATGGTAGAGGTCAAGAAGCACAAGACCACTTTTTAAGTCGAGCCTGTTGCTGAAGCGGCTGTTTGACTAGTCTGGACGGTGGCTCAGGAACCAGATCTTGATGAATTGGTAAAATTTAATTTTGTGTGGTGTCCTTTTTTTTTTTTTTTTTTTTTTTTTTCCTTTCTTCCCTCACCCTTCAGATAGCACACCAGCTTTCAACGAAATGAGCGAGGGACGAGATGTGAACTGGAAACCATTTCCGCTCAATCAAAGGCAGCTGTCAAGTTGGTGTGCCTCGAGTCAGCAGGCACCCGGGCACCAACACCCTCCGCTGGCCACCCATACGATTCACACACCACAGCCCAGTCCTGCTGCACGGCAGCCATCCCGAGAGCAGTTCATGCCACCTGTCGCACGCTTTTTGCAATCCCATCATCATCCAGCCGGTTGATCCTTCTGGATCATGCTCTCGCGCATTCCGTGCGTGCTCGCATCGCATGCAACCGCCATCTCCGCGGCCATTTGGCGCGCCTTCCAGGAGCTTGGAAGGGTCACAACCGTTTGCAGTGCCACATTGCAACTTGTTCCAAAGCGAAGCATGAGGCACACTTTGTAAACCATAGTGTGTCGATATCGTACTTCATATAAGCATACATGCATGCATGAGTGGCCAGGGGAATTGTCCGCGATTGTTGCCTCGTCAACGATGTGACTCGACTGGTGGGCGCTGACCGCTTTGCGGGGTATCAACATCCAACCGTCAACACGCTGAAGTGGCAAGGTTTGCACTGCCACTTTGGCGCTGCACAAGCGCGGCAAGTGCATTTTATTGGGGACTGCCCTTTGAATGATGCCTCTCACACCTCTCGCCAAGATGGCAAGCACCCGCGCCATGCTCTTGGCCACCTTGGTGGCGCTTGGCGCTTGCTTGAACCTCACGCTTTCTCAAGAGCAGGGCATCCCACAGCACTGCGCTGCCGAGTACGTTGCAGACCCTCCTCTTCGCCCCAACTCTCCCCCCTCGATGGCTCACTTGTTGCGCTTCAGACATACTCGCTCACTTTTTACTTCGTACGGAACGCCTGCATGGGTCCGGATGCCTTGATAGCTCGAGCGTCTGCCATGATGTCACGATCTCTGCTGGGACTCTTGGCGTACAATGGCCCGCGATGCCCACTGCCCTCCGCCAACGCGAATGGATCCCTGAAGGTGCAACCACGCCTGTCGCCAGCCAGTTTGACTGGTTGCACGCCTGGCACACTCACTGCGGATCCACTGCTCCCACCTAACAGCTCCTACCGGACCAGAGGCCGCCGGAACCGCTGCAACACCCGTGACCCGCTTTGTCGACTACAAAATCCAGGTTATCACACACGCCGTCCCTGCTGGCAATGATCACATGGCCCGCTTTCTGGATTCGGTGCAAGTTCAAGGCCTGCAGCAAAGTGTTGTGCTCTTGCCCGCCGGAGATTTGGCCACCCCTGCTGTCCAAGAGCATCTCCGCCAGCTCGAGTGGGCAACTAATGACACCATTGTAGTCTACGTCGAAGACCCGTGAGTGCAAGGAATGACATGCCCCGTGCTCTTTGTGGCGGCTGCACACATTGTCGAGATGCTCCATCGCCGAAATCTAAATGTCCAATTGTTCATGCCATGAATGCCCTCGATAGCTCCGAGGCCCTTTTGCTGGGTGAAATGGTTGAGCTTCAGCGCAACTTTCAGCAACAGCCCGCTCGCATCCTCATGGCTGCGACCCACTTGTGCCGCTCGGCCTGCGCTTTTGTACGAACGTCCATGAAGCCTTCCCCCCTCTCCTTCCCCCCTCTCCTTCCCCTCGTCTGTATTGTGCTTGCTTGTTTTGAATCTGCTAGGCAGGTGCCACCTCGTGGCGGCTTACTGATGTACGTCCTTTGCTTGGTCTAGGACTGGCCGGATGTTGCGCGTGGCTCAGCTCGCTATGGTGATGCTTCGGCTCTTGTGGCATACAGCGCCGACATGCAGGCGCTCCTCGATCGTATTGCCCCCAACCAGCCCACGTCCGCTTTTCGCGTGGCCGCCTCCAAACAAATCATCTCGCTTTACCTCGATGACGCCAGTCGTGCACAGCTCGGTTTGTTTCTTTGACACACTCTCTGTCTCGCCTGCCAAGGCCGCGTGCCTGAACTCACCTGATCCAATCTGATGCGGCAAAACACCAGGTTTGGACGTGGATGCTAGCTCTGCTTTTGTGCAGCATCTACGAGGCCTCGGTGATAGCTTTGACACTCGTGCGTCACTTGCAAGCAGAAGCCCCTGTGTTGTTCAAATCCTCACCTGATGGCTGACGTCTTGCTCATCATTTCGCCGCGTTTGCCTTGTGCGCTTGCCAGGCTACTTGCGCTTTGACTTTCATCACAGGGGCACGAACGACACGCGCCTCATCAACACCGTCACCCGTACGTCACATCTTTAAGTTGTTGTTGTTGCTTCTGTTTGCCGCTGGGCTTCCGCTGACCGGTGCCGTTGGTGTACAGGCCAATTGCCGTGGCTCGTCACTGCGGGCGGCAATGGCAAACTGCTCGACGCCATCTCAAACTACGTGCCCATGAAGTCTGTTATCGGTCCTTGCACAGCCGTGGCTCGACATTTTATCTCTGCTCCAAGGCGTTGCCTTTTCCTTCTGACATCCTCACCAATTGGCTGTTGCCTCTCTGGGCATAGATGGCACCAGGATCTCGGATGCTTGCATTGCGTCAACGACGCGACACAACACCCCGAGCACAAAGTTGTTATGGCTCTGGTCGTCGAACTGCGCTCGCCCTTCCTGCGGGCCGTGCTCGAGCGCTTGGCCCAGCAGTCCCTCTCCCCCCAACAAATGGCCCTCATTGTTGGCATTGAGGAGGGTGACATGAGTGTGACCTACACGTCGTTGGTTCAAAACTTTACAGAAGAATTCAAGGTTTGCTCACTCGTGTCCAAGCCTCGTGCGCTCTGACCCCAGAACTGCGAGGCCCTCAATCATGTTGACCGATTGCCCGCCGCGCTTGCCAGGACTCGTTTGCTTCGATCCAGATCGTTGCCGGTCTCAAGGGCCGAGCTTTGCGAGAGGCTCTTTTCCAAGGCGCTGCCGCTGTGTCGGGCTTTCAAGGCGCATCCACCTTCCTTATCAGCTCGCTGACATACCTGACCAACCCAAATACGACCGCTCATCTTCTCAATGAGGTACTGCGCTCCCCACACCTGCTGGGCTTGATGTGCTGGAATTCAGCCCTTGTTGAACTGAAATCTTCCAGGATACCCGCACCTGATTAGGCTTGACCGTGGTGTGCCTCGCTTTTAGAACCAATCGGTCCTTGCGCCTGTTTTGCCCCGCCACCAGAAGCTGTACAGCAACTTTTGGGGTGCTATTGACGGAGACGCCCGGTCGCACTGCCACGATTTTCATGCCACTTGCCCGGCCTGGCAGTTGGCCGGCGAATGCGAAACTAACGAAGTTTGGATGTCGGTGCGTCAGCTCATTGCGCTGCGTTTGTGCGCAAGCCCAACCAAGTCAGGTCTCATGCTTGTGAGCCGGGTCTGCTACCCCTTAGAACAACTGCGCCAAAGCCTGTCAGGCCTGTCAGGTCCCCGGCGACGTTCAAGGCGTACGCTATAAGCGCTCCTGGGATTATCGCGACATTGCCACGCGCGAAGTGCAGGGTGTTTGGTCTGTTCCTTTTGCTTTTGCGTAAGTGCCTTGATTCGACACACGCACACGCGCACACAGGCATGCGTGCGCTCTGAATTTTTAAATCCAAACTTCAGGTGCTGCAGATTGTCTTCAAACTTGTCCTGTGCCTCATGGTTGTTCACAACCCTGTCTTTGTCTTTTCTTGCAGCGCCTTGCTGCTCAAGCCAACAGCAGCGTTGGCCTTGCAGCAGCAGCTCTCGACCAGTCCGGTAGGCATCACGAATGACGCGCCGTGAAGGAGACAGTTCGGGACCTCATAATCATGCATGTTGCCGCCCTGGTCATAGGAGCACGAAAACTACCTGCCCGTGGACTGGGATCTCAAGTTGACTGAGTGGCTCCATGCCGCCAAGTTTGAGGTCAAGGTCGATAATCAAGAGTCTTTTGGTACCCTCATCGATCCAACCAACTTTGATAGCCGCAAGACCCACCCAGACATGTTTCTTGTTGAGGCCAATCCCGAGCCGTGGGCTGATATTTACATCCACCCCGACTACCAGCCATATAAAAAGCTGGACTTTGTACAGGTCAGTCGACATGGCTTAGAGGGGCGGAGGCTTTGCCCTACGCGACCAGGCGAGAAGCCTCAGCTGCATGGGATCCCCATCCCTCACGCTTGCACGTGTTTGTTCCTGTCGATATATAGGGTCGTTGCTGGGATATCTACAACTTTCCGCTCTTTTCTGAACAATTTTGCGGTGAAATGATTCAGTGGGCCGAGACCATGAACTTGTGGTAGGCCAATCTTTGTCTGTCCCGTCTCGCTTTCTTGCTCGCGTCCCCCTCTGGTCGAGGCTGACTGCACAACTGGGTGGCGCTTGGTATCTCGCTTTTGCGTAGGTCGGGTGGCGATAACAAGGATAAGCGTCTCAAGGGCGGCTACGAGCCCGTTCCGACGCGCGACATCCACTTCAACCAGATGGACTTTCAGTCTGCTTGGTGGGTTGTTGCCGCTTTGCTTGCTTGCTGCAGGTCTTTGTCGGTGCTTTTTGGAGTGCGAGCTCTCGAGATGGTTTGATTTTTTTTTTTTTTTTTTTTTTTTTAAAATTGGTTGGCTTGAATCTTGAACCCTGACATAGGACGTACATTTTGCGTCACTTTGTGGCCCCGGTGGCCGAAACCCAATGGACTGGCTACACACTGGATGGCCGCACGACCCTTGATTTTGTGGTCAAGTACCAGCCCGAGGGCCAACCCTTCCTACGCAAGCATCATGATGCCTCAACCTTCTCACTCAACGTAGCTTTGAATCGCATTGGCGTGGACTTTGAAGGGGGAGGCACCAGCTTCACCCGCCAGAACTGCACCGTGCTAAACAACCAGATGGGTCACGCTCTCATCCACCCGGGCCGGTACGTGCCCTTGTTGGAACGCATTAGAGCGCTTGCGACGCACCTTTGCCTCACTGCTCGCTGTCATGTCCTACATCGCATTTGTTGTTCTAGCTTGACGCATCAACACGAAGGCCTCTACGTGACCAAGGGCACTCGTTATATCATTGTTAGCTTTGTGGATCAAGTTTAAGTGTTGGCGGTACCAAAACCAAGCTCTGTGAGCATACCGCCTGCCTGATCACACGATGCCCTTCTTGTGGGCAATTTCGATGGCACTACTGGGCACGGAGCGAAGCAGATTGCGCGCCAGGCCAGTAGAACGACACAAATGAGTTTATTTTGTTATTTGGTGGTGTATGTATTTGTGCTTGTGCGAGCAGGCATGATTGTGCTTACTCCCTGCTTGTGCATGTACAAGCAAATCAACACCAACACCAACACCGACACCCCCCATTGACATGACAAATATGCAAGGATCAATTGGCGTCAGTTGACGTGGACATGCCATCATCAACCCAGGCCCGTGGATGGGACGGGATTCACTGCCAAGCACACTAGAGCATTTCTGACTCCTCGTACTCTGGATTTGAGTCAGGGATGCTGGGAGCAGCTGTCAACTCCATCTGCTCGCGAAAGCGGCGTCGTACGGATGGCACAAGTAACTCGGCCAAAAGATCCTCCTCTCGTTGCGCTGCCGAAGGCACCCGTACCTGTTGCAGCCCAACAGCGTGAGGAAGAGTGACAAGGGACCGTAGACCGGTGCGGTTGTTTCAAAGAGCTGCGCCGCCCCCCAGAAAAACAACTTACCCGCTCCGCGGCCTCCTCTCGCCGGTATCCACCTGCGTTGACCTGTGCCACCAAACGATCAATATCAAAAAGTTTTCGCTTAGGCGGCTCCACGGCCGTGGGCTCCTCCGAAGCGGTATCAACATGGGACAGTGCCATGAAGGTGGCCTGACTTGACTCGACACCTGACTGCGGCAACCGTGGCGCCGCCGATCCGCCCGAAACATGGCCGTGTGTCTGATCGAAGGGCTGTGGTTGCACGGTCAGATTTGGCGTGGCCAGGTCATATATGGCTGGCGCCGAATCAGAAGGGTTGGCCCATTTGGATTCCAGGCCGCTACCAGCCGCCGTATCGTACAAGGTCGCCTCGCGTTCGCCACCGTGGTGGTGATCAACAGGCTGGGGTTGATGATTATCGTCAATAGTAGCTTGTCCCGGCATCGCGAGATCATACAGGGGCGAGCTGGAGGATGGGCCGTTGGCTGGGAGGGCTAGGTCGTATAGGGCTGGATCGGTGTTCGAGTTTACCGCTTCATATTCATGTACAGGCTCTCCGGGACGCAAGCCCCTCGCGACGTGTGGCACTTCGCTGTAAGCGGAGTGCTGGCGTGCCGCTGGCTGCGCCCGAGGGGCTGGTGGATCGGTGTGCTTGCTAGTCAGGCTGTTCGGAAGCTCAGCGCGGTGCAGTGGCCGCACTGGGTTGTTGTTCCGTGCCGAGGCCGAGATATTGTCATACAGCGCAGGCTCAGGCACGCCGCCAGGCACGGGTGTCTCGTACATGTGGGGAGATGGTGTCATGGACAGCCGGTCTTTGTCCGGTGCACGTGCAAAGTGCCGCTGCAAATAGCCTTCGACGGCGCTGCGGAGATAGCCGCGGGCCTCCAAATCAGCATACGTAGCGCTGTAGAGGCCGTTATGCGCAGCATACTCGGCAAATAGACTGTCGACCTCTTCCGGCGACAGGGGCTCAGGTACCTATCCAATACCGACCACTCTGTGAGGCGGGTGAATCAAGTTAGTATTGATTGCCGTGGGCTTTGCGCACCTGAGCGACGCCATGTTGACGGCTGGCAGCGATGGCCGCCGCGTGTAGTGGAGCGACTTTTTGCTCTCTAATGACGTGCTGCAGGACCGCTTGACACGATCTTCGCACCTTGGCAAACGTCGCCTGGTTTGGGTTTTTTTTTTAAAAAAAAAGAAGACGTGGTAACATTTGGAAATGAGATCGTGACCCTCACGGTTGTGCGCGGCTAATCGTTGTCGTTTGCCTACCTGACTGTCTGGGCAAGTGGGGTCATCACCAACGCTCTCCTCAAAAGCCCCGAGCAGCGCCTGGCTGGCCAAGCTTCGATTCAGGCGCGCTAGCATTTCTGTCTTGGCTTGCGCCAAATCAGCCTCCAGCCTAATCCGCCGTTGCCACACATGAGTTTCCACATGGGCGAGTCAAGGAGTCAAGCGCTGAAGGCATTCCCACGATGGCCCGGTCCTCCCTTCAGCAATCGAGACGCACGAAAACCTCTCGTGGTCACTTGAGAGTAGACTTTCGTCCACCATAGACGGTAGCGCGAGCGGCAAGCTCAAGTGGAGCGGGTCATGCAGCATTTCAGGCTTATCCTGAGCTACCACCTCGCTCGATGCTTCTAAAATGACGGCCGCATCGTGCATTGTCGTCAACACAAAATAAACCCATGAAAAAATAAAAGAGTCGAGCCCCACGAGCCGGGGTCTTGGCATCGAATCGTCTGCGGCTGCGACTGTGGCTGCGGCTGCGTCACACAAGTGCGTTGCTTTCTATGCGCCCCTGGCACGGGTTGTGAAGCAAGACACATACCAAGATGTGGTTTGACCGTTGATGGAATGGCTCCATCTACTTCGGACAAATCAGAGGCTTTCTCCAACACAACCAGCTCCTTCTCGTCTTTCTCAACTTCCTCTTGCACCGAGATGGGGGATGCACGGCTCGAATCGCTAGTGAGGGCAGTGGTCGCACTCACACTTCCGACCAGTCCGACGCCGTCGATCCCTTGTAACTCCACGGCTTCTGCTTCAAATTTGTCGGTCTAACATGGCATACAATCCCGCAACCCATGTCACAGTGTGAAGGCATCATCTTCATGGTCGCAAACAAAAATAAAAGGACACTCCCACACGAGCTTGAGTCCTAAGCAACGCAAACAAGGACTAGCAGTGCCCGACCTGGTCTCTTGCGCGACGCGAGCGTTGGCGCAGCAAGCAAACCGAAGCAATGACCAAAATCACCAAGCCAGCCACTGCTCCGATCAGACCCAGAACCCAACCTGGAGGGCTATCAAGTTTGCAAAAGTTGATGGGCAGACCCAGTCAGTTGTCGCATCTAAACACCAATGAGCTTGCTAAAACACAACGAAATCGAACCTGCCGCTGTCACTGGATGAAGCACCAAGTTGACCGGTGCCCGCGGCCTGCGTTGTTGTGGAAATGGGTACGGGTTCCTCTTGAATGACTGCAGCATCATCGATGACATGTGGAAGTGGGCGCACCAGCTAAAATTGGAGAAGCGTTAGCAAGCGCCGAAGCTCGAACGCATGGTCTTCCACTGTCATAAAACGGTGTTTGTGGGGGGGATCGACACGCACTGAAATGGCTTGACTCAAGCTCAGCCTGAGCGTGAGGCTGTCAAGAAACGAGGGACTGCTGACAGCAAGAATACAGGCATCGGCAGTCGTAAAGCAAGGGATTGCCAGATCAGCTAGTACGAATGTACTCCCGCTACCCGAGTCGACGTTGTTGGTGACCAGCAAATAGACCTAAATGTAAAGACACCACATGAGGCCCAAGGTGCTCTCGTTTGCGCGCACATCAACAAAGGTACTACGCTATTTAAGATAAGATAAGAACAGCAATGTCACTTGTAAGCCAATAAGCCGCCATAGCGGCACACCCACCCAGGTCGCAGTTAATCCGAGAGACAACGCTACGGCCTGCCGCACGCTTGCTCTGTCCATGGTGTAACGGTTCATCTATACAGCGCAGCAAAAGGAAAGGCACCTGTCAGAGGTGAAATATTTTCCGTCCCTGCCCCCTTGCTGTCCCATGCGATCTTGTCTCCGCACATTTGGAAGCAACAGGCGAAACCCAATCCAGCCGGTGGGGGCAGAGGTTGACAGCTCGGACGCTGTTGATGAGGGTGTGAAAACTGTGGTAGCTGCAACCGAGGTCGTGCGTGAGCTGGGGCTGGAGGTGCTGCTTGCGACACTTGTCGTGTGGAAAGCGTATTCTGCGTCGCAGAACCATCCAAGGTTGGAGGTGTTGAGGGTATCCCAAGCCACGTAGGGGCCAAAATCGAACAATTCTTGTGCTCCTGATCCCATGATGATGGGCGCGGTGAGTGGTGTCACGCGTTGCTCTACTGGATCCTTCACCCGTCCCAAGAAATAATATGCCCCAGTGCTTGCATTTGAGTCGGGCAGCACCACCACTAGCAAGCGCATGGAGTGGCAGGCGTGGCATCATGAGTTTAACGCTTCGGCTGGACCTAAACCATCCCCATTCTCTCATGTGCACATACCTGACAAGCCCAAAACGGCCCGCGTCATGTTGACAAAGGCAGTGGCAACAAAGGCGCCCTCGGCTACCTCGACGGTCGATAGAAGCCGACCAGCAAAGCCGTGTGCTTTGTGTGTACCGGAGATGGGCGGATTTGCCGGTCGCGCCGACCAATTGCCGTCCACAGCCAAGACTTCCATGTCCAGCAAGACCTGGCCGCTTGGAGAGGCGCTGCGCCAGGTTCCCTAAGGGTATTGAGCGACGCACCATCAAGTGAAGTGGTGTCGCCTGAGGGGAGAATGGCAGAACTCGTTGAACTGACGCTACCTGTGTGAATTGCTCAAAGTAGGCCGTCGGGCGGAACGCGCAAGGCAGGACACTGGATTGCACGGTCAACGCTGCAAGCCTCAGTTCAAAACCAAGGAGCCAGTCGGTGAAGCGTACAACACCATGAAACCCAAAGGAGAGCCCTTGAGGCGTGTTCCCCGGAACCGACTCGCCCAGCGTGGCGTTGATCACACGTTGCATCATCAAGTGCACATCAGCTGCAGAAAAAGTGCAATCACCATCCACATCTCCTGCAGGCACAAGGCCTGTACCACAGCTTCGGCTGGCTCGTGAAGTCTGTGCCGATACCCGCGTTGGGCCAGCCACGAGCCCCCGCCCTCGCTTTGGAAGAGGGTCCAGGGCTCGTCGGTGGCGCGCAAGCACGACAATGGGGTACAGCTGACTGGTTGCATTATCTGTCCGACGAATCTGAAGCTCTGAAAGGCCCTGTGCGTGAGGCCACAATGTCACCAAGCCAATCCTTTGAACACCAGGACCTAGAATGAAGGAGTGAGGCGTGTCATTCAGGTGCATGGGGCCAGAACAAAAGTGTCACTCCTCTTCGACTTGCTGTGAACAGATGGTACGCAAGAGGGGGACTGTCTCCGCAGCACGCACCATGAAAGCGGCAGCCCAAAAACACCGATAAACTATCAGCAGCAGCCTGCATCTTTTGAAGAACTGAAAAGCAAGGCATGCTTGAATCTACACATGCAAACAGGAGGCGCGCTTGAGTTGGGAAGACCTGTGCACAATCTGCTTCAATGTAACTGCTAGTTTTCACGTTGGAATGACAAACCCCAGGTAAAGGACGCTAAACGAAGGTAGGCTGCATCCCAATCCAAAGTGAAGCTGTAGATACCGAACCCGGAGTGACTTGTCACGTGGAGCGGGATGCTCACGGGCTCGCTCTCGGCAAATGTCACCAGCGGGGCTGCGTTACTTTGTGAGCCCAAGTCAGCGTCGCCCACGGACGCAACAAGGTTGATATGAGCTAGCAAATCGTGTTGAACCCCATCCTCGCCCAAAGCAATCACTCGAATGCGCACGGGGTCGGATGGCAAGGTATTGGACGTGGCATACAGGGCACCTGTGATTTGAGAAGAGGCAGGTCCACCACGACTAAAGGTGAGCCATATTTGCAACTCGCATGCACAGATGTTGTCAGTTTGGCTGCAATCATTCGTTTATCGTGTCCTTCTGCGGTGCGTACCCGTCTCAGAGTTAACAGTCACCTCCGCGGGCGCGACAATAAGCTCAAAGCGAATTATATCATTGAAAATTGGCCCCGACGTGTTGTTTGGAAAGAGATCACTGGCCTGGATCTTGGATCCATCACTAAAAGCCAGGCCCACCCGTAGCTGATAGGCCTGACCCGTCTCCATCCGTATTTTCAGACTGAAAGACATGGACACAGGGGAAGAGAAGGTGCAGGGCATGGAAATTAAACTCTTGTATCAGCAAATTTCAAAGCGTTGGATGAGAACAATCATAGGCAAAGAACGTACGGCTCTGTTTCGGCGACCAAAATCTCCGTGATGCGCACGCCCGAGTTGATGACCTGAAGATGCCAGTATTGAAAAGGGTATGGCAAAATTCACTCAGAATCGTCTGAACATTTCACGCAGCAGAGAACACCCCATCCAAAGTAGCCTACGTCGATGTTTGTAGACAAGCGTCCCAGAAAGGGGTGCAAGGCGTGAAGCGTCGCCTGCCCTGCTGTGGTGCCACGGCGCACCATCAAAACAGCCGTGCCCTACGATCAGAGTCCGTTGAGATTGCGATGCAAGTTATGAATCAAAGCCAGCATGTGTTGCCTGGCGGTAGCGCACCCCCCCCACCAAAAAAAAAAAAAATCAAGGCGCGCACGCAAGTGCCTGAAACAAAGACAATATGTTTACCTCTGACACCGGCGAAGTTTCAACAAAGATGGGGGCAGCGGTGGCCACGCTCCAGCTCACGCCGTTCTGAACGTGTACCAGTTTGTCGTTGCTGAGACGTATAACATAAAAGGCCACCAGTTGTTGATAGGTGTTGGCACGCGCGATGCGCCGCATTTGTGTGGAGGCATGCTCGGCCTCCAGCGCCTCTGACAAACTCCGAGCAGAACTATACCCCGCAACGGTGACAATCTCCAAATCTAGCACGGAAACCACAAAGACGCTCAGCTGTGCAGTGCGGTTGAGATAAGCAACTGTCAAGTGGCAATCTCCAGGAGCTATCGCGCTCAACCATGCAGCGGTCAGGTTGACACGTGCTACATCCGTACAAGACGTGGTGACGTGTAAACGAGTATCAAACCACTCGATGCTTTCTGAAAGGTTTCCCGACCATTCGAGTCTCAGAGATGGTAGAGTGACACGATAAGGGGGTAGACCTGTGGCAAGCTGGCTCACGGTCAGATTGTTCAGAAGCGTGACTTTGGTGCGCTCAAGGCGAACCGAAAGCAGGGTGGCGGAAGGCAGTGCCTCGTCGACGAGGGTGGTGCTGGGCCCGGTTGGGTCATTGAATAGGTGTACGCGCGCCGTGCTGGCGGCAGGAGTGGCATTTGGGTATATAGCTTGCTTTGCCAGAAGCCAAGCAGTGCCCTCGATCTGAACTTGATCCACCAGGAGTGGCCCCACCAATCCGCCATCGAGCTCGAGATATGGTAGCAGTAGCTTTGAGGCTGCTGTGGAATGTTCGGTTGGATTGCCAGCATAGCTAACTTGGCCCGGCGTGGAGGACGCCAACCTACCACTGCTAACCATGGCAGTTTGAGCCAGCAGTCTGTAGGCTTCAAAATAAGCTTGAACTGTCAGCGATAGACTGGTGTGCAGCGCAGCCCAGGCTGGGGCGACCTCTACTTCTATGATGCCTGCGGCCTGAGGACTTAGGTACAATCCACCTGCCGCCGTCCAAGTGAGTTGGCTCGGGCCAGTGGTGATGGCCACTCGATCATGCAAAAGCGGGCGGACATCAAGCCACAGCGGTGCGGTGCCGCCCTGGAGCCCGCTAAAGTTGGCCCAGATGGTCAGAGGGATGGGAGGGGCTAGGCTTGGGTTGAGGAGGCTGGCGTATTGACCTGCCCACCCCTGAGGCGTGGCAATTTCCAAAGCTGTGGGAACGACAATAAAGACTTTGAAAGCATGGGCGCCAGGGGCGCGCGTATTGAGAACTGTGACGGTGACGGGGCCTGGTGTTTGGTGATTTAGATCGAGGGAGTATTGGCAGTCGGATTGCAGGGCCAGTCGAAGTGGATCGTCAACGATGCAGCGATAGCCGGAAGTGCGGTTCAGGATCTGGCCGTTGCGCAAAATCTCGTGAACGGGAAAGCGCCCGGTAATGGTCTTGCCGTCGAACAGGGCCGTTTGAAGAATGATAGGGCGATCAGTGGCACCGCGGAGGGCCACAACTGGGTTTGTTGAAACGGTCAACACAAAGGGAATGGGCGCAGGCAGGTCTATGGCACTGGCTGGGCTGTTGGCGGGAGACGGACGCACGGGAAGGCCGGTGCGGGTGGTATACTCAAGTATGTGTAAAATCATCGCGAGAGAACCAATGGTGCTATTCAGGGGCAGCTTGAGCTCGATATCAAGATTAAGAAGGGCCGTGGTGCGATTGATCGCCACTTCTGGGTCGGTGGTGTTGCCCGCCCGTGCCAGGAAAAGTCCAAGGACACGATCGGTCTGCACAACACGGTGCTGCAAACCTGGCGTTAAGGTGCTGCTGCGCACGCGTATGGGCAGACTGGTGTTGAGACGCAGGCGCGCGGTATACAGGCTCTCGGTATGGAGAAGATGCAGCTGCAGACGAAATGTGGTATTGGGGGTGATGGGCCCGGATGGGTATGTCACTTCGACTAGACTCGCGCTTGGGCGTGTGATTTGCCCGGAGGTGCTGCGAGGGGGCTGCATGACCTGTGTCAAGTTGGCGGTGCCCGCTCCTGGGATCCGCACAACAGCATGATGGGTTGCCGGCAGAAGGTCAACGGCGGTGTTGTTGAGAGGTAGGGCCAAAATGGCGCGTCCAAAAGAGTCTGTTTTCAACGACCACGAACGATTCTCAAAGAAGATGGTGCCACTGAGTGCTGCAAATGAAGAGCAGCTCAGATTGGCATTCTGAAGTTCGACAAGTAGACGCCACTCCACATCCAATGCTGAGAGATTGGGTTGCAGAGAGGTTAGGGCAACGCTCGTTGGGGGACATGGGTGGTCAGCCACAACATCGAGCTGATCCAAGACTACCGTGCCGAGCTGGTTGGCCAACCCAATGCCATGGGGCCCACACTCGTTGGCCAAGACCTGCACAGTTGTGGGAGTTGTCTGCCCACTTGGAGCCAACGACCATGGAGCATGTCGAGCCACAAGGGCTGTGTTGGAGAGGAGCATGAAATCTGAAGGCGGTTCGGTCGTACTTGCCGTGCTGGTCGTGTTGGTCGTGCTGGTCGTGCTGGTCGTGCTGGTCGTGCTGGTCGTGCTGATCGTGCTGACCGTGTTGGTCGTGCCGGCTGTGCCGGCTGTGCTAGTCGCAGTAGACGTCGCCACTACCCAGGTGATCAAAAGCCATCCCAGCCAGACCGCCCGCGAGCGCTGGTCTGAATGACACCGCGCTCCCACCAGCCTCATGGTTCGAGACACGGCCGACATTGGGCGATTAGCTTGACATACACTTGTTTGGGACTCGAAACAAAAAGACCGCTCAAGCTCCTGCCCGCTCTGCCTGCTCTGTCTAAAAGCTACGCCACCTATCACCGAGTCCAAATCGACACCAGCCCCGCCTTTTTTTTTTTCCTGGGATGTCAAGAAAGCGGGCGTGGCCCCGAAAAAAAAAAAAAAAACGCAAAAGCCAAAAACCAAGCCTGTACATGCATGCAAGCAAGTTGTATCTTTTATTAACATGCAAGGCAGATGCCTTCTGTTCTTTTCGCTCCGGCGTTGGGCGGCGAAAAGATCTGACGGCGCTGGTTGAGTTTCTTCCCGACAAGCTCCGACCTCTCTCCAATGATATCGCACAGGATGAAACTCATCAAAGGCATAGATTGATGGCACAGCCAATGTCAATGCGGCAGAACGTAGAGTTCTAGCTGGCCAGCGATAAGTACAATGCAGTACGTCCGTGACGATGCTCACTCAAGAGACGCGACGGTTCACCCAAGCGCATCGGAACGTCGGCGTCAAAAAAAAAAAAAAAAAAAAAGAAGGGAGAACCAAAAAGAAGGGAAAACCAAAAAGAAAGCAGCAAGCACACACACAACACACACACACACACACACACACACTCACATGAAGAGAACCAGCGGCCCCTTTGGGATGGAACTACTACCAAACAAACCATCAACCAGAGTGGCCGCAGTCTGCCATACATGCAACGCTATGGTAGACTGAAACAAAACAAAAGGTGGTTCTCACACTTGCACACACGCGTCCTACATTGTAGGTTCCGAGCGCTGGGGCAGATTTAGTGTTGGTTGTTGTCCTCGCCAAAGTCAAGGTACCCGCTCTCGTCGTGAGCCGTCTCTTCAGTGCCGAAGCCCATGCCCGCCTCAAGTTCGTCCGATTTGAGGTAGCCATTGTCAGCAGCACCACCCTGATTGGCGCCCTCCAGATCGAGATAGCCACCCTCCTCGCCTGCATCACCTTCAAAGGCGTCAAAGTCACCTGGACTGGCGTGAGCTGGCGGCTCCATGTATCCCGGATCTTCCAACCCCACTGTATCGTTGTCGTAAATGGGATTAAACTTTTCCTCCTGGTCATTGACGGCGTAAGTGGGATTCTCAAAGGCAATCACGCTGCGGGCTTCAGCAGTTTTTCGCGCCTTCTTGCGGCGCTGGCGCATGACCAGCACAACCACGACCACAAGTACCACAACACCGAGGGCAGCAGCCACGGCAATCACAGCCACGTTATTGTTGGAGGAGCTCTTCACGGCAGAGCTACCGGCATTGGCCGTGGTACCAGGCTCCGTGGCCGCGGTGGCAGCTCGCGTTGTAGTTGTCACAATGGGAACCGCCGAGGCCATGCTTGTCGAATTGTCGGGGAAAATGATCAACAAGCCTTGGTCAGTCAGAAAGTTTCCAAATGCCACGGCGCTGCTGTTGCTCCGAAAGTACACGTTGAAAGAGCGAAGTACGCTCGCAGTGGCCCGGCGTGCGCGCGTCTGCAAGCCCACCTCAAGAGCCGTCTCAACGCTGAAGTTGCTGCTCAAGATCGATTGGTACACAATGTCCTCCAAGTCCTCAGGCATCAGCTGGGCGAAAACGCTGGGCACAGCCAGATACAGGGGCGCAATGGACGCTTGGGTACACAATCGGTCTGAGGTAGTGGTTGGTACCGCTGCTTCGAAATAGCCCTGACCGCATGTGCTGACTGCTTGGCAAACGGACACATCTGTTACTTGATCCGCTCGACTCTTGAAATAGCCCTCCTATACACGAGCAAGAAAGGTAGCGTTGTCACACAGTGAGGAGCAGACGGTCCCAATTTGGATATCACGCGCATCAGTGCAGGGTGAGCAGAGGCCGAGGACCAACCGAGCAGGCACGACAAGTGCGATCGTTAGACAAGGATGGGAGCTGGTCCTGCTCGTACCCGGCGCCGCATAGCGTCACAGGCATACACGTCCCTGCGCCAGGCGAAGGCTTGTAAGTCACAAATAAAGAGCAGCTCTTGCACACCGTGTCGCTGACACCCGTGGCTGGAGCCACTTGCTCTTGGCCCGCCCCGCATACGGTGGGCACGAGGCATTTTGTTTGGCCAGCCACATCTTGATACCGGCCCAAATCGGCACAGCGCACGCAAGGTGTGGCTGGATTGCTGTCCGTATCGGCCTGGCCCTCAAAGCATTGAGTGCAATTGCCACGACCACCAGCCTCCTTGAAAAAGCCAGCAGAGCACGCTTGACAGGGGGTGGTGACGTCCGCGTCGTGGTCCGTTGTACCCGCGTCACATTGGCGGCATGTGCCAGCAAACGTAGCATTGGGCGCAGCCGTCAATTCACTGCCCACCTGGCAGGAGGAGAGCACGTTGTTGCGACAATACTCAGAGTTGATGGAAGTTGAATACTCGAGAAGCGGGTCGCAGGCGCGACACTTGCGGTTGGTCAACAGCGTGCATTCAACCGTCACAGCTGTTCCAGCGGGGCAATCTTGACAAGGCAGACAGGTGTTATCCACAACCCCGTCGCCCTGAACAGCCAGATAATGTCCCGCCGAGCAATTGGTATCAGGCTCGCAAGTCACATCGCCATAGATCGTGCATGCGGCGTCAATGTGCGAGCCCGAGGGGCAGCTACAGCCGGGAAGAACGGCAAGGAGATCCAACATGTGAGCGCAGTCTGCAAAGACACTACTTTGGATCTGGATTCATACCTCGAAGAGCAAGTCTTGCACAAGCCCAGGTTGATTTCGTCGGTGAAGTATCCGTCGGCACAAGTGGCGCACACTCGATCTGCTCCAAGACACCAAAAGTGAGCCAACCAGCTGAGTGAGCCAATCATGGGATCTCAATCATTGCAAATCCTCGAACCCAAGTGGCTTTGCAAAACATGTTGCGGTTGGGAAAGAAAAAGAAAAAAAAAAACCATAGGGACACACCAGTTGTGCTTGTACCCTCGACACTGATGTAGGATCCAAAGCCGCAATCTTGCCAGTCTTGGCACTCAGAGGCGTTTGTCGTACCCACGAACTGCATGGCTCCGCAAGGCTCACAGGCACTCAGAGGGTCCGCCTACAAATGTGCCAAGAACAGTATCTGGTATCAGGTCTGTGATGCCATTCCCAAGCTTGAGTAAGCCTCACGCGAAAAGGGAAACGTACGCGAAAATGGCCGGCCGGGCAAGGCTGCTGATCAACGCAGCGTGGGACCAAGAAGGATGTATCCGAAGCGGGCACGGTGTTCACCAGATCACAAGCTGTAGTCGGGAAGGTAGGCAATGGAGAGACAAGTCGGGTTGAAACGCAGTATTACGACGTGGTGAGGAAAGCATGTGCAGCAAAAGAGCAAGAATACGCGCGCGCGCGGGGCGAGCCACTCAGACTTGACGTACTCTCTGCAATCATGGTAAGAGCAAAGGCGTCGACAACAGTGTAGCGACCAGCGTCGCCCGAGTTGGTGATGATAACCCGAAGCACGCCACGCGTCAGCTGTATGTCATCGGCGGACCCAGGATATCGATGTTAGTAAATGGCGAAAGCACGGTGTTACAGTCAACACATGCATCTGCGTGCGATGCAGCACAGCAATTGTGGCCTCTGTGTGTATGTGTATGCGTTGTCAAGGAGAGACGAGGAGTGGGAGAGGTGACAAGACGCTCTGTGCCATCTTACATTGAGCTGGGTCAGCTCGGTCATGTCGTAACCGGTCGAAGTGTTATAGATGCCACTGTACACCGTCTGTCCATTATTGGTCACAAGGAGCGCAGCCCGCGTATTCCGCTCGTAGTTTAAATCTCCGCGGGGAGCAGAAGCGCGAAGTGAATACAAGCCATCGTGGGAGACGTCAAAGTTGTAGGTGATCGATTTGGTGCCTAAAATAACGAGGCAAATGTGTGAGCAATACAAGGCGGTTCTGCTTGTCGCAAAGCCAGTATGCCGTACCTTGCATTGTTCGATTATCGTGTGCATAAAAGCCGCCATTGAATCCACTGATGCTGCGGCTTATGAGCCAAAGACCATTCTGCTCAACCTGGTGTAAGGATGTAAGGGGGGGTGGGGGGGGCGGGGGAGGGAGAGAGCGACGAACAAATTGTAAGTGGGTCTTGCCCAAATTTTTTTCTTCTCTGTTTTTGGCACACACGTGCGCACAAGAGCCACGCTGGCATGCAATGAGCTATTATCAGCACATACCCGAGCACTGTATTCAAAGTCCACGAGCTCGGCAGGCACGACGGCCCGGGGGACAAGAACAAGGGTGTCGATCAGGATGTCACCCCCACTGGATTCCAAAGTGATGGTGCCTTCGTTGTAGCCAAAAATTTGGCGGCCCAATGACCGGTAGGTGGCGGTTCCCGTTCGCTGGTTAAGCGTCGCCGTGACTGGCACCGCACTGAAAGATGACATCAGAGCCGTGGAAACCACTGTGGAGAGGCTGGAGCTTGGCTGAAACACCGTATACACCTCATACTCAATCAGGCCAGCTGTTTTGGGGACAGTGAAGGTCACCTTTGCATTTGTGCTGGAAGAGACCCGCGTGCTAGCACCAAAAACACCAGCCGTGCTCCCAGTTGTCCAAGCAGAGCTGGGGTAAAAGCCTAGCCGCAACACCAATCATAGCGTCAGACATGTCAAAAGAGTGGCTTATCAAGCCTGGGCTTTTCCTGGTTCAGCTCGCTATATTTCGAACATGGGCCAAAACATACTTGTGGCATCACCCGCACGAAGCACAATGGCATCGTGGGGAACGAGGCGAACGGCGTCGGCAATGACGACGGATATGTCACTGGTGTAGATGCGGTGGGCACCAACGTTGTTGATGGTGACATTGAGGACCCCTTCCTCCAGCTCAACAAAAGCCAGCCCCCGAAAGGCGCCTTCGTCCAGATATTCGTTCTGGTCAACCGATAGTATGAGCTCCGATTCCTTGGTCGTCAGCACGACCGGGGTGTTACGAGCCCGAGTGATGGCATCATCAGGTTCGCCCCGCCACGACCTATCAGGATGCAAAGGCAGCGAAACTCGGACATAAGTCGTCCGCCGACGCCGCTGCCCGTCGTCTCTGCCACAACGCGGGAAGAAGAGCCCCTTGTGCAACGTACATTTGCAGCTGATACAACCCCGGAATGACCACACGCATCGGGTATGTGACGGCATGATACCCAACTTGGGCTGCCGAGCCGCTGCAGTCGTAGACGGAATGCACAATGTGAGATGGCGGGGCCATGGGGGGAATGACGCCAAATCAACCAACCCTTCAAAGTCAACATACCGCACGTAGTGGTAATTGGAGCCCAGGTAGCCAGAGCGCGAAGTGGACGTTTGCCACTCGCCAACGAAAATTGCGCTATCCTCTTCGCTATCCATTTGGACGAGCTCCTCAAGCCACATGGCATCGATGACCATTAGACCGCCACCCTCGGTTGTGGCAGTAATGTTGCAGCCTGGATCCAAGACAAATGTACCCACGATGAACCAGGTACCCGCATGGGCTCCCTAAAGCGCAACAAGATCTGTAAGCACGAGTTTGCAGCACCTCGACTACAAAACAATGACAGCGCCGCAAATTTCTTCCACGATGAAGCATGCCAATTTACCTGAAGCCAAGGCACGATCGTGCGACCGTCGCGGTGGTGCACCGTGATGGTGAGCGTATCCAGATTGGTCCCCAACGAAGGATTGCTCATGCGAAGCGTGAATTGGCCCGCCTATATGCCTCAAGGCCATGAGCATATAGAGAAAAAAAAAGGTCAGATTTGAGTTTTACCATTTGCCTTGGGGTTGCTACCATACAAACTTGGTGCAGCACGGCACGGCACGTCTGCTTCGTTGCAACAGATTGATACTCACACGCGGCAAGGAGGGACGAAAAACAACGCCGACGTCTGGCCCCGAGGGATCGTCATGACTGTGCACATAGTAGCCGGTACCCACAAAGCCAGGCGAAAAACTGGAAAATGTAAAGTCACTGGCACCTGTGCACGCGGAAGACCAGACACAGATGAGCATCTCATCGTTGGCCACCGCATGGTCTGTGGACCGTCTGACACTCGGTGTGAGCGTGCAAGGGCAGGCGTTGCATGCTTACTTGAGCCAAGGAATGAAGCTTGGGTTGCATCTTCTGAGTCGATGATGATTCCCGAACGCAGGATAATGGCGTGCACAGACAAGTTGATCTAGAGCCGCCAGTCGTGAGGTGGGCAGGGCGCATAACCAGAAAATTGCAGGCTTGATGACCTTTCAGAATACGCAGCAATGACAAGAACATTGGAGGACTCGCTACGTACTGATGTGGACGAGACGCGAACACGGATGGGTCCTTTGGGAAGGTACAAGTAGTTGACTGGTACAGAGCCGATGCTGTTGTCCGGGTCCAGTTGAACAAGGTTGGCCATGGGCACAATGGTCTCATCGATGGAGGCCGTCAGGCGTCTGTCGTTTGGTTGGCTGGGTGCAAAAACTTGAACTGTCACGTTCTTGCTGTTCATATCACCCTCGCAGTAGCTCATCAGGAGTTGATAGTGATTGTCCTCTTCCAAGTCAAAGTAAAAGTCCACAGCGGCATTGACGTCGCTTGAGGACTGGCAGTAATCGCCCGTAGCAGTAAACGTGCCACTCGCAATCTGGGTAGCTGCATCGGCAATCGTCTGGATGTACTGCGGCACCTGGGCTACCACTACAACACAAAGCATGCACCACGTCAAAGAAGACGTAAGATAAGGATAGACGCGCAATCGCAGCAGTGTGTGGGTCAGGGTGAGATCACCTACAGGCGTAGACGCAAGGCGTTGTGGGGTTCTCGTCATCATCCACCTCGTAGCGTGAGCATGCAACGCAAGTCAAGTCCGAGGTGGGCGTGGCGGGAACGGTGATGTAATTGCCAGCCGGGCAGGGCGTTGTTTTGGTGCACGAATCCGCGTTGAAGGTGCTCGAGAAGTTGGTGACGCCATCACAAAACCCACACACGGTATTGCTAACAGTCAGACCCATAGAAGTTGAGAGGCAGTCTCGATGGGCTTCTCAGTGTAAGGCCAAAACTGCAATGCATCAGCAGCAGCAACAACAACAACAACAACAACAACAACAACAACAACAACAACGGGCCCTGTGGCAATCCGTGTGTGTGACCGGGGTGTAAAGGAGAGACGTACGAATCAGCGCCGCAGGGCTTGGCAATGAATTGGCCAATGACGCAGCTGCCGCAATCCGCGCAGGTGATGTTCTAACCAACATAACCCAAGCAATGAGGACGAGGACATTTTGCCTGAGGCAATGGGGGTCAGGACATGCTGGCCTCCAATACACACCGATGTTGGGACACAAGGTGAATCAATATATTGCGAGGCCGGGCAACTGCATAACAGAAAGGGTTACGCCGAGTGAGGCAGGATTCACACGCTCCAGAGTGGGGGCGCGTGGTAACGCATGCTCAAGGTGATCAACAAGCGCGCCAACCTGACTGCGCAGGGCTGGCAGCTGCCTTGCCCATCCGTGTTGAAGGAGCCATCTGCACACGATGCGCACTCTCGATCTACCGAATACCAGCACAGAACGGCAGAAGGCATGATGGCTTGAGCGAGTTTGTAGTGACCAAAGCAGAGAGGGCCGAATCGCAATACGCGCACCCAGCTACCACACAAACCAACTGACCTGAAGTACGAGTGGGCGCGACCTGCTCTGACTCGCCTGCCGCACAGACAGTGTGGCGCTGGCACTCGGTCTGATTCTCTGTTGCCGTGTAGTAGCCCTCTGCACAATACTCGCACAAATCTGCACCAGACTGCGTACAAGACAGGCGGATCGCCATCATGAGTTTTGGAACCAGTCCAGACCTCCAGATCGTCAGACTCATGCCCAGCTATCTTCGATGCACTTGGTGCAAGTTCTCAAACTTGGCCAGTTGTGAAAGCCAAGAGCATTGCAACGCTTTGAACGGCTTACAAGAAAGGAGCCAGGCTTGCACGTGTCGAGAGGTAGGCAGCGCGGAACTACAAGGTCGCGCGGATCGCGCTCAAAGTTTAATCCGTCACAGCCTACGGGTTGGTGATCCCAGACGATAGACAAGGACAAAATGACCAAACGACCAGTGAGTGGCGTCGGGCTACAATACGAGGAGGAAGCATGCCGAGCAACGCCTCAATGCGCTGCGAGTTGGTTCGTCCTTGTGAAAATAACGCACTTTCGCTGATCAAGACAAGGTACATGGAGTCTGCGATCGTATAGCGGCTCAGAGATGGATCGTTGTAGAGCGTCACGTTGACACCGCCCGCTGGTACCTAAAATGTATTGGCAGTACTGTGAGAAGGGACGGCCTGCTTGAGGGCCCTTGGGCTGGCGGGGGTCCCACAAGACCTAGCCCCTCAGGCACTTTGACCCTATACGGGTCAAGTTCAGGTGTGCATACAACCTACGTCGGCTGTCATGACTCGCGTAAACCCGGTGCCAGCGGTTTGATCCACAATGCCGGTCTGGCTACCACCTTGGCTGTCAGCGAGGGTGATTGCCACGTTGGTGCCTCGGTTGGGGCTCAGAGTGTATCGATGATACAGAGCATAAGTGCCCGCCACGGGCGCTGTAAACATGTAACGTGCCGATGTTTGTTGACGGGTGTAGCTGTAGCCAAAGCCATCATAGGGGGTATTGGCGTTGGAGAAGATAAAGCCGGGCCCATTGATCACCTAGGGACCACATGTAGAGTTGCCGCAGATGCAATCAAAAAGGGGTTGGTGCCAAGGGCTTTCGGAACCAACTCAGGCCCACTGCGAGCTTACGTTGGGAAGGCCCTCCTCGTTGTCGAGGGCCAGGGTCGGAACCATTTGCTTGAAACGAAACATCAGACCGTCAAAGATCAAGCTGCCAGTTCCAAGGCACACGAGGCGCACGGACGCTGCGCTGGGGCCGCTGAGAACATGGCCGATATCAATCCAGGCGTTGGTCTGGGTTGACTGATCAATGTACATGGTTCGGGGATTCGGATCGTTGGTGTACTGGTACACGCTAATAGACGCCTAAAGAGCGTCGAGGACAGGAAGTGAAATGGCAGCGGCTTTCGTTGTAAATCATTGTGCCAAGCGAGCAAGCACGCAACTGAACACGTGAAATATGAGCAATGTGAGCCCCGACATACGTTCGTGCACGCGGTGGCATAAGGTGGGAAGCGAAGGTAGAGATCCATGATGGCAAAACCGCGAAGCTGGAGGCGAGGGCAGGAAACGGCAGGGTGAGACACGACCCAGGCACACCTGACGCTTTTGGATAGAGCAGATAGAGGCCAGGGCTTCGCACCGTGGGCAAGGTGGCGCGAACAGCGGCACTCGGGTTTTCGTCTTTGGAAAAGATGAGAAAGTCTCCTCCAATGGCCTCCATTGTGCGGTCAGAAACGGTTTTTGATCCGAAAAAAGAGAGTTGCTCAGAGTCTACGCACAAGAAGAGCTTTTGATGAGCACTTTCAGACATCAAGGCCCGAACGCAGAGTTGGAAGGGCATGGAGGAGGACAAGGCCGCACTGGATGAATCGATGGTAAAGCTTTCAATGGGTGAAAGCCGCATGGCATCGGCAACTGTGTAGAGGCTGCCAGTGTTCTTGGCTCGGACGCGAACCCGAGTAGTGCCCTCGGGCAAGCTGAAATAGCCCAGAGTTTTGTACTCCCATCCATTCAGGCTCGTTGTTTGGTCCATGAATACGCTGAGCTGGGCCCCAAAGGCCGAGGTGGTCATGACCTGAATGCGGCTCGAACGATCGTCCGTGGTATCCGACTCAAGACCTCCACGATAAGTTCTAGTGGACAGAAGCACACAAAAGTACACATGCAGGCAGGCTTGTTGGTAAGGCTACAAGGTCAGCGCGGCTGTGGCAAAGCCCTGAGCAAAAAGTCTCTGGCACTTACGCCTCTAGTGTATAGAGCCCGTCCTTGGCCACCTGAAAAGGATACTCGACAAAGGCGTCATCGTCGTTGGAGCCCCTGTCGCGTGGTTGACATTTTATTCCATTATGCAACCCGTGAGCATCAAGCAATCAAGGGACCGTTTTGTGGAGAGCAGACAAAAGAGGTACCGGCGGCCAAGAGGAACGCACTGAACCACCAGATAATCGACGCCAACGTAGCCATCAATGGCACTGCTGCTACGCCAGCTGCCAGAAACGGTAACACCAGTCGACTCGGTGTCAAGGATTTCATGATGTAGCAGGTAGCACGCGTCCAGAACCACGGCCTTGGAAGTGCCCGAGCCAAAGACGACGACTTTGTTGTTGGCCGGGCTCATGCGAAAAGAGCCAACAAACACCCAGCTGCCAGCGGTGGAGACCTGAAGGTGGAGTGGGTGCAAGAAGAATAGAAGAGAGCGCGCGCGCACCAGCGAGTCGAATGACGTGAGCAGCTGTCTGGGTTGAGTGAGGTGAGGGCCATGGGAAGGAGGGGGAAGACGAGGCTCGTGCCTGATTCCAAACAAAATTGAAGACGCCTTGGTCGTGATGAACTTGGACGGGGACATTGGGACTGAGCGTGTTGCCACTGTGAAAGTTGTCAAAATACACGCCGTAGTAGCCTACTTCATCAATGGGCATGTTGAAAGTCGCGTTGACGGCATCTTGACGCCCCACCAGGTCTGAGACAAAGCAGAGCGCGATATATGAGAGTAGGTCACGGAAGGGTCGGAGGGATGTTTCAATGCGCATGAGGATGTGATGGCGCGGCTCAAATAGTGTGACGCACAAGAATTGCCAATAGAGTTTGGAGTTGAGGAGCTCTCGGTCCAGGTTCCTGTGCGGTTTAGAAAGGCAAGGGCGAGGCAAGGTAACGGCGACACCCGCTTGGTCATTGGCAGGCAGCCAGGCAAGAGCACCAAAAAAGCATTGGCTTGATGGAAAAATGCCCCAATCAAAAGAAGCTTACCATACAGCTCCACCTCTGATTCCTGGGAGTCAACAAGAATGCCTTGGCGTACACGAATGGCGTCCAGCGAGAGAGTGCCCTTCTGCGATTCGGGCCAAGCAGTCGGAGCAAGAGTGATGAGTGTGCCGAGTGGGACCATGTCAATGTTGCTGATTGTCAAGGTTGATTGAGTCCAGGTGCAAGGCGATGTCGACTCACCCGGTAGTTTGGATCTTTGTGGCGCACAATGACGGTGAGGGCACCTTCGTTGATGTAGCGCGATTGCAGACGAATCTGATGACCCTCTTGCTCTGGAGCAGACTGGTTGACGATGAAGGTGTATGACTCGTTGAAGTACGTGTCGGCAGACACGAGTCCTGGGGCAATGATGACCTCAATCTCAGGCGAGCGATTGATGTGACTGCAGTAGGACAGCAGAACCTAGCATGGGGCGGCGGTGAGACCCGCTAGGCAGGTAGGCGGTTGAACGAGCATCGGGGGCAAGACTCTCACTTCGTAGTAGTCGGGGTCGGGAACGCGCACATAGAAGGTGGCACTAGCATCGCCATTTCCAGCGGCACCGGTGGCGTACTGGCAGGTGTTGCTATAACCGGGCACGGAGCTGGTATCCCAGCTCCCGACGAGCACAATATCCTCCTCATCATCGGCATTTTCCAGCTCCAGGACACGTTCCCAGACGGAGACGCCGCCTACGCAGCGAGAAAGGCGACCGATGGCAGAGTTGAGTATGGCGCCTTTCATTGGGCAAGGAGGCGCGACGCGGGCAGCCAGGCTGCCTTGGGGATCATCGAACAATGCTGGCCAAGGGACATACCAATGGTTGGATTATCGGCACGTGTGATCGAAAGGCAGATGAGGCCAGCCAAAGCCAAGAGCAGGCACATTTGTAAAGGCATTGGGGATCTGCGCATGCCCCCCCGCGCGGCGGCAGCCATGCTGGCGGCGCGGGTGCTGACAGGTGATGGAGTGATCCTGGCGCCGGTGAGCACAACAGGGTTGAGGGCTTGAACGATGCGAAAGGCACCAGAGCGACGGCATCGGACGTTGAAATTTGTTGACCTGCCGTGCGCCACCACGTACCGCCTCTTGTCGCGGGAAACAGGGTTGGTGCGACGACCGATGAAAATGGTGCGCGCGATCTGACTCCGTCCACCAACGTATAACCCATGAGTGTGTGCAATTAGGCATCCCCCCCGCGAACCCAGCCACATGCAGACACACAACAGCGAGAGACAGGCGAGGAGGAGAGGGAGGGACACACACACACGCATGCACGCACGCTCAAATAGAGAAGAAGCAAGGGTCAGGCCAGGAGGAAGACGGGGAGCATACCGTCAGAGGAGCGAGCAGCTATCAACGCGCTGCCACTGGATAAAGAGCAAGGGGAGGGAAAAAGAAAAAGCCACACACACGCCAGCACGCAACAGCATCACGATCTCTCTCGGAATCACTGACACACACACACACTCTCTCTCTCTCTCTCTGTGTCTCTCTCTCAGTCTTCGTCAGACAAGCGAAACATCAAAACATCAACAATCAACACAAAGCGACCAATACGTGACATACAAGCTTGTTAGGCTTTGTTAGGCCTTGTGTGTTTTGTTATTGTTTGTTGTGCGTTCTCGTTTGGCTTTTCAGGACTTTTCCTCTTGGACGTATTGTTGTTGCACACACTCTCGCATACACACACGCTTTATCCTTCTCTCTCAAACTCTCTTTCTCTCTCTCTCTCAAATTCTCTTTCTCTCTCTCTCTCTTTCTCTCTTTCTCTCTCTCTCTCTTTCTCTCTCTCTCTCTTTCTCTCTCTCTTTCTCTCTCTCTCTCATGCTTCGTTGTTGTTTATGCTGCTCTTTCTCTCTCAAACTCTCTCTCAAACTCTCTCTCTCTGCGTCTGGAGAGCTGTCACATCGTTCGCGATGAGCAAATGACTTGTCCATCGAACGAAAACGCGAGTTGACACCATAAGGCAGAACCACCTTCGAGATGTCATAACATTTTTCCAAGAAGATAGCGCAATCGTCCACCTGTCACACTAATAAGCCATCCATCAACTCCGCCCGCACGCACGCACGCACGTCCGTTGTAATGTTGTACTCCACGCTGCTGCCCCAAACCCCACCACCGAGCCTGGACAGTCATTACCAACAACAACAAAACCACGTCATACAAAACAACAACGCAACAAAGCACGCTCAAACCAAAAAACCACAAAAAGAATGTTATGACTAAGAGGAGACTCGAACTCCCAACCTCCTGATCCGTAGTCAGATGCGCTATCCGATTGCGCCACTCAGCCATTCGATGTAAGTAATGGATTTGATATAGTATATAAATGTCTTTTACAGACTAATCTGACAAATTGTGTGGTGTTTACAATTGTGGTTGTGAGCGATTGAATTGTCAGCTCACAACCAAAACATCGAACAACTCTGTGTGTGTGTTGTCCGCGAACGCGCTCTCGGCTGGCTGCGCTCTTGGGTCCCCCTGGCTCGAGGAGCCGGTCGGTCGGCCCGACGTGTTTGGTGAGGCGTGGAGAGTTTTGCTGTTGTGGCAGGACTGAGGTCTATGCTTGGAACGGTGCGTCTTCCTTCTTTTGCGAGAAGGAGGCGCCATGAGCACTCGCGGCAGCGAAGCAGGGGATGGCGCATTGAGCCATGTCAATGAAGAGCTGGCCCGTCTCCGGGCGAAGGAACGACGTGCCCGCCTCAACAATCAGGCACGCCACAACACCATATGCGCAGGCATATGCACCCTCCGGCTGAGTCCGCCCTGCCTTTGCCAACTGACACATGCCATGCCCCCATTGCCTTTCATAGGCTCAGCACGCCATTGTGGAAGCCAGCAAGGGGGCCACGAGGGCCCAGCTTCATGCCTTGAAGCAGGAAAAGGCCCGTCACCTCTCTGCGATTCAACAGGCATGTCATCGGAAACCCTCTACCCTCGCACTTGAGCAGTAACAAGGGAGGCTGACCCACGACCATGCCTCCGCTCGGAACCCTTGTTCCACCTCCATCCCAATGCAACCAGCAACGAGAGGCCCTGGAGTCCCGACTCAGTGCCGCCCGTGCGCAGGCAGCCCAATCTCGACAGCGCATTGATCAGGCCTTTGGTGCCAGGACCGGCTCCCCAGCACGCTCACGCCAAGCATCGCGCCCCACCAGTCAAGTTCGGCCTTCTTGCACCGATACGGGCGTTGCTTGTCGCCATGCCACACAAACGCTCTCATCCAACGAGCCCGCAGGCCTCGTGTCTCCTGACCGCTCTCTTCCCCCCTCTCTTGTTTTACCCCGCATGCCCAGGCCACCACCGTTCCTTCCACACAAACGCATTCTCGCCCCAACAGTCACCTCCGCCAAGCCGAGGCCCGCTCAACCTTAGAGTCAGCCTCTTGGCCCAATCTACCGCCCCACTTCACCCAGCCTCAGCCCTACGCCCCACAACCGCAAACCGCTGGTTCGACACACGCCTCGCGCCCACATCGCCGTCGTACATGTTGCCCCAAAGCCCAATCAATATTTTGGCCCTTACATGCGTGTTTCACACCTGGTTGCCGATCTCAGCTTTCTTGCAAGCTGATCTTCGTGCCTGGCGCGAGCACTACAATGCCTCAGACCGTGCTGATCCAGGTAGCTCATACTTCCAGCTCCCAGCCCCGATCCACGATTGCTTTTTTCTTCCTGTCCCTCGCCACGTTTTGAGCGCCTTGTCATGCCTCGTTCACATTTTCACACTGCTTGGCACCGCCTCCACCAGGCGTGCTTCGCCATCTGGCCGAGATTGAGCAACAGCTACAACACCTCACCTCTGCGCCACCGGGCGCATCCCCATATGTTAATCCAGCCCCGACGTCAAACCCATACTTTCCGTCGCGACCTCTGCCACCACCCCTCCCATTGGTTCAAGACCCCTACTACTCCGTTGCTCTTCGCGATGCAATTCGCACCGAGCTGCAAACAGCCCTGGTGAGAGCCGTCTCTCCCTTCGAGCTGTCACACACGCTCCTGACAGGAACCACATCAAACACGACCAATTTTGACTGACCCCTCGGTCCCACTCATGCACCTGCAACATACCCAGACCAGCCTACAGCCCCCACAGGCTTCAACGGCCGCTGCACCCGAAGCGCGACCGGCCTCCGCTACCGTGGACCCGGATGCTGTCAATCATATCCGTCGCGTCCAAGAGCTCCAACGCCAACTCGAAACCCTTGAGGTACTGTTGCGGCCTTGACTTCTCTACTCAAGTAGAAGGTGTGAATTCCTTTAAAGTATCTCTCATCGCTTCTCCCAACAACGTTGACCTCCTCGGCACCTTAGTATGAGAACAAACTCAGGCGACTTCAGCAAGAATTTGCCCAGCTGGATGCCAACGTATGTCCTTCCGAAAACATCAATGCCCGCAGTCATGCACAAGCGACACAATGCCTGCGCCACGTATATTGAGACAGCCGCTACTTTCGCTGACGCCGCGTGTGCACCCAAAGACAACGGATCAGCGAACGGCCCCTCGCGAGCCAACTCCGCCAAGCACACCCATTGAGCAAGACCCAGACGTTCTCAGCTCCGAGCCGTATAGTAGCAGCCAAGTCAGTCGCTGAGAACTCCCCATCTCCTTCCCTTTTTTTTTTTTTTTTTTTTTTTTTTTTTTTTTTTTTAAAATTTCGTCACCCGGTGTGACTTTGCCGCACATGCCTTGCTGTGTTATTCACATGGCCGCTTGCCTCTGCAGGGCTTTGTTGTCTATTTCGATCGCACAGACCTGCTGCCATCACACCTCGCCTCGTGCAAGCTTCGCTACCAACTCATCAACGATGGCAAAGTTGGTCAACTTGAAGCCAAGTGCTAGCCTGCTGGCCAGATTTGCGGCAACGCCAGGCTTGTCGCTTACACTGTATGATCAAGCTCTCACCGCTCTCAAATCACTGGAACATATACGCCACAGAGTGAAAGTGCCATGCAGTACTGCGTGACCAAAACTACAAACGTGGACAGCCGCCACGCTGCATTCCTGTTCGAGCCCGTGCGTGCTACATGCCCCTGATACCCGCTTATTGCTCCCCTCACGTGCGGCCTGCTCACGCGCGTGCTACTGCTACTGTGCGTCTTTGCTTGAAACATCTCCATGCCAGAAATTTCTCTCTGTCACTGGCTGCCCTCCCTGCCCCACTCGACACTTGCTGTTTGAGCTGCTTGATAGCCGATCCAACACTGTCCTGGCGTGGACCAAGCTCTTCCTCTTTGGCGTTGAACATCGTCTTGCCGCCGGTCTGTCAGCAATTTTGCCCTCTTGTCCTTTGGTGCCACATGCGTCCGCCTCGAGCTATCTTTTGCAGCTGTTTTCATCGAACGTGGACTCGACCAATGGTTTTGCCCAGGACGTTGGCGGCTCAGTTGGCGACAAGCGCCCGTCCTGCGCGATGCACGCTCCACGGACGTCATCAATCAGCCACCCTTTGATAAAGCTGTTCTCTGTGTGCGACTCGTGGCTGCAGCCCTAAAGAATGGACATGATGCGCTTGAACCTCTCTCATGGCCACGCCAGCTTTACTTGCCCCATGGTAAACTGCTGCATGCTGGTGCTTATTTATTCAGCTATCACACCCACATCTCTCCTGCTGTGCCTGCTGCGACCTGTCTTGAGTGTTGGTGGGCTGCATCGTGGCCCTATATATATAAATATATATATATATATTGATATTTTCGCCTCGCCTCGTGCCGCAATCGCCCCGACAGGTGTGCTCGGAGACGACGTTTTGTTCTTGCTTCGGCAAGCTCGACAACGACGCACGTCCTCCCAACACGTCAAGTCAGTCAAACTTTTGCTTGTCATCGCCTACATCTAGCGAGTATCTTGCTACCTCAAGTGGCAATGCTCATCTCATCTAACCGGCCCGCTGGTCTCTTAGGGCACCGCGAGCGAGCCTGTTGTCAGCGGCGGACAGTTTGATGGGCGAGAACATCACTTCAAACAAGCCCCATTCGGCCCGACCTTTTTCCCAGCTCGAAGCTTTGCCAGAACGACGCGACTCGGCAACACATCAGAATGCCGAGGCAACCGGCTCTCGGTACGCTTCGGTTTTTGTTTTTGTTTTCTGCCTGTTGGGCATCGTGATACTACCTACACTCACTTGCATGCATTTGACCGACAGTCGAGGCTCAGCCACACGCTCAATCGCACTCAGCGAAGCATCAGAGCCAACTGCTCTCGAGGACACTCTACCAAACGCAAGCCCTGCCGCATCTAACCCGGCTACGAACACCATCACACGCAAACGCGCCGCATTTGTCGACCCGGAAAAACTTGAAACGGTGGCTGGAGGCGCTGTTCGACTTGACTTTGTCATTTCCGGTCTACGCGACCTGGCACTGGAGCCCGACGATCAGTATGTCGCACGCCGCCTGCGCTTGCAGACTGACCATTGACGGGTCATCAAACGTGAAGCTGTGCGTTTCGTGTAACTGGCGCTGTCTACCCTGGTTTCTAGGCTCAAACTGGCTGTCTACGGCGCTACCGCCGATACCAGTGAAGGAAACGACTATTGTGTCGAAATGGGGGACGAAGCTTGCTGGAAATCAGAGGTAGACCCTACTTTTGCTGGGATGTAACCGAATGCTCATCTCCAACTTTTTGTCTTTGGCCGGCCTGTACAATGACGTCAGCTTCGTTTTTTGTAACAGCTTTTATCACCTGGAGACTTTCCACAGCGGGGCAGTGTCCTGTTGACGGAACTTGTGGAAGAGACGGTCGTGATTTTGATCCTGGTTGCGCGATTTTACATGGACGGAGATGGACAATCTAATGTGGAAATGCTATGCTGGGCCGCTTCACCGCTTCGCGACGTTCCCTTACAACGGCGCAAGTCCACCGTCATTGTAAGATGATGGGCTGCCTCTGTTGGCCTGCACACGCTCTTAAAAGAGTTTGCAAAGGCCAAAGGCGTCACACCTCGGCATGGCTACAAATCATTGTTGTTCGACCGGGTCAACTTATGCGCGATCTTTACTCCCACGCAGGGATTGGATGGCCGCGATCCATTGGAATGGCCCTTGCACGCAACACCCGCAAAGCCCTTTGCCTTCTTGCAAGATAATGGGCAATTCGACAATCGACTTGGCAAGCTCAGCCTCGTTCTCAACAAGCAACGTGCACGAATTCAAACGGCACAAGGTTTGTTGCAAGCAGGTTGACCAACCACCTGAGCGTGTCGCTGCGTCTCTTCCCCTTTTTCTTTTCGTTGTTTCCCCCTCATCTGTCATGCAGGCGATGGCGGCCCCAGGGGTGGTGATGCTTTAGCCTTGGAATCTGGTGGCGAGAATTTGAGTGCCCACGTTCGCAGCGCCACGGATGAAGATGTCATGAAGCTACCACCAGGTAATGCTCAGTTTTCAGTTTTATGACTGCTACTTCTGCCCTGTGACGCTGTGGGACAAACATTTCCTTCTTGCTTTTGTTGGTTTTGCCTTTTGACCAGGCAGCTTTGTAGCGGTCTCGCCCACCAATGGCATGCCATACCAACCCGAGCGCGGCATTGATATTTATGTGGACGGTGCCCGCTTCCTGCCGAACAACGTCACCATTTCCAAAGTCGTCGGTCGCATTTTCAACGCGCGAAAGGAAAAGGAGGGTCCCATGATCAATACGAATCTAGACCTCGACTCGGACATGCTCAACCCACGCTACAACTATCGTCTCGAGCTACGCAGCGAGGAGCTGGCACCCACATCGACGCTTGTCCTGCGTATATATGCGATCGATGAGCTGTCTCAAGATCTGAGCATCGTCGGCTATAGCGTACATCACCTCTTTGTTGACCCGCGTACGAATTCTGCGGCCCCTGTGCAGGGACATCCGTCTACCACCTCAATCCCACCTCGGCTGACATGGTTCACCGCACCGCACCCCCCCTCTTTTTAAGTCTCACCTGGTGACCCCTGCCCTGTCACTCAACTCTAGGCACGGGAGCTCAACCAGAGAGCGATGACTTGGTTGAGTACAACCTTAACGAGGGGGGATTTCAGTTGCGCCTGCACACCAAGCTACCGGGTCAGGCCACCATCACAGCCAACATGCTGAATGATGTGCCTCCGCTGCCTTGTGCGTCGCTACTGCTTCGCATCAGGCGCCCGCCCGCAGATGATCAAGGCCTACCCCTCTCGCAGATTCATGTGCCCCCAGAAGAGGTTTGTCAGATGACCGATCTGGTCCGATGGGGGTCCGGGGAATAACGATGAAAGTGCTAAAGGTGCAAGACGGCTGGCTGATTGCACAAGGAGATGACATACTGTCTTGTGTGCCATGGTTGTGTAGTGGCAAGAACGAGGACTCTTGGTGCCCGCGCCTGACTATGCTTCTGGGGCCTACGTTTCTGAGCTGGCTTGGCCCACCGTAGCTGAATGTCAACTTTACCCTGATTTGCTGCGCCGCCCGGTGAGGCATTGCCTTCTATCTCTTCTTGTCTATGCTTCTTGCTAACAAGTGTTCTGTTGTCTTCAATTTGACGTCCAGGTTCGCCGAGTGCGCCACCACTTGGACCTGGCCAAGGGTAAGGATGTGCGAGAACTCGAGTCGGACAAAGCCCGAGAAAGCTTTATTCGCAAGTTCGTACTTGGCGCCGTTGTTCCCCAGCATGGCTTGGCTGCGCTCTGCCAGCGGCTCTGATGGGCCTGCCTTATTTTGACGGTGCTGGTGTTGACAGTCGGCTGAAGAGGGCCAGCAGCGCCACGCCGCAACCATTAGCATTTTCACGGCTAGCCCCTTATTCCCCATCGATTGGTGCGCTCCTCATTGTGGAGCGGGCTCGTCATCTACCAAAGAGAAAGGTATGGCCTATTCTTGCGGCTCTTTATCAAAAGGTTGATTGTTACAACCTACTCAGACGCCTTTGCTCTTGGCGATAGATGCCTGTGGTTGTAGCCAGCCTCTTGCCCCCGGGCAATCTGTATTTAGACAATATTGGGGCAAATCAAGATGAGGATGATGGGGCAAAGCGCAAGGCTGAGCGCAAGGCAACCATCAAAGCCGAAACTAGGTGGGTGTACCTGCTTTCGAGACAGCGCCGTCGGGGCTCGAACCAGCCGTGCACAGGCACCCCAGTGGGGGCCACTTGACAAACGCAGAGACCTGAACTGCGAAATGAGCTCACGGTCCGGCACATTTGACGGGCTATAGGGTCTCCACGGCAGCAGAGAGCACGTTGCGCAACCCCATTTTTGCTGGAACCGAGCTGTACTTTGCTCCTGCCACCTTACTGGATAACCATTTGCTAGTGCTCGACATCAAGAGTGCTGACACCAAAGCAGATGCCGTGCATCCCATTGGATTTGCATTTCTGCGAGTGCGTTTGCCGGTTGCCGCTCAGCCATGACCCCTGACGTGCTCCCCGCTCTCTTGCTTGGAAAATCTTTGGCGCTAGCTCATGACCCAACTTATTGCTGTTTACTCGAGCAGTTAAGCTCCGGGCAGTCACACGTGAATTTCGGTCATTTTGATCTGCCGATCTATCAAGGTTCATGCACACTTGGCACCGCTTTGCCTCCTCAAGTTGATGCGCTGAGCTAACGCTTGTGTTGGCGGTTTGCTTGTGATGTCATGCATCGTTGCAGGCACGCCGACGGCGCTCATCTTGAGTAAGGTGGCCGAGCACCTGGACGACTTACAGCACCTGCATCAAGTTCCAGCCTTCAACAAGCTGGTGTGACCATGACTGCTTGGATCGACGTGTCTGTGAAACGCCTCGCGATCTGAAAGCTGATGCCCTGGCTAAAAATGATCATTGGCTTTCCCGTAGATCAAGCCGATGGACCATGCCTACGTGACCGTTAGCCTGTTGGACCCACGATTGGATCCTGATTTGCTGCCGTCGACGCCCGAGTCGCTGTTGCCAGAATCGTCGCGTACCAAGGCTTACGCGGTAAGGTTTTGCGTGCCAGCCTCCCCTGTCACTGGGACGTATCCTTTTATGATGATGCTTATCTGCAACGTTGGTGCAAACTTGCCCACGAAAATTACATCTTGTGCTTGGGAATGTTAGATGACGAGCAAGTCCAAGCCGCTCACCACCCTCCAGCCAACCACTTTTACCAGGTGGGCTGCCTATGAATCCGCAGTCGGGTCACTCTTACGCGCCTACATTGCTGCGGGCACCACGGCCACCACCATGATGCACTCGCCATGAAGCCGGGCTTGAACCACCAGAGACAAAACTGATCTCAGAGCTGCTTTCATACCGTTGCTGAGTTGTATTTTCTCTTGACGTAATCGATGCAAGAGGATTCAGGTCTGTACGACATCATATTCATCCATCATCACCAATGCCATGATGGATGAGGGGGTGCCTTCGAGTGCACAACAAAGCCCACGCACGACCTTTGAACCCACCGACATGAATAAACGAGGCGAACAAAAACGCACACACGTACACTTTATCAAAAACACTCGTGTGCTGATTGATTCAGACGCCTTCATGACCGGTCGTATCAGTAAAGTGACCCCCAAGCCCCGCCGCGTCAACATCAATCACGCTCCCTATTCACATGTCAGTCATTTTTGTGAACAAAAATGTGAACGATGGTTTTTTTTTTCTTTTTTTCAAAAAACAAAGTCTTTCACTACCAAAAACAGTTGAAAAGCTTTAGTTTTTGATTCAGTTTTGACTTGACTTGATGAAGCAACTCAGGACGTAAAAGGGAAAAAAAAAGGTGACTTGAGATCCGTCGCTGTTGGCGTGGGGCGGCCTGGGTGTCTTCCATTCCAAGACACGATACGGGACCACGCAAGTGATGTGTTAACGAACACGTCGTGACGCCATTTTCCTCTCAAAGGTGCAAGGGCGTCTTTCTTCTCCACCAACGCGACGACAAGCATTTGGACAACCACAGCATGGCGGTGCCGGTTCAGCGGGTGGTGGAAGCGGATTCAAGTGATGAGGAGCACGAAGGGGGCGTTTTTTTGAGTGCCTACCCTCTTGGGCGGCGTGAGCACGCCCTGGCTTTTGGCAGGTCTGCAAACCATGCCCCGCCCGCTTGCCGTTGCCGGCACACGTTGCCACCGGTACCACGATTCAAAGTTCTGGATATGTCATGTGCTTGCATGCAGGCAACTGGCTCAAGCATGGCGGCGTTCGGAAGACGGCATTGAGGCAAGCACAACCACCAATGGCGGCTCCGCCTCGGTCCTTGGACCTGACCCAGTGAGCTACCAAGCGGCTCAGCGTGCGGCTGAGGTATGTGTTCTCTCGCCATCTTCTCTGTCAAACCGATTGATGGGTTTCCGTTTTTTTTGTTTGCCTTCTTTGTGAAAGACGATTTTCACTGGATCGATGCATGTAGGCACGAAGTGTGTCTGTGTGTCTGTGTGTCTGTGTGTTTGTGTGTCTGTGTGTTTGTGTGCCTGTGTGTTATGCCATCAAAACGTCTGCCTGCTGCCCTTTGAACTTGATTGTGCGCTGCGCTCTATTGATCATCATGGATGAACACACCCGCTCATTTGCATTTTGATTTTGGACTGTACCCGCAGCTACAACTGCCTCTCAAGACATGTCGCCTTTGTTTCGCGACCTACCGAGGGCGCATAGCCCTTGCACGTCACGTGAAGCAAGCACACATCTTGCAAGCAAACGCACCACCCCTCGCAAGTGGGGAGAGCTATGCCCTACATGCTGCCAAGCGACCCAGATTCTTGCGAGAGAGCACGCAGGCCAGAGAACCACAGCTCAAAACGTTTGACGCCCAACATGACCAGCTCTTTTTGAAGCAACTGGCCCGCGCACGCCGAGCTCTCGAGCCAGGTTCGGCTGCCCCGGGAATAGCTCAATCAACCACAATGGTTCTGTCGGAAGGTGGGCTGCTTTGTTCTTGTTTACCAGATCAGCCATAAAGTACCCCCGTGCTCCAACCCAGCCCAAAGCTTCACCATGGCATTGTGATCATTACCCTGCTGATAGACTCATCATCGGCAAGGCAGAAGATGCCATCACCCACCAAGTCGCGCATGAGCAGCGCAGGCCAAGCTAGCATGACTCCATCTTCACATGTAAGCATCTGGTCGCGCCCACTGGCCGTTGAGCATGCCGTTGCCGTGCCCTGTGTACAGCCCATGGACATTTGAACGTAATTGTTCCCACGCTAGGCCACACGAGTAGCACCAGCCGCCTCGCAAAGGCCGACATCAGACGGCGTTCAAGCAACCGTAACGCAGATGCTTGCACCAGCGCAAGCAGCCCCCAGGGGGTCAGCCTCTACGGGCACTGCTATGCCATCGCCGCCTGCACATTTTACGTCCTCCTCGTTCGACCCCACCCCTGCCCAGTCACCTCGAGCAAACCCAATCCACCCGTCTCCAGCAGCAAGCAACGATGAAGCCGCCGGGCTGTCCCGGGGAATGCCTCCGCCCCTGCGCAAGTGCACGCATCCCGGCTGTCAAGGCTATGGCCATGTGAACAAGCGCAGCGCAACACACGTTTTTCTCAAAGATTGTCCCTTGGCCAATGGCGAAGCGACTGCGCGCGAAGCCACGGTTTGTGATGCGCAAACGCATGCCCAAACACCTCTGATCTGTGGTCCGGCTCGCTAGAGAAGCTCATGTGGGACCTCTGCTGATTGAGCACGATAGGCCTGGCCCTTTCAACCGGGCATGAGCGTTGAGATCCGTCTCGGCCGCAGCTGGTAAGGGACAGGATTGCCGACAACAAAAAAAAGCCAGCTGATTGCTCAAGCAATTTCAGCACCATCCCCTCGCTGCAGCGCAGCTTGCTCATTCAGCCTCTTCTGCTCGTATAACTGGTATGCTTGTATCGCTTGAACCATGGGCACTTGTTAGGCAACCTGCCAAGGTAATTAGTCAGCAGAGTGAGGACGTTGTACGTGTTGACTATTCTGGAGATCAGATTCTGACCAAGGCCTCCAGTCTACGGCCCGTTCAACAAAAGCCTCGCCGACGTCGAAATACTGCGGTATGATATGTTTTTAAAGGAATTGGAGTTTTTTTTTCTGTTTTCCCATGCACACCACCGTATTGAGTGCGCGCCTGCCCCTAACGTGTCTGTGTGTTTATGAAGCAGGCAGCTTCGAGCCGGCGTGGCACCACGTTTACACCATCAGACAATTCCAATCGTCCTTGTATGTCGAGAGCTTGTTTCATGCGCACATATCCCTCGCTCAGCGAGCCGATAGCTGACGTAACCTGCCTGACTTCTTATGGCGTTGGTATTCCATTGGGCGTATCGCTTTGTGCCTGTTGCAGATAAATGCAGCTACCCTGGCTGCACTATGGCATACAAAGGACCCTCGGGACTCTTCTACCACGTGCGCTCAATCCACCCCGACTGGCGGCAGGCGGAGAAGCCGGCCGAAGACGAATACGTGGCTAAGTTTGGTAGCAGCACGTGGGTCGCTCGTGAGGGCCAACCGTGGCCGCAGCATGCCACGGTGACCCCCTCATCAGCCTCCTCGACTCCCTCAACCGTACCGCCACCGACGGCGCCCTCCTCCTCGGTCGCCTCAACCGCTCTCCCCCAACCTATGACGCCTCCCTCCACTGCCGTTGTCACTGATCCGCATCCTGCTGGCCCGGCCCATCAGCCCTTATCGACCACGCCCGACGCACCGCTCGACACACAAAACCCTTGATGTCCATAAAATTGCCACTGGCAGTCACCCGAGACCTTTCCCGGCGCTCGATCTTGTCCCTGTATCGGGGCGGGGTGGGGGGAATGGTCACCCGCATTCGGATCATATGACGCCATATTTCGTGAAATCGAACCAAGCTGCAGAGGCAATTTACTTCCTACAAACATCTTCTTGCCATTTGTTCCGCCTCAGCAGGCATCGACTGCCCCCGCTCGCCCTCTCCCGGGCTTCGATGCAAAATTCTCCCTCCCATCCATCTGAATGTCCCTTCATCGAACTTTGTGCCTCCTTTTTCCTTTTTTAAAAATTTTTTTGATCTCTCTCTCTCTCTCTCTTTAACTCTCTGTGGTAGTTGTGCTTTTCCTTTCTTTCTCTCTCTCTCTCTGTTTCTCTCTTCATCATCATCTCTCCCTAATTCATCTCTCTCTCTCTCTCTCTCTCTCTCTCACTCTCTCTCTTTTAGTTGGCTTCTGCTTGAGTTGCTTGAGAGAGAGGAGCCGTGTTGTTGTGTGTGATCTGGGGGTCTCCGACCTGCGCCCTCGAGTTGGGCCACGCGTATAAGAGCAGGCGTAGGCCCTGCTCGTTTTGCTTTGGCGCCGAAGAAATCCATGCACCTCTGTGCCCTAGACTGATCGCCAACATGGCCGCCCTTGAAGAGCTGCCCGCATGGAAGGTGAGCGTTGACGCCGACTGATGCGTATCTCGATGAGCCCAAGAAAGCATCGAAGTCACATATGCAACATGTACCTCATTCCGCTGATCGTGGCAAACGCAAATGCAGACAACCATCCGCCAGCGCCTCATCGCGCGCGACCAGAGACTCCAAACCTTGGCTGCCTTCATCCGCAATGGTAGCCGTTTGCGCCTGGCCGCAACCCGCTCCTCCAAAGCGCACCCAGAGAGAGCTTGCTCTCAATATGTATGATCGATGCTGCTGTCGAATAGAAATGCGGCTGCGCGAACAGTGCCGCACGCTGCGTAGCGATGCCGAAAAGGCTCGTCGTGAAGTTGTAGAGGTGCAAGAAGTAGGTGGTGATTCCCCCTCCCCTGTCCACGGATCACGGACGACAGTAGGCTCGCTCCTGTATTGCAACAAGCCATGCTTGTCTGATTTGAGTTTGATCCGACTTTGCCGCGCCATTGCTCCCCAGCGGTTTGCCGAAATGCGCCGCCAACAGTCGACACTTGGCGCAACTACCAATGGAACAGAATCGCATCGGCGCGATAGTAGTACCAAGGTCTTGTCCAATGATCGCTTGCTTGCGGATCCGGACAACGGCTTCTGACCAACCGTGTATGCCGCCCATTTGCTATTTGTAGCACGTCTCGCGTCTTGAGAATGAAGTCAATGACCTCAACGCACAACTTGTCAAACTTTATCAAGAGCGGAGTGAGGTGCGAGGCTCTTAAGCGCGCACGCTTGGCTGTGGCACGAATCGCGCTCGTAAAAAATTTCACCCGTCGCATGCGCCTGTAAATGTGCGCAGGCTTCGAATCGCGAGAATGAAGCCCTACGCCATGCCCAACGCCTGGCCGAACAGGTCAAGGATTTGCAGGAACAGCTCGAAATGGTTGAAGCGCAGCGTGATGAGCGCGCTGATGCCGTGAGAAAGCTTCAACAAGAGATCAAGCAGGAGGTGCGATTACGTTTGTTCCCGCATGGACATGAAAAAAGTTCCTGTCAAAGATTGGCTGCCTTTTTGTGCCCTTATAAAGCGTTGACTGTGCCAATGCATTCATGAACCTCTGTGTAGCGCATCAAGTCACAAACACTTCACGACGAGCTGGTGGCTCTCTCGGTAAGCTGCACACTTGCTGCACCCAGCTTGGGAGACCTTCCACAGTAACTTGGCTATTTGTCTGGTGCTTGCTTGTGCTGTAGATGGAATTCGCGGCGGCCGCGAACAAAGACGAAGAAGAGGCAAAGAAGTACCAGGCCGCTGTCCGCGAGCGTGACGAGCTGGTTTGTAATTCAAGCCCTTAACACCCGCTCTTGATTGATGTGTGGCCGCCCTGAAGCTATCCGCCCACAGCATTGAGCAGTCAGTTCACGATGATGTTTTATTTGGGCCCGCTTACTCTGTTGCACAGCTGGCCCGTGTCATGGAAATCAAACAGCAGCAAGTCAATCTTCAAAATGAGCTCAATGAAGCCCTTCAGCGGTTCGTCGGCCACCTTTGCAACCTGCTTGTGCACCTTTGGATCAAACCGAGATTTAAACGTTTGTTTCTTTCTCTTGCTCCTTGTATAGAGAGCGTCAAGCGCGCATTGCCATGGATATCCAGGAAGCTGCTCGAGAGATGCCCACCATTGACGAATTTGCTTCGACATCAACGCCGTTTCTCAAAACAGGCATCCCGAGCCGGGCTGCTCATCGCTTGGTGAGTAGGCCAGGCGCATGTTCTTGCCAAAATTTGATCTTGATTTTGGCCAAATCAAACTTGCTGCGGTTGTGTTAATGCACGACTGGTTTGCAACGGCTTTTTAAAGTTGTTTGAAAAAGCAGCTGGTATGCCACCTGACTCGTGTGTTGCCGTTGCCCATGTCAGGATGCTCACACGAGCGAGGTCCACTGTGCTGCTTGGCATCCAAGTTCGGGCTCGTTTGCCACTGGTGGGGCTGACAAACTGGTTCGAATTTGGACCAAAACTGGTGAGCTCAGCAATGTGAACCTTGAACTGTAGACTGCTGTCCCTGCGCCCATGTTATTCTCTGTATTTGATGGCCTTCTCTTGCCTCGTGTCAGGCAACTGCATCAGCACGCTGACGGGACATAGTGGAACCGTCATTGATTTGGACTACAGCCTGTCTGGCGAGCACGTGAGTGCCGTTGACGCTGGTTGCAGCTCTCGTGTTGCCAACCTGATCATCTACCCTCCTTATCGACTCATCGCTGTGCCTTTGCTCAACTTGACTCCCCTCCCGTTTCTCTGTTGCTTGGTTTGGTGTTTTGTTTTGTACTTTTGGACGCGTCTTGATATGCGGAAACTGGTGACAGCTGGTGACAGGTTCAAATGATAAGAGTCTGATGGTGTGGCAGTTATCAACCGGCCGCAGCCTGGTGAGCAATTCGCGTGCGCTGCTTCCACATGGCATCCTTACTTTAAGCATATCTTCACTTGCCCTATGCTTCATCATGGTCGTGCACCTAATACCCCACAGCACAAGCTGACCGGACACAGCGACAAAGTATATGCCGCGCGCTACCTAGACTCGACGCATGTCGTAAGCAGTAGCCAGGACCGCACCATCAAGGTCGGTACCTGATCCGTCGACTGCGATCTATGGGACGTTTTAGGGGGCATGCCAGCTTTGCTTACCATGACTGGCGTGCTTTCCCTTAGGTCTGGAACACGGTGCGCGGGATGTCAGAAACGACGTACATGGTGGCCTCGACGGCTCTGCATGTGGCTTGCCACGAGGCCTCGCGCTTCCTAACTGTTCATTTTGACCGCAAACTGCGGGAGTGGGACACTCGCGTGCGAAGCAAAAAGCCTCAACGTGAGGTGGCCATAGGGCATGAAGACCCCGTTCACTCGCTCACGCTCTCGCCCGACCGGTGCGTGCATGGGCCTGTTGTGCTCTGCTTGTGCGCTGCTTTTTGGTGAATGTGCCTGTGTTGCTGCGCGGGGAGTGGTGTGCTGATCAACAACCCTTGCGGGTGTTTGTGTAGGAGCAAGGCCTTGGCAGTGGGCAAGGATGGAGGCATTACCATGCTTGACCTCTACAGTCTTGAAGTGGTGAAGAAGTTTGGCCCTCTGGAGGATCGCGGCAGCAGTGGCCCTGTGGCGATGAGGTACAGGCGGGGCTACCATCTCGTCACGGCGCATGTTCTACTTCGAGCTCTTCGGCTGGTTCAGCACGTCTCATGGTGCGCTTGTTGTAGCGCGCTCGGCGATCATATTGCACAGGGCACTATGCAAGGTCATGTACATCTTTGGAACGTGCGCTCCAACAGCCTCGAGTCGACACTGCGCGACAACGCCCACTCGTGCGTGCATCTTGCCATTCCCTCCCATGCTCACCTGCCGACACCGAACGGCGTCCTTGCGGCCAAGTGTTCAAATGGCTCATGCATCTGTGTTGCATTGCAGGGGCCCTGCGATGGCTTGCGCTTGGAGCCCGGATGGTGAGGCTCTGGTTTCGGTCGGCCGTGACGGCAAGGCAATCGTTTGGGCGGACGGTTGAGATGCTATGTTTGCGACTTTCCCGTGGCGCCCCTCCTGTGTAATAAACTTGAATTGATGAGATACAACACTGGTACTGTCACAATAACAGCCCACCTGTATGGCCTGCGTGTGGTCGTTGACACTCGGTCCACGGCCAGGCATGCTCCGTGTGGGCCACAACAACCGTGTTCTTTACTTAAAGAGGGGCGTACCTGCAAGCCCCAGTTCGGTCAGTGGTACTGTACTGTCAATGTTTCAATAAAGGAGTGTTGGCCCAAAGAAACACGAGAACACACGCGGGACACTCTCGGTCACCGACCAAGAAGCAACGAGCACCACTGCGCACATGCACACATAAGCGCCCTTGAGCTGACGCACGACCAGAGGCTCGTGTCATGACGCCAGATGTTTATAAGAAAAAAAAAAAAAAAACCACAGGAAAAAAATAGTGAGAGAAATTAAAGCAAAATTAGCGATTAATTACCCAGAAATGACATCCGTTGTTCGACGTTCTCATTTTTATTTGAAGAAGCGATAGCTCACAGACTGCGCAAGATGGCAGCCAGCTGGGCCGAAGCAGCGCAGGGGAGTGCGTCTCCGACACCGCAGGATGAAATGGCTCCGCGCCCTGCACTGTGGCTGCCCAACAGTCGGGTTAAAGAGTTGGAGGCACGCTTGGCTCGACAGAACGGTGTCCCACAAACTGCAGAGGAATATCTGGTTTCTGTTCGGTAATGACCCTGAGCGCCCCCAGCCAACGCCAGACGGGGTGTGACTACATCGTTGATCAACGGCTCACACGATCCGTACTCGCGTGTTGCAGGCTGCAAGCAGCGGCCATGGACAATGTCTTTGTGGCACCCGACCCGGTGGTTGTTGCGAGTACCACATGCCACGATGGCGCCAGCACCCCGACGTCCAGCGAGCCTGCAGAGCATAGCGCTCAGCTCCCGCGTCGGAGGCAACCGGCTCGGCGCTGGCAAGCTCGGGTAACAGCCGATTTCTTTGCTGCTAGCCGGGTATGTCATCAGACTGAGTCATGTTGCTTGACGTGCTGGTTACACGAGTGGCACCCTGTTTATCACTCACATCAACGGCGTTCAGCGTGCTGCAGAGCTGCGAGCAGCGTTCGAAAGCGCAGGGACTCCGACGACCGTATCATGGGTAAGTGGAGGCTCGACATGTACCAATAGGGGATGAGCGGCGATGATACTGTACTCGGACTGCTCATGTTTGACATTGCAACGCCTTGCTCCGTGCACTCAGCCCAAGCCCAACAACCACGAGGCATGGCGTCGCAAGTGTGAGGGAGTGACCAAATCTACCGCGCCAAAGTCGGGACCTGCAATGTCAGCGGACGGCACAGCAGGGCGGGTAGATGGTGCTGCCAGCGAGTCGTGTGAACCCGCTGCCAAGCGTGGTAAGCGGGAGGAAACACCCGATCCGGGTCAGTCCTCATGGAAATGCAGCCACGCGCCCGTGGGCATCCAGCTCGAGCCGCCCAAAGCACTCATGCGCGTCGCTGATGTGCTCCCTTCATCTTCAACTTAGAGGGCAACCCAGGGGTGGAAGCAACGCCTCATCTCGAGGCTGCGACGCCAGATATCAAACAGAGCTTTCCTATTCCCCGGCTTAAGGAGCTAGCCCACTACCCCCAGCCCGTGGTCGGACAGCTGTTTCATCACTTGATCGGGTGGCTGCCACCGGCGTCAGTGCCAGCGTGGACCTCCACTTGGCTTTACGCAGTGTTGACTCTCTTTGAGCGTGACTTGATGAATGCCACTTGTATGGCGTCGACGCGTCGTCTCTATCGGCGACTTGACAACATCCTGAAGGAGGAGGTGTGTGTGTGTGTGTGTGTTTGCGTTCTCGCTTCCAGCCATGCATTGGGCCCTATGCCACATGCACAAGGAGGGGTAGACCTGCGCAGGCTGACGTGCATTTGCTGCTGTGTGTTTCCTCGTGTCATTCACAGAGCTGCCCTCGCCTTGACCGGCAACGGGCCCTAGTCCTACAATGCATCGTTGGTTGTTGCTTTGGTCAGGCTGATCTGTGGGAGCAGACGCGGCGACGTTGGCCCGCCTCACTCGAGCCACTGGCTCGTCCTGCACCAGATGCAACTGTGGAGACCCTGGCAGTTGTGCCTCCCGATGAAGCGGACCAGGGTTTCATCGTTGTGGGCGGTGGAGAAGTCTCGGCGACTTGATGATGCTTTCTCCAGGCTTGAGTTGTCAGCTTCTTCGCGAGCGAGCGAGGAGCAATGATTGAAGTCGAGGCCACAGTGTGGCGCTTTTTTTTTTTTTTTGTTAATTTCACCATGCTCGTAATCGAAAGCAATCAGTGTGGTGTTTGGACACGCGCGTGTGCGTGGCAGTCGGTAAGGATAAGAAACAAGGAAGGGGAGGGGGTAGGAAAAAAAAAAAGAAAGAAAAGATGGGTGGCTTTACATGGACTTTTTCCGCTGATCAAGACTGAACCCTCCTGGGCCCAAGATGGTGATCATGAGCAAGCCACCCATGACGGACACTGTCTGAAAGAAATCGTAACTAATACAAACACCATTCAAGAAGGAGCAGGCGGCAGTGAGAGAGCGAGCTGGCGGACCGAAGTGCAGAAAGAAACATGGGCAGGAGCGGCAGGAGCGTACATCTTGAAATCAAAAGTGTGGCTGCCTACGCGATAGCTCCAGAAATTATTCAGGATCATGTTTTCAACAGCCAACAGGAAGACCAGGGCGGTGGCAGCCAACTTGGTTTCAAACCCAATGTACACCATGATCAGCAGGGCTACACGAGACGGAAAGTCAATCAAAGATGAGTTGAGGGCAGATCCGGGGGTGGGAGGGAGCGGGAGGGGCGCAAAAAGGGATGATTCTTACCAACGGCGATGAGCTCAAGGAAGATACGCAGCCATGAGTCAAATTTGATCAGGGGCACAAACATCATGCCAATCAAGACACGACCCGCGAGCTAGAGGTAGATACGAGAGGGCACTTGGGCAAAGTGAACCAGGCTCAAGGGTGGCAGACGTTCAGGTATAAGCTAGGGTTGGGATGAGCGGTGAGCGTTTTGCCATATGTACCTGCAAGACGTTACTCTGACGTTCCTCCTTGGTTTCCATGCCGGGCAAAAGGGCGAAGACACGCTTGGCCTCGGAGCTGCCCTCGGCCAAAAGAAAAAGAAGACCACCCGTCACGGACACGCTCCTATGACACGAAATCCAGCCCATAGTGCAGCGACATGAGCATGGCCATGGTACAGGCGTGGCGCGCACGGGTGTCAAGCTACCTCACCGGACCAGGAACCGGAAATCCCACAAAACCTGGTACATGATCATCTACACCGGGACAAGTGTGAGTCTATCGGTCGGGGTTGGGGTTTGATATGGAGGGCCATGGCACACTGACCTGCAGAATCACGACTCCAAAGAGGCAACCGACGGCAATGTTGACTTTCTGACGCATCAGGATCATGGCCGCAGGACCCAACTGCAGTCATGCATAGCAGGCCATGGGGATGAGGGCGATCGCGTGGTGAGAGCGAGTTGCAAGACCACGAAAACGCATCGGTGCTCGGGCGGGCTCGTGGACTAACCTGGAGAACAAGGTTGATGATGATGAGCGAATATGCGATAAAGCCACCACAATTCCAGGAGTTGCGCACGTAGGTTGCTTGGTCGTTAAACTAGATCAGAGAGGGGAAGCAAGGACCGCCATGAGCAATGGACAACTGATACAACATCAAGAACCTGCTGCACCCTTCCCCCCGCAAAATGTGCGCCCATAGCATAACACAAAAAAGTGAGAGGGAGGAGCGGTGAGATGCGTGGGTGCTCAGACCTGGAGCAGCATGCGAAAGCCATCATCGATAAAGGTGGCGAGCAGCATGACACGTGCGACGGGCTTGAGGGTCTCGCCATACTGGCAGCCATGAATTTTGCAAAGAGCGTATTACGAAAAAAAAAGGTCAAAAGGCGAACGGGCTTTCATGGGCAGCATTGCTCGCCGTGCACGTGGAAAGCGAGGGGCGGGACGGCAAAGGCCGCTACTTTTGGAGGCGCGAGACGAGTCAACGAGTGAATTCAAAAGCTTGTTCCGATCGCGCTTGACCGCATGGCGCCTCTCCATAAATGCACGTCCACGAAACCCCACCTTCCCACACACTGATAGACAGATGCAGAAGGAGCAGAAGCAGAGAGAGAGAGACNGAGAGCGCGCGCGCGCGCGCTCCCACTGCCACTGCCATTTCTCGTACCTTCAACCGCGAGAAATCGCAAAACGAGAGAGAGAGAGAGAGAGAGAGAGAGAGAGAGAGAGAGAGAGAGAGAGAGAGAGAGAGAGAGAGAGAGAGAGAGAGAGAGAGAGAGAGAGAGAGAGAGAGATGTGCAACGTCAACGTTGAACGAAAGCACAGCACGTGAAACGAGTGACCATATCAAGTTAGTCACTCAAAGGTCGAAATCAGTGAGAGTGACTTCATTGTCAGCCGTTTTGTGCAGCTTGCCCTCTTGTTGATAGAGAGTTGAGTGGGAGTGAGGCACGGAGCTCGGCCATTCGCTTGCTTTTTGCTGATGTTTCAGAGGTTGGTATCAATGTCAGCCCCACAGCGTGTGTGCATGCGTCACGCGCAATGGCAGCGCCGCCGGCGGCGGCGGCGGGAGAGACAGACGGAGAGGCACGGGCAGGGGGGGGGGTGCGATCAGAGGAGAGAATCAGCGGAGGGGGGGGGGGTAGAGGGAGAGAAGGAGAGAGGGTTCGAGCGCCATATGTGGAGAAAATGGACTGAAAATGGCAATGCGTTCGCGTTGTTTGTCGCCTTGAGGGCTCACGGACGGGCGACATGTGCGTGCATAGGTCTTGGCAAAGTGTGCGGATAGCCACATGTTCTTGAGCTCGGCCCTGCTTATCCGCCCTGCATCCCGCACCTGGTGTCGGCTGTCCTTGCAATTGGCGGCAGTGCAGCGCCACCGTACGGCTGGCTACCGCGACACTCGACTGAGCCTTCCTTCCTGTTGGCCTCACGGCATCACCACCCGGACCATGGCTCTTTTTGGCATGCAAGCCCTGCAGGATCGCCTGAGTGAGGTGGGTACGCACCTGCATACTTTAGCCATTGAAATGACTTGCCTCTCTCGACCTGACCCCGCACTGGGCACTCGCGTCCTCACTTTTAGCTGTTCAACGGCGGCCAAGATGGCGAGGCCGACGCGAGCCCTTCGCTCCTGTCCGACATTACGATTCATGCAGCCATTGAATACATCAATAAACATCAATGTATGGTGTGAAGCTCGCCTGCCTTGTGATCGAAGCAACATGGCTCAGCCCAGTACCAGACCCACCGTGCTTATGCTACCCTTACGCGATGCAACCCTCACTCACCGTCTACCGTTTCCCTGACACCACACACAGGCAAAAACGTTGTCACTATGGCCGGCGCCGGCATCTCGACTTCAGCCGGCATTCCCGATTTTCGGTCTCCAGGCACAGGCCTCTACGACAACCTGCAAAAATACGATCTGCCATATCCAGAGGCCATCTTTACTTTGGATTACCTGCGCTCCAAGCCCGAGGCCTTTTTCACCTTGGCCAAAGAGCTCTATCCTGGCAACTTTGACCCGACCCCCTGCCACTACTTTATCAAGCTGCTGCAGGACAAAGGCGTCCTCTTACGGCACTACACCCAGGTTGGGACCATGTCCTTGCGATGATGTTGGGCCTCCCTTATCTTCTCAATGACCATGTCCATCCTTGCGCGACCGCGTCGGGATCCCCTCGCCACGTAGAACATTGATACCTTGGAACGGGCTGCGGGCGTCCGTGATGACTTGCTCGTGGAAGCGCATGGCTCTTTTGCCCAGGTACGTACACTTGAAACTTGCTGCGCCGCACATGGAGCTCATTTCGCACATGGAGCTCATGACGCACCTGCTTTATCGCCTTCTTTTTGGGTACGGGATCTTCGTCCCGGGCATTTAGGCGGCGTGCATCGACTGCAGTCACCGTCATGACACAGAATGGGTCAAATCACAAATTGACAAGGATGCCGTGCCACGCTGTGAAAGCTGTGGGGGCATTGTCAAGCCCTCCATCGTTTTTTTTGGCGAGGTGTGCATGGCCTCTTCCTGATACGCTCTCCAATTTGCTAGTCCTGCAAATATCTCATTGCCGCTTGACTCGGTGTCCTGTGCAGGATCTACCTCGCCGATTTGGTCAGCTTGTGAGCGAGGATTTCGAAAAGTGCGATCTTTTGATCGTGCTCGGTACTTCGCTCACTGTTCATCCCTTTGCCGGCTTGGCGACCATGCCCAAGCCCGAGGTACCACGACTCCTCATCAATCGCGACAGTGTTGGCGAGCGTGACATCCTCAATCCCGATGGCTTTGACTTTATTCGGTGCGTTTGGTATTTCCATCCAATCGTTCTCACCAGACCTGCAGCACTTGGTCAGCGTCTCACCTCATCTGTCACGGCTGCGTTGCCAACAGAACGAATCGAGATGCGCGTTATTTGGGATCTTGCGATGACGGGGTGTGGCATTTGGCTCGCGGCCTAGGGTGGGCCAGTGACTTTGAGGCCCTGCTGCCCGAAAAATGGCGCGAACGGGCACCGCTGCCTCTGGACCCGACCGATCGCTCCTCAGCCGAGGCCAAGGGTGGCGATGACCGCAGCACAGACACCGAATACGAAAGCGAGGCCGAGGCAGGCGTGAGCAGCAACGGTGGGAGTGACACCGAGGACGACACCGACGCAGCACGGCATCGCCAAGACGTGATCAATGCCGTGGCCCATGTTGAGGCCACAGTCATGGCGTCTGAGCATGAAGCCCAGCCTGCCAAGGACTAGGCTTGATTTGCGAGGACGGCATCTTACATGTTTAAAAACGCCATCAAGGCTTGCACATGGCAAGATTCACTTGCCGATGGGACATATCAATTCTCGTGTGTTAGGTGTTAGGCGGTGTGAGAATTAACACCATGCGAAATTCCATCGATCTCAAGGGTTCAAATCAGTGTTTGGCAAATCGTTCAGTGTCAATTGCTTGCGCCGGCGTCATCTCACATTCCTGTACGCGGCGAGCACAAAGCGGGGTAGAAAAGGCAGAGAAGCACGGAGAGAAGCTGCGAAGAGAGCAACGACGAAGGCATCGAGGAGAGCGCAAAGCAAAGAAAAAAAATATACACAGTAGCAACAGCGGCCGCAGGTGCAACTATCTTGTGAGCGATTAAATGCATAAGCCTCCTTCACGTCTGGGCAAGGCAAGAAATGGCAGTTCAAAAAACCAAACAAAACACAACAACGGCCGTACATAAAGGTGTGCAAACCACAACAAGAGGGCACGGGAACACGAGACCGGGGGATGGATTGGTAAGACCAAAGACAACTAGATGCCAGGCACAACCATGGTGCTGGCCACGTCTGAGCTGCCCACCACCTAAGTCAAAAACGAATCAGGTATTGTCAGCCTCGAACACGGCACTCTCTGGCAAGGTTGCATGGGGTAAGCGTGGCAGACGTACGGCGCAAAACTCATCAAAGGACACCTTGCCATCACCGTCCTTATCGGCGTAGATGATAGTCTTGTCGACAATCTGCGCCCAGAACAAGTGTCGTGCACTGAGAATTCCACAGAAAGGTGCACAACACGTGTCGACACTCGAGCCTACCTGTTGAAGCTGATCATCCTTGAGGTTGGTGCCCACCATCAGCTTCAGGACGTAGAAGAGCTCGCCATTGGAGATGAAACCATCTTTGTCGACGTCATAAATCTTGAAAGCAACTGTCATGGTGGCACAAGCCGGATCAGGTGGCTGTCGAAGCAAACCAGGGCTCTAAAGCGTGATGGGTTGGTTGGGCATAAAAGACGCCAGGCAAAGCTTACACTGCAGCTTCTGATCCCGATCTCCGTCCGTGGTGAAGAGAGAGATGCCCTTGATAAACTCTGCGATACGCACGACGGGTGATGGACAGACGGCCGTGAGCAAATTTCGGTCAAGGCGAGAGGAGCAGCAGGGCACTTGTGTTGGACATGATGCTTTTAGCACCTTCAAAGTCAATCTCGCCATCGCCATTGTCATCAAATATCGCAATGACACGCTCGACCAGCGGGTTTTGCTGAAGGGCGGTCACTTCCATGAACTCTGCCACGGAGAGCGTGCCGTTGCCATCCCTAACAGTACGTGGCGAGTGTCAGAATCATCTCGAGGTCACCACATTATGAAACCAAGGGCAGGGAGATACGCGCACGGACTTGTCGAGTTTTTTGAAGCGCTTGCCAAGACGCTTGAGTTCATCCTCCGAGACTGGAATAGGTTGGCCCAGAAGGGACGCGAGTCATGAGCGAGGCTTCGGGGCAAGGAAACGAGCAAAGGAGCTGAAGACGGTGGCGTGACAAGACGAACAATTGGTCATGGACTCGAGGTCGTGCAAGTTGGGAACAGAGTTGCTGGCACCCTAAGAAACGTGACAGGCAAGGTACGACGGTCAGCTGTCCAAGCGTATCATCGAGGCGAGTCAAGAGCCAAGGGTGATTGTGCCTGTGCGTGAGTAGGCGGCCAGCTGAATTTGTTCTTTCGTATCGGTTGCTCAACCAGAGAGTTGCATGGGGCAGCGCAGGCGAGTTTCAAAGGGACAAATGCGCCAGTGCACAAAAAGCAAGGCGGTCTGTTGGATTAACGTATCCATCAGACCATCGCCCGATCCTCTTGCAACACGGCGCAGTGGGAGGCTTCTGGCCCACGAGTCAATCAGGCCTCACCACCCCGATTCGACCAATGACGGCGTGTCGTTGGCAACAAGGCAAAGCAACCCCACGATCATCACAACTGTGACCCCCAGCTGACTGACGAACATCCAATGACCAGGACCCAGGCCTGAGCAGCCGTGCCAGATGCTCAGCATATCAAACTCACCATCGCGTTGGTTCTCAGTACGTCGACTGCAACGGTGTTCACACGCGTGCGCTGCCGTTTCTCGACGACGCTCACACAAAACAAAAAAAGAGAGAGAGAGAGAGAGAGAGAGAGAGAGAGAGACACAGAGAGAGAGAGACAGATAGAGAGAGAGAGAGAGAGAGAGAGAGAGAGAGAGAGAGAGAGAAAGAGAGAGAGAGAGAGAGAGCGAGCGAAAAATATAATTATTTTGAAAAGTCTGATTGTAATCACACTTTCACCTGTGAGAGAGAGTGTGTGTGGTTGAGTCGAGTTAACACGATCCCTCTCTCTCTGCGCGAAGATGTGGTTGGTTCTGGTTTAGATCGGTCTCTTAGGGCTTTTCGGTGCTCTGTCTCAGAGTGTATGACAGGCCAGTTTTTCGCTGAGACAAGCTTGAAATAGTGGTGGCTGGTTGTGCGGCTTGCTTACGGTGGCAAGAAAAGCACGAACCAAGACGGATATGAGAAAAAGAAGGGCCAAACACAAATACGGTCGGACACAGGGCACCACGGGGAAAAAAAAAAAATTCAACACAACTACTTGTCCACCCAGTCTGTAATCACGTCGACGAGATGAGCAGCTTCGGGGCGCTCTTCAGGGTCAACCCGAATGCACATGGTGGCCAATTCTTTGAGATGACTGTCGGGTACCAAATGCCAAGCGACCTGAGCGCCTTGAAGCTGCACGTAGTTGACCTGTGACCTAGGTGTCCCTTGGCCGAATGGAGCTCGCGCTTCATTGGCACAGGCGTAGGCCGCACACCCAAGCGCCCAAATGTCCATCTTATGGTTGTAGTTTTGATGCTGGAAAAACTCGGGTGGCCAGTAGGGCTGTGTGACCCATGAGCACAAAAAACAAAAAATAAAAAAGAAAAAAACAAAAGAAACGCCCCGCACATGAGATGAAACAACATGCACCCTCGGTATCAGCTCACGGTGAGAGTGCACGCCTACCTTGGAGCTGATGTTAAACGTCATGTTTTCTGCACAAACTCGCGCCAAGCCTGTACACGCCCATTAATTTCGTCATATTGAGAAAAGCACCAAGCGCAGAAACTAGCAGACGCCAAGATCTCAAGCTTGTCAAGCATGGCCTCCCTCCCATTCAGCAAGCGGCGCTTTGATAAGACAAGGGCGAGCAAGCACGGCGCAGCCCCCGAGACGCACCAAAGTCACCTAGGACCGCGCTGTCCCCAGATTCGTAGTCTGGTAAAAAGATGTTCTGTGACCCATCAAGAGGCAAGCGAGCAGCGCTAAGCATGGGGGCAAAGGACCAGAGTGCGAGATCCCACGACCATCGCAAACAAAACATGCATCCACAGACCTCAATCTTGACATCACGGTGCACAAAGTTGCGGGCATGCATGTAGGCAAGGGCCTTGCAGGCAGCTCGAAGGGCACGGAGCATGAAACCATGGTCGACCTTCTTCTTGTACGTGTCAATATACTATACAACGTCATTCATGAAATAGCACCACGAAAACAGCTTCAACCTGCCGACCCTTCTCCTTGCCCACAGGGCACAGAAAACAGGCAGGCAAGAATACCTCGTATAGATCGCGCCCCGGGTAGAGGCGCATAACAATCACAAGATCATCGCCAGGGCCCGAGTGAAAGGCGTCAAAGATCTGAGTTCCATATCACACGTGTACGAGCAGAGGATTGGGCCGTTAGCTCATGGCAGCATAACCAGACGTTGGTGCTCGGTTGTGGTACGAGGCTTGCTCGGCGCGCTGGGCTGACCTGAGACACGTGAGGACAGTCGCGGAGTTGCCGCATCATGTCGAGTTCTCGTTGGATGGCTTCCTCAGCCTTGTCGCCCGCAGACAGGTTGGATATAACAGTGTGCCAGGGTGCCCACTTGACGGCCAGCACGACGCTTGGATCGTCTCGAAGGTGAGCCCTGTCATGAAGCGATACATGGGTGTAGTGAATTCGAGGCTGTTCACGTCGCCGATGTACATGCGCGAGGCGCAGCTGTGCCAAACTCACTCATAGACCCGGCCATAGGAGCCCTCCAGCAGCAAGCCCCCCACATCATACTTCTCGTCGCAGTCCTCCGTAGCTGCACAAAACAACAAGTGTACGCGCATGAGAGTTCATCAGTCCGCCAGCTCAAATCTCCTTCCTGCATGTTGGCCCACGCCGCAAACTCACCATCGCTGGCCGATGCCACGAACCGTTCCATTGCGATGCGAATTGTACCCCACCCTCACTCCTTATCTATTTCTACTGTTAATGCACCCCTTTGCAACACCACCCGAGCAGCCCCAATGGTGGCGGGCGGGGAAAGGAAGATCTGCCGCTGCCACCGCCGTCGCGTCTGCTTTTAATGAAGACTATATACGCGAACACAGTGACAATAAAATAAACAAGCACGGGAGTCGAAAGCAGTGAATGTTTTAAATTCTTTTTGAAAGGGAAGCAGTCATGAGCCCTTCTCTGTCAGATTGCTCTGTCATTGCCCTCTCTCTGCAGATAAGATCATGTCAAAAGCGTGTCTCTGGTTTAATTGAGCTTATGCCTTCAATTGTGCGATAGAGTTTCGTTCAATCGTTCATCTCTCTGCATTTATCTGCTTCTTGAGCCATTGTCTCTGGTCTACAAGTCAGCCTCGCCGAGGGTCTCTGCAGTGGCCCTCTGGGGCTGCTGAAATTTTTTTTTTTTTTTTTTTTTGGCGGGAGCAGCCGGACCACGACGAGAGGGTGAGTGCAGCAGGTGGCGGCAGGATTTGGGCTAGCAGGCTGCATGAATGGGGTTTGAAGTTGACGTGACACAGGGCAAGAGACTCGGTAGCGCAGGTGGGAAGGGTAACACGGATCTTCATCGTGGCTGACTGGATCATGTTTGGCGCGCGCTCGCGCGCTCGCGCGCTCACACACACGCAGAGGCGCGCACCCGTATAGGGGTGAGCGAGCCACGGACTTGTCGCTCGGGAAACAATTAAAATGGCATCCCGTACGGCAGCTGACTGGTCAAAGGAGGAGGTATGCATCATCTCCTGCCAGCTCGGCTCGTGTAGGGGTGCAGGATCATGTCAAGCGCTGTTTGACTCAACGCCGGTTGGGGAAAATTCCGCCTTGCCTCGCTTGACGCTGGTTTTAGGTGGCCCTCTGGCTGTGCCAGCTTCGCCTTGATGACCACACAGCCGCTTTTCGTGCTCGAAACGTGGACGGGTCCCAGCTGCTTGATCTCAAAGAGCACGAGCTGGTGCAATTGGTGGGTGGGCCCCTTCATCCGCATCCCCCCCCCCACCCTACTGCCTCGGGGGGTTTTTAACGCCGCTTGACCCAGGATGCTATTTTCTCAATCACCTGACCCGACCATTTGCTTAGCGACCAGCCCAGCCAAAGCAACGGGCAGTCATGAGCCCGAAGATCAGAAAGACCGCGTTGAGGAACTACAGGTGCGTGTGAAGCTTCACTCAGAGAGCGACAGCGTGCACACAAACACGTTAGCCCACCGACTCGCCTTGCCCCGGCTCTCGGCCCTCATTGCCTGCCTGCGCCCGTGGCCATGTCTTGCTAGGGCATCTTTCCCAACCTGCCCGTGGAAAGCATCGAGCATTGCCTTGACGTTGCAAACGACTCGGAGAGCGTAATCAACATGCTGATCGCCATGCAGTTTGACCTTACGCGTGTGGAACAGCGTGGTAGCGCTTCGGGGTCCGCCCTCGCGAGCAGCACCGAGGAAGCCCACGCCCAGCGAAAAGCTTCAAGTGCGCTGGTTTTGCCACGAAACACCCTGCCCATGTGGTCAAGCAAGCTCATGCTCTTTCGTCTCGCGATCACAACTCCATGTCTTGCCCACCTCTGTAGGCCCCGGCAAATTGGTGGAGGGTGCCTCAACCACAGAGAGCGTGGTAGATGATGACGAAGATGACGACCACTGGCACAGCACGGTGTGTGCCTTTCGTTCTGGGCAGGCATTGGGTGCAACACTTTATGGCACAACCGCTTCAGTTGACTTAACACCATGTCGTTTGCTTCATGTGGCTGGAATACAGCCGCACTTGAGCCAAGGACCATCCCGTTCAGCCTCCATCATCAAGCATGTAGCCAGTGCCTACAGTGTCGAAACAGACAAGGTGGGTTATCACGCTTCCATGCTTGCCACGATGAGCACCTTGCATCCAGCTCACAGTAGCGACTCGATAGCTCGCGGCCCTGGAAGACCTCTTCCCAGAGGTCGACGTGGACCTGATCGGCTATGCCCTTCACCTGGCCCACGGTCAGTAGAAGACCAAGGCTTGACTTGTTGTCCTCGTGCCTGTGTTGCCAAATGCGCGTGGTCACACGAGCCTTGCCACCACGACGCAACCTCCCGTTGGTTTCCCACACAGGTGACGTGGACGACGCCTACGAGCAGCTGAGCACACTCACCAATCCAGTTGATATGATTCGTGCGCGCTCTGAAACGTTGCGCCGTCCCACCTTGTACGCTTCAGCAATCCCTGCTACTTTGATCATGCACCCAAGCTGACACACTATGGGGCCCTTCATGCTCATTTTCACCCCATTCCATCAACGATCGCCTTGCGGATGGTAGGATGCTGTCTGATGGCGATACCTTGAATAAGGCGCTCCGCCGACAGTCTCTGGGCACGACAGAGCAGACTTACATGACCGTTACCCGGTCTGGGTTTGATGACGGCGATCTTTACGAGGCCTCGACCCCGCGCCTCAGCAAGCCCCGCCAGTACGCGTGTGCACCGGCCAACACCAAATGCACCCTCGTCGTCTTGCGCACCACACACTCACTTGAATGCTCACTGGCCTTGGTCTTGTTTCAGCACGCTGGCCGGCTCGTTTCGCTCCGAATCGGCCGCAGAGGAGAGCGAGGCAGACGACAACGAATGGGCTTTGCTCGCAGAAGGTCGCCTGGTATGGCTGACCAAGCTTGCATCGCGTGGAACTGTAGGCGATAGGTTTGTTGACCCCTCCAACTGTTGTTTGCACCTATAGGCGCTGACCATGCAAGACATGCCTGACATGGCGTCAGATACTGACGATGATGAGCGTGGCGCTCCCACACCTGATGAGGAGGGCTGGCGCAACATACGTGCTTCAACGTTGCGGCGTGTGTCAAGCGCCTTTCCCGATATGGACTTTGACTCTATCAAGGTCGTATTGGACGAGCACGAGGACGAGCCAAACGAGTTCCAGACAGGACTCATGCGAGCGCTCGAGTTTGATGCCGACTATGCAACGCGAAACTCAGGCCCCGCTTCGCTGCTTGCTACCCCCGAGGTCCCCCGCGAGAGCCGGAGGGCGTCGTCTTCAGGCTCGCTCAGTCTACGCCGAGCGTCCACCCTACTTGGGGTGCAGAACGTGCGTCTTTTCGTGCCTTGCACACAGTGATCCTTGTGAAGCACGGCCGGCGGGGTGCTCGCTCACTTCATGCCCCGTTTTCAACGTTAGGATATCTTTATCAACGATAAGCGTTGGATCAATCGCCCCGATGTCCGCGCCAGCGGCTTTGTTGAAAAGCTGAGCAAGACAGAGATCAAACGTCAAGAAGTGCGTTGGTGTCGCCACAAGAGCATTTTTGTTCAAGATTCCCGTAACTTTTGGGCCACATGGGTACTTTTATGCCATCTGATGCCGGAATGTTTGATTTTGGCTGCAACTATGCTATGTGTAGGCCATGCAAGAAGTGATGACGTCCGAAGAGGCCTATCTCGAAGATGTCAAAGCTCTGCTTGACCTGTTTGTACGCCCCTTACATGACTACATTGGTACCTCAAAGGTCGCGCCAGAGCCGGTTGGCCGTTTGAAAACATTTGTCCGAACGGGCAGTACGCGCGCACGCAAGCAGTCAGACAGCAAGCATTCGATCGTTGGCGCGATTCCGCCTCGTACCTTGCATTCCATGACCAACTCGGTGACCGCCCTTGTCGAACAGGCCACCAAGTTCCAACATGTCAGTCTTCACGCCCTCAACCGCTATTGAATTGTCGGCACCATTCAACTCTGGAAAGACCCCCCTTCCCAAAAAAAAGACGAAGAATGAGCAAACAAGAGCAAGAGTCATTTGGGCGCACAAAGCCTCACCCTTTTATTCCTATATGCGTGGTCCTCCTGCTGGCTTGGTGTGCTTGGCAACTCTCAACTTCGTAGGCATTGCAGAAGCGCCTGTCTGAAATCCCAACGCCTTCGATCGCGGACATTTTCGTAAAAGTCAGCACTCGGTTCAAACGGGTGTTTGCCAACTACTGCACGACCTGCTTCCGCCTTCAGGTCTGGTAATTTGCTTTGCGAACGGTATCAACGTGTCGCCCTGTCCGACCACGAGCATTTGACTGTTTTCCTGGCTATATTGTGGGGAATGGTGATTGCAGCGTTTGCTCGAAACGCACGGAGACGCCCTCAAGGGTCTGCTCAACAAGGCCAGTGCGGCACCACAGGCGCGAAACCTGCCCATTGGTGCTTTTGTGCTGGCACCCATTCAACGACTAGCACGGTATGGGCACTCCCGTTTGGCATGCGGTGTTTTGACTCACCGAATGCTTCATCCCCTTTTGATCACTCTCATGGGCTTTGTTTTGCATGCTCAGATATCCCTTGCTGATCAAGGCGGTCCGTGACCGCACGGACACGGGCAACCCTGATTATGACGTGTTAGACCAGGTGGGAGTGTGGGATTGGCTTTTTGTTTGGGCAGCGCTTGCGGCTTTGATGTTGAAAGAGCTGCTCAACTTGTGCGTACTGGCTCCTCACGGGGGGATGGGGGCACTGCATAGGCTTACGAGCAATTGACCGCTTGCGTCAAACACTGCAATAACCGACTCGAGGTTTTGGATCAGTATCACGAGCTGAGCAAGTTGGAGCGTGTGCTTGATTACGGTCGTTTGGAAACCTTCATCCGGCTGCCAGCTGGGTAAGTCTGTGACGTGAACTTGAAGGCCTTGATGCATGTCTGTTTTTGGAAAAGCGCGCAGCGTGTACAGATGAATGCATCGGTCACGTGCTCATGACTTGCATTCATGATAGACATCGATGCTTGCAAAAGCGTGGGCCAGTCAATCTAGTCCTGGTAAATGACAAGGGCAAATACATCAAGTCCAAGAAACTGGAGCTTTTCCTCTTCAATGACCTGCTGATGTATGCCAAACCAGTGAAGCATAAAAGGTCGCCGGGACAAGTCTACTATACCGTGTATAAACAGGTCAGGCCTACTCTCTGAGACGTCACTATCTGAGACGACAAACCACGGACCCATGTTGGTTGTCTGATCCTCGGCTTCCATGGTCTTGGCGTTTTCTAACGTTTGCGCGATTTGCCTGGTTGGATTTGCTGCCCACACACACACGTAATCACATGAAATCACACATGCAAACACACACACACGCACGCACCCACACATGCACATGTTGTACACAGGTGAATCGCTCCTTGGTAGAGGCGGGTCCCGCGACTGCTTCTTTGGCATTTGCAGAGATTGCAGCGACGGTGGCCAAGGAGGAGCACGATCAACTTATGGAGATCTTGATATTTGGTCCCCAAGTCGTGCGACTCTGGGTCAAGTGTCCGAGCGTCACGGATTGGTCAGTGGACATGCGTCTGGGTTGACTTGAAGAAAGTTGAGCAGCAGGAGTGGCTAGACTGACCGTTGGCCTTTTGCGCGATTTGCAGCATGCGCTGGTTGGATCTTTTCGCCATCCACCAATCAGAAGATGCCGGCGACAACACCTATGCTTCCTGGGATTGTCCCATGGCGCGTGTTGTCCACTCGTACTCGGCGCGACATCGCGACGAGCTTTCCTTGCGCAAGGGTGATGTCGTATCCATTCTGTGTCGGGACAACGGTGATGGCTGGTGCAAGGGCATGCCCAAGGACAGTTCATCCAATACGCCCTACGCCAGTTCTGGCTGGTGAGCCATGCGCTTCGGATGAAAGAAAACGTGTTTCTGGTCTTGTGTGTGTGTGTGTGTGTGTGTGTGTGTGTGTGTGTGTGTGTGTGTGTGTGTGTGTGTGTGTGTGTGTGTGTGTGTGTGTGTGTGTGTGTGTGTGTGTGTGTGTGTGCGCGCGTGTGCGCGCGCGTGCGTGTGTCATTAATTCTCTCTTTCCCCTTGATTACGCCTCACCGTGGGTTTGGTTGCTTGCATTCACCTTGGCGACAGGTTTCCGGCCTCGTGTGTGACCGAGATTGACAGCGTCCACGAGCAAGCAAAAAAGTACAAGGCTGAATATCACCACATGAACAGTCCTGTGACCAACAGTTACAAGTAAACGATCCATGGTGTGGCATTCAGGCTACTGATTCGACCGACTACATCACATCCTTCATCTGAATGTCCTGTGGAGCACGGGGCATTGTGCCAGCGCAAATGGGGTCCTGACTGCAGAGTCGCATCTCAAACCAGCTTGCCTTCTACTTTTTGTTCTGGCTTACATTGACATTAACTTTTAATCGATGAACGTGCGCTGAACATCATGTGAAGGAAGAAGTGGAGCGAAGTAGGTAGCGGAGCAACGCGTCTGACAGAGGCAAGATGTGTGCATTGGCTTTTGAGATAAGATGAATTTGTTGCCTCCGCTGAGCACATGATTCAAGGCAAGGCAGAGAGATATTCAATGAGCTATTTGGCTACGACTGGCGCACGAGGCCGCCAGTCTCATCGCGCCAGATCCATTCATACCAGAAGAACATGATTACATCAAAACAGAAGTTAATTTTATCTTTTTCCTCCAGCTCCATATCACGATGGACTAAGCCATTCAGGCGTTCAAACATGACGCGGGCAATGCCTTCAAGTATTCCAAAGCAGAACACGATTATGGCCACTGCGCGGCAAGCCCCGGATTGAGTATCAAGGTATGGCAGGATGACTGTCTGGGCGGCGAAGGGGACGGCGGTGGAAATAGAGCAAGGGCTCGAGCCAACGTACCTGGAAAGAAAAGGATCATCTTCAATAGCTTAATTGGGCTGAGCGGCTCGCCGTAGCGCTGTCATATAGAGCAGTGCAACACAGGTTCACGGGGGGCGGCGGGTATGCACCATCACGTTGTGATTTGAGTGGGATGCATCCAAGGGAGGGCGATCGAGGCTCGCGGCAAACAAAAAAGCCTGACCGTTTTGGCTCGGTGCTGTGCGGGGTTCCGGCGACGTGCATCGTTGGGCTGCGGGTGATCGCCCGGCAGAGAGCTGAGGTCGGCTTCGCCCGACACGTTGAGTCTTAGGACTGCGGCTGTCGACAGGCAGCGCGGCGGCAGATGGTGAATGTATGCAGGGTTAGAGTGCAAAAGAAGCGCTTGATCTTCAGACGGGCCTCAGCGTGATGCAGTTGGTTGGGCCGGAGGCATGTGAAGTCGTGCGTGCCACACCTTTGGATTCTTCGCTGAGCACCAGCAAGGCTTCTTCGGTGGTGCTGTAGCCCAAGCTGCGACCATTGACCTGGGAGATGACATCGCCCACCTAAGCGGAGGGGGAAACACGAACATATCATTGTCTGCATCAATCCACACAGCGTGTTGCACATTGCATTGTAATCGGACAGCCACCAGGGGCTGAGCACGGTCACGGAGCAGACGGGTTGAAGGAGAGAAAGCAAGCGGACCTGAAGGATGGCGCTGCGATCAGCGGCTGAGCGGGGCCGAATATCGATAATGACGACACCAGCGGCATCGGGCAGGCAAGCAATGGCAATGCCCAGCTCCTCCTCGGGCTTTTTCTGCACTTCCACAACGACGGGCGGACGTCGCTGCCATGTTATCTTCACAGCCGTCGTCGTGCCTTCTGAAGAGGCAGGCAGCTTGACGCGCTGAGAGCGTAGTGCCATCGTGACCAACTCGCCTCCGAAAACAAAGTCAGCCCTCCTCCCCTCCTAATCAACACGTCACCAACAGTCCTCTCGCCGCCCAGCCTCGCCCCTCATGTCAATCACCAACTACTCTGCCCCGCCCCGCCCCCCTCAACGAGCACAATGGAGTTTGAGAGAGAGAGAGAGAGAGAGAGAGACAGAGAGAGTTTGAGAGAGAGTTTGAGAGAGAGTGAATTGAAAAAGTTTTAGAGTTTGAGAGAGAGTTTGAGAGTCTGAGAGAGGGAAAGAGTTTTAGAGAGAGGAGAGAGTTTGAGAGAGAGTTTGAGAGAGAGTAGAGAGTTTGAGAGAGAGAGGGCTCTTTGCGGATCGATCGGCGGCGGCGGCGACGGCGCTTTTGGGGGAGGGTGAGCTTGTTGTTGTTGGGGGCGTTGGCGGCGTGCAGGCACAGCCATCATGGCGATGGTGGATGACTTTGCTTCGGTGCTGCGCACTGTTGTTGGCGCTTTTAAGGTTCGTTTGTCGAGCTGGTGCATGGTGTTGTCTCCGCCGACGGCAAGTCCTCACATGGGGCTGCGCTTGGTGTGACAGGCAAGCGATGACACTGGCAACTGCCGCGCCATTCTCCGGACATATGTGCCTGGCGACAGGTGTGCCGCCTTCTGCCCTGGCTGGGCATGCATGCTTGGTTCCCCCCCCCCCCCCCCCCGCCCCACGTTGGGCTCACCCGTCCAACAACTCCTCCCTTCGCCATGCGCACGCAGCTCACACTACGATGATGAGAGCGATCGTTTCAGCGTCGACTCGCAAGATATTGAGCACGAACCCCCAAAGACTTTTGCCATCGGATCGGCAGCCCGCCCATATGCTTATAAACCTTCCAGGCAAGCCGGCTCATGGGCCTTCCCGACCAAATGCTCGCTGTCCAGTTCACGCAATGCTACAAGAATATGAATGCCCGCGCAACTCACGCTCCTATCGCGAATCCTGGTGCCCAACAGCCGTGCGCCTACGCCCGCATCGGCGCAACAAAGCGGTGGTCGCCGATCGCGGCGTAGCTCTGTTCATCTGGATCGCCCACCCCAACCTTCATCCGCTCACATCTCTGATCGCTTCAAGACCTGGGAGGAGCAGCAAGCTACCCATCGAAAAGCGTCCCTCTCGCCCTCTAGCTCTTTCCTGGGCCGCAGTCGTGAAGTCGATGAGGCAGCGCCACGATCCAAGAGCCTTTCTCAACGACCCTCCACGGCTCCAGCCCGGCAGCCCGGCTTTGATGACGGCTTCAACTCCCCCTTTGATGCCTACAACCCTCGGGTCTGTGCATGCAACCGATTCCCTTCCCCATGTCTCAAACGCAATGGCCACTGATTGCGTTTGCCCCATGCTGCAGCCGGTGCTCCCGGCCACCGCCTCCAAGTTGTCAGCCGTCCTCCAACATCATAAGAAGAGCAACAACCCCTATGCGCAAGGTTGAACTCTTTTTGCCTTCTCAGTCGCTGAAACATGTCATCCTGTGATGGTCCTCATCTCAACTTTCCATTCAACAGAGTTTGCGCAGTTTCGTGGCGTTTCGCCAGATCCGCGCCACACCAAGACCTTCAAAGTCTGGTTCCCCTTTTGCAGTACGTGCGCCTTGCCCAAAGCCCGTCATGTGCCCTACGCAGCTCGTCCTCTGCTTGCATCCACCTGACGCATACCACCATTGCCAAATGATTTTTGTGCAGCATCAACCGAATTACCCATTGACATCAAGGTTACTGCCAAGAGCCAAGTCCGCGACGTCATTGGCTATGCCCTCTACATGTATCGGGAAGAAGCTGGTCGCCAGCCCGCTCTTACGGTCGGTCTGTCTGTTTTCCTCACGCAGCCCACATGCTGTCACCCCCGATGGGTTCCTTTACATGTTTGGAAAAGGAGTGGTTTGAGGGAAGGGGCGGGGCAGGAACGCCAAACACGAAAAGTTTTACGAGCCACGTTGGCTCAAAGAGGCATGTCTCTAATGCCTATGCTGCTCTGTCTCATGATGGATGTTTTTGTTTGCAGGAGCCGCCGGAAGCTTTTGAGCTCCGCGTAGGCGAAGACGATGGATCTCCAGACATGGATTTGCCAGGTGTGTCTGTGCAACCAGCTGCGGGTGCTGTAGTCCACACGGGGCGCAACACGGAAACAAGTTGCAAGCCTTTCTCATCCCCTTGTCACTCACGTCCTTGGCTTCGCACACCAGCCTTTGCAATGCGTGATACCGTCAACAAGTTTGGTTTTGATCACGTGTGCCTTTGTCGCCTCAAGTCATACGAGGCCGACGCCCAAGAGTCAAAGGTCTTCCTCCGTGTCTCATCCGATACAGGCGATACCATCCTTGAGCGCGAGTCAGACACCATGACTGTGGCCGACATTTTACAGCGGACTCTCAAGCGTCGTGCCCTTCGCTATGGCGAATACGTGCTTGAGCTCAAGGGTACGAACTAGCCCCAAGGTTTCTCTCTCTTCATCTCTCCCACCTCAGCCCGCTTGCCGCACATGTCGCCAACGATGCCGCTCACTATTGCCTTCTCTTGATAGCCAACCCAGGTCACTACCTGGACCCAAACAAAACGCTTATTCAGCTTGAGGAGACATGCGACGCCGCCGAGTTTGTTCTAATCAACATCCACAGTGCGTGCACGTGCCTGTGCCGGTGAACTTTGTGTCAGATTGCCGTTCAGATCGAAACAACTACCCAAAAGAACACTCACACACGCACACGCGCACATCCTTTTGACTTGCTTTAGGCAAGCGGCGCAACACAGTCACGGCCAACAACGCGACTCGAACGGATATGGCCGACAAGCTGCAAAAGAGTCTCACACTCAATCAACGCCGCACCTTCTTGCTACAACGCCAACACAAGCTGAAAACCTCTTCTGTGGAAATGACTTTGGACATGGTATCCCTTTTTTCACATCCCACTCTCCCCTTCCCCCTTGGTCTCTTCTTCGCAACGCGTTTCCTGTCACATCTCATTTTAGTGTACGGCATGGCACGGCTGTAGGATAACATGACGCTGACTTCATCAGCTGCCCGCAACCTGCTGAGCAAGTCCAAAAAAGTGCGCCTGCGCCAGCTCTCGTTGCCAACCTCAGACTATCACATTGCCAATCATCAACCATATGTGCTTGCGCATGGCCGTGGATCATCTGGCGTCCGCGGGTAAAGTCACACTTGTTCCACTCATCCCGACTCTCCTGTTGCGGCAGATTGTCGTTCCCACACAGCACATAATGTTTGGCGAAATTGGGCGGCGGGAGAACCAAATTCGAGTGGTATACTACGCTAGTACGCCGCGCGAATTCAAGGTGCTGGATTTCTGTCTACTCCGTCCCGCGCCTCCGCCATGAATTGTACCTGCTTGATCCTTTTTGGAAATGTGTTGCCGAACCGGTCACCTTGTTGGTTTTGGTTGTAGGATCATGTTTTCGAGGCCAGCGATGCCGAGACGGCTCGTCTTCTTCGCGATGTTCTTCAAGCCATTGTGTCTGAGAGCGTCTCTGCTGAGCGCATGCGATTGCGTCAACTCTATGACCAGCAGCATGCTACCTAATTCTAATGCTGTTTCCGATTCGTAAGCATTATGGTCGAAAGCGTCTTTCATGTTCATGCCCATGTCCACAGACGATGCTGTTTCTATTTTCCATGCGTTGAGCCCAGGCGCCTTTCGCAGCAGTATTGGTGCAATCCCTGTCGCCACACCTGCACCTGTTTCGATCTCGTCAAGTCTACGACATAAGGCAAATCCCCAATTTATGCAAGTGCGGATGTTCCTTTGAGGGTGCTCACTTGTTTTGCAAATAAGATAAGAGCTTCATCCGTCGAGGGCAGCTCGCAGGGACAGCCATGCACAAAGGTGCAATGCAGCACGCGCATGTAGAAACACAAACACACACAAACCCAGACACGAAAAAGGTACACGGAGGCACGTAGAAGCACATGATTGGACACACACACATGCAAGCGTTTGCACATTAAAACTCAGATGGGGGTTGTGGAGGCTTCGACATAGTCCGCCTGGTTCATGCTGGCTAAGCGCCGCCGTTCTTGTTCCAGCTCATTTTCCAATCTATACATGCGAGCACCGCATGTGAAATTGCGAGAGCCACGCTCAGTCCCAAGCAGAAGGGCAGAAGGGCTGTGTGTGTGCATGCGTGCGCGCGAGTGAAAAAGGATGCTTCAAACTGACCTGAACACGAGAGCTTTCTGATCCAGACGTTGCGTATGGAGTCGAACGGCTGCCTTGGGCGAGGATTGCGGAGAAGAGAAATTCATCTTGACCGAGGTGCGACCACTGTTAAAGCGGCGCGGCGTGCCTGGTGATGATCGACTTGAAAGTGAGGCCGAGCGCTGGCGACTCGCATGATCAGTAGCCCCAAACTGTTTACACTGCGAGCAGGACGAAAACACAGACAAGGAGTATGGTGGGTGTTGTGAGTTGATAGCACACGCTTTGCCAACAAGGGGGACGTTGCACCAGGCATGCAAGTTGCACGTACCTGTCTTTGAAGAGCACCAGCATACTTTTTCACGGAGGTGGCTTGGGTGCGCAGCGTCTCCAAATGGACGTCGATGCCAGGCAAGCCCGCTAACCGGCTATCAGCCGCACTCGTCAGTTGAGCAATCAGGGCGTTTAGGTTGTTGGTGTGCGATTGCACCTTTTCCACGTCCTCATCCCCCTGAACGGCCGTGCTACAGGCATCGCATAACCAAGCAATGGCCTCAGCCACCTGCTGAGCCTGCAAAACGATGCCCTTGTCTCGTCGATAGGTCTTGCGGTAAAAGGCGCGTTTGGCCTCAGCTGGGCCCTCCCTGGTCGCCATGTCCGAGATGAAGCTTTGACACTTGGCTGCCGTCACGAGCATGGACTGTGCAGCTTTGGTCACCTCGGCTGCACCTTGCAAGATGGCCTCGTCCACATTTGATTCAGGGACAAGTTTTTCAACAAGCGCCGTCACGTCCTTGGCTCGAGATGATAGGTCCTAAGCACGCGACACACCATGAGGGATGACCACCTGTCGATCATTTCTGCGAGTGGGCACATACCTGCTTGCACAGTTCCATGACACCGGCCATGTGCATGTGCGTGCCCCGCTGGAAACTCAAGAGCACATCCTCATCAATGGTATGTTCAAGGACCTTCTTGATGCTGGCTTCCATGAACTGGGACGAGCTGCGCCGCTCAAGGGTGGGTGGCAGGGACACCATGCGGGTTGCCATGGATTGACGACCTGTATCATCGTCTTCTTCACGCAGCTCCTCGCCTTCGACATAGCTATCATTCTCTTGCTCGGTCTCCTCATCAGCCATGATGACGGCCAATTCACCGGCCATCATCGACAACTCCTTGAGGTCATGCATGACGCGGGGATAGGACGATGTCACCTACCAAAGCAAACAGACAGCGAGGTTGAATCACAAGCAATGTGCCTGCCAAACCCTCAGAACGACCGAAGATAGGACCAGCATCGCACCATGGAGTGAATTTCCATTTCGACACCTTGCAGCAAAGTCATGAGATGTGAGCTGAGATTGGCGCAAGATTCGAGCAGGCGGGCTTGAAGCTTCTCATGGTTTAGCAAAGTCTCACTATCAAACAAGAGCAACGGGGTCAGTGAGCAGGAGGGTCAGAGCCACGTTGAAGGATGGCTGTACACGAGTCAGGTCCCACGAAAACAAGTCGGTGCTTCTGGACGGTCCAATCTGAGTGATACCATCCTAGATGAGGCTTACCGAGCGGTGCGAACGGCCGTGGAGATGACTTCCAAAGCCATGGCTGAGGAAAGGCTGGCGTTGCGAATGACACCCAAGTCTCGAAGCCGCAGCAACTGCTTGTCGCTGTCTGTGCGCCTGCAAAAACCACGCGGCAAAATCATGAATCACAATACCAAGAGGAAGAAGAGAGCCAGGGGCAAGTGTGTAGGTGCAGGCTCAGACAACAGACAAAAGGTCGTACAAGTATTCGTCGAGGCCATCGCGCAGCACAGTGGCTGAATCCTTGAGGGCAGAGACACATGCTACCAATTCATCGGAGACAGTGTGCTTTTTTTGCACGCGCAAAGAGTCTCGCGAGTTTTTAATGTACTGAGCACATAGGGCAACAACCGAGGCCTCAGACGCATGTGCGTCTGCCAGCACCTGTATCGATATCAAGATTGATTGATATAAGCGCGGATGCAGAGAAGTGCCCATAAGCACGGGCAAGGAAAAACAATGAGCGCGCGAAGAATGTACAGAGGCCAGGTTGGCTTGGGCAGCAGGTCACAACCCGACATTAGAGACGGGGAACATACCTTAGCATCGCTGCGATGGCGTGCTTGCAAGCGCGAACCATCGGTCAGCAAACCACGCGAGGCGCCATCAATGGGAGTGCTGCTCCGGCTGTCAAGATCATCTGGGCTAGCACCACGTTCATCTGAGGCGGCAGATCCCGTGTTGACCGCGGCGCTGGTGGAGGCGCGACTCGTGCGTCGCGACGAGCCCGTGTCCTCCTGCCAGTTCTCGTTGGGGTCAAAAAAGAGCAAGGCCACATCTTCGGGCACCTCAGCTTCGCCGTCATAGTCGGCGTACGCTTCGCGCATCTTGTCCATCATATCCTCAAATTTTTCTGGTGACCATAATGTGGCGACCTTCATCTGAGTGTTGAGGACCTTGACAAAGGGCTGCCCTCCTTGATTGATGATACCAAAGCGAGTTTGCTGTTTCAGGTCGCTTGCAATCTTGTTGGCTTCCTGAATGTCCTTGCTCAAGGCCACGACGCGGTGAGAATCCACGTTGGCACTGAACTCGGGCAGATTTGGCGAGGACGCTAGGGCCTGGATATTGCTGCGCGTTTGCTGATACTGGCGGTGGTCAGTCTTATGCATTGCCTAGCCACCCCACCCCATCAAATACAACGTCAAGGCCAGGCCAATTTTTCGGCGAGGCGCGCACACAACAGGATATACACTGGGGGAGAGAGTTCAGTCAAAGCCACGCCCGAGATCACAGATGCGGCAAAAGGCTGACAAACCTTGAGCAACTCTAGCTCTCGCGCAATCTCGTGCTTATCGGCCATCAAGCGTTTGACCAGCTGTTCCCTGTCATCAGCACTTGACTCTCGATCCTCCATGGTCTGACAAAGCCCACAATCGCACGGTGAGCCAGCAGCGCAAGGCCGTGCCTCATGAGACCACGTCCTTGCCGGGGCCAAGAACATTCGCGGGGTCGGGTCAAAGCAGGTACTGTGTCTGTCTGAGCCCACGACCTGCTCTAGCCTGTCAAGCGCACATACTTTGAGACGCTTTTCGTATTGTTGTCGCTGTTGATCTAGCTGTTCTCGTGTCTGCGCTTCGGCCTCCTTCAAACGCGACTCGAGCTCTTTGCGCTCTGACTCGTTCTTCTTTTTCTCGTCTTCCAACTCTTGCTTGAGCTGAGCCGCTTGCACCGACTCAAGCTCTTCTTTCGCAAATTCGTATGACTTGGCGGCTTGACCGGAGCTCTGCGCGCGCGAGCGGCTGCGGTGACATCATTAATCAACTTGAGTGTTGTACAGGGAATGGGCTCACCGTAAGGACATTTTGTTTTTTCACTCGCAGCCCTACCTGGTGCTCGGAATGTTGAGGCGGAAGAAATGACGATTGGCCAGGACGAGGCGATCAGAGTGGTGCAGGTCGTGAACCTGGCCAGCTCTCAGCTCATGGCCTGATCCCCATTCGTGAGCAGCATTCCACACACGCACCGGCAGGCGCAGTGCACATGGGGAAGATAATGAGGAGTTTAGCCAGGCATGTTCAGATTGATGTCAAGGTTGGAGCTCAGAACTCACCGTTTATATAAACCACAGCGTCAGGTTCAACCGTTATTTGAACCGTATAATCACTCTTGTCCGAATCCCGAAGGCATGTGAGGGTGCAGTGGTGCTTGAGCACAAGAGCACCTGTGAGCTCGATGTCCGCCGTATCCGAGCTCCCCACGGTGGTTGAGCCTGAGCACTTGGCGTCGGTGAGATCACTGCCAGCCACTAGGATGATAAAGTTGGTCAGGTAGACAAAACAGAGACAAAAAGCCCGCCTCTCCCACCTGGTTTGAGCATATAAATGAGCATTTCCGAGAGCTGGGGGTCCTCGTTGAGATTGACAAGGTTGGGCAGGCTATTGTCGACCTTGCGCACGTCCTTGGCAACGCCTTGTGCTTCCATGGAGCGAGCGTTTTCCTGACGCATACGTTCAGCTTCGCGCAGCTTCTCTTCCCAAGAACGGTTCATGGTGGCCATCAGTGCCTGCGTATCAGCCAGCTTTTGGCGCAGATGCGTAACTTCTTGATAGCTATTGACGCTTGCGCCATCTCCAAACTGGGCACGCAATTTTTCAATCTCGGCTCGGAGTTCGCGCACAAGCTTGGCGTTGGGGTCCTCGTTGATGGAGGCATCGTTGATGATTTGTCGAGCTTGGTGCGCATATCTGGATCGACACGCAATCAAGCACAAGCAGTGACATCATGGTGAGACATTCTTGCGCCAAACTACATAGAACCGCAGTTGTAGCGGCCCACATGGACAGGCCACGTCGGTGCAGAAAAGAAAAGAAGCAGCATAGCATCAAAGAAATGGGCAGTGGGGGTGGGGCGGGGGGCGTGGAAAGCCGAGTCTGATACCGAGACAGGTACTGCCCACATCAGTCTCGCATTAGTCGGAACAGGCACGAACCGGAGTGTGCTCAGGGTTTCGTCGTAGTTGACGAGTGCAGGACTAATGGTGGCGAGCATGGCTGTGCGACTGTTGCCTCCCAAAGACTCCTTAAGGATCCAAGTCAACACGCTGTCACGGTATGGGATGAAGATCTGTCCCAGTGGCCACACAGGTATCCGGCGTCAGTTGATTGTCCACGCAGTCATGTGATTAGCAATCCATAAGCGCGACAGCTTGTGGGCTAGTGCGTTGGGGCGAATACGAAGAACGTACGCTCTTCTTCTTGGTAGCCTTATCGGCCAAGAGAGAAATGACTTTGCCCAGGGTGTGCAGGCTCTTGTTGATGGCTGAGCCTTCGCGCAGGCGCTGACCAGTAGTGCCAGCAGCATCTGCACGCTCTGAACCTGCCAGGTCCACAAGGTTGACCTTTGACACTTTGGTATGTTCGATGTCGTCTGCATCCAGCTGTCATCGAGGCAGAGACATGTGTTGAGGGTGGCAGCACCTAGGCTCAGAAGAAGTAGGCGCGACAGGCCACGCCATACACAAAGCAAGGACCAACCTGAGTCTGTGTAACGAGCATGGTGAAGACGGCATGCGAGCGCGAGGATGTGGCGTTCATGTTGGTGGAAGCTGTCGCACGGTGTTTGCTGCCCACAGACAACCAAGCTAAAGGAAACAGAGAGACAAGTGAGAGTAGCTGCATGGTCGCCTTATGATCAACGAGCACGGGCCGGAGTACGGAGGGCGAACGCACCCTCAATGTCCGCAAAGTTGAGGGCTGCATGCATGGTCAGCTTGTCCACATATGGACCCATAACAGGATGCTCACGCACGCGTAATTGCTGCCAACGCCGGTTCAGCATGAGTGAGGACTGTTTTTCCAATATTCAGACTGAAAACAACCACGCTGTTCCCTCTCCTACTCTGACTGTTGTCCCAAATCTGTCTCCTGAATCGAAGACGCACCTGCATGCGGCCGGATTTGACGGTTGGTGCGAGCAGATCATAGATGCGCTCCGAGTAGATTTCAAAGTAGGAAATCTCGACCTTGACGACAACCTAATCGACGTCAAGGAACACAAGATCCAACAGGTATTTTCAGTGGTGGCAGGTGCAGGGAAGGTGAGCAAGAGACAAAGGCACCGGTACAACTGGACAAGGTCTGCGATGACTGGCAGAGGTTCCCACCTGCTGGCTCTCAACTTGTCGGGCATAATCAAAGAGGGCTTCGCAGAAGCGGGGAATAAGACCACGATGCTCAGAGTCGTTGATCTGAGAACCCGGGGGTCCCATCATGGAGTATGATTTGCCCGAGCCCGTCTGCCCGTAGGCAAAGGCGGTGACTGTGCAAGGCGGCATGAGGTGTTTACTGAGCATTGGTGACGATCATCAACACTTGAAGCGGGGCGTTGGCAAGTCGGTACCATTGTATCCTTGAAGCGAGCGATCGAGTAAGGGCTTGCCAATGTGTTGGTAGATATGCGCCTGCGATGGTTGTTTGCGGGTGGCGCGATGAAAGTTGGTCGTAGATCAAGCAGGGCTTGTGCAATCGAGTGGCCTGGTGGCGGAGTCAAGCGGGCTAGTGGGCTGACCTGGTCAGCAAAATTGGCGTCGTTTGCATTATGTGACCAGAAGGAATGATCGAAGGTAAAGCTAAAGGCAGCGTGACCATCCGTGTTGGTTGGTTGTATGAGAGAGTGTACGCTCAATAGGAACACACCAACAACAAAGAAGAAGAAGCAGAAGTAGAAGAAGAAGCAGAAGTAGAAGAAGAAGAAGAGGAAGAAGCTGAAGAAAAAAGAGGGCGGCGGCTTTTGTCGGTTGCAGTTGCGGGGTGTACCGTACGTTTGGCCTTTGCCTTTGTCCGGATGTGTCAGGGTGGTAGATTTGCCCTCCATGGCAACAATGGCATGTGACTGCATCCCTTCCTCGCTGTGAGGCCAGGAGTCATTGCCAAAATCCGGTTAGACATTATCAGGAGATGGGGATGTCCACAACTAGGATGCGGCCAGCCTTGCGTGGGCTGCGATGAGCGCGAAAGCAAGGGCGTACCGCTGATTGGCTGGACGCACACGGACACAAACGATGACGTTTTGCTGATCATCGGCGGTTGAATCTTCCAGCGCAAACGCCGGCCCTACTCTAGGAACGACGGGTGTGCTCGGGGTGACGGGAGAGCTAGCAAAGACTGAGTCATTTGGAGACTCGGTCCTGGAAGTGGCCGCAGCTACGCCAGAGGGCGCAGCGGAGGCGGAAGGCACAGCCACATTGGAGGGCAATTTGTTTTGCAGCGAGGCTGAGCGGCCCACGCGTGCAGCAGAGGCAGTATCACTGCTTATTGACGTGCGTGGCTTTGCTGCTTGCGGCGCAGATGGCAACCGCCGTCGTCCACCAGCAGCGGGCGCGCCAGCACTGGCCCGGCTACCTAAAAAAGAAGGACAGGTGCGGTGAGAACCATGGCGTGCGCTGTCAACTTTGTTGAGTCATGTCATGGGTGAGCGGGGGAACAGGTGCAGCGCTGGTCGAGGGCGAGCATGCAAGGAAGCCAAAAAAAAAAAAAAAATCAGTGTACCTAGACGACTGGCCATGGCGGTTGACGAAAAGCCAGGTGCACGGCAGATTTGGAAAGTGACGAGGATACGCGTGCGCTTGTAATCGGGTCGCGGCGCCTTCGGGCGCTAGCTTCAGCGACGCATGGGTTGTTAGCCTAGCAATGTTGAAAAAGCCAACTGACAGTGAGGCTCTTGTCCAATGCGACGATCAGAGGGTCGGCGTAAGACTGAGGAGACCACAGAAACGAGCACAAGCACAAACGCAAAGACGAAGATGAAGACGGAGCCGGAGACGGGCACGGGCACGAACACAGAGGCAGGATGCCAGCCAGCAGACAAGGTCACAACTGCCCCCGCCCTGACTTTCCCAGCCAGCAGTTGAGCATACGCAGGCTTTCAGAACACAAGCACGCCGGCGCGCCCATCAATGGTGAACAGCCCGTAATGTATGTGTGCGTGTGTGTGTGTGTGTGTGTGTGTGTGTGTGTGTGTGTGTGTGTGTGTGTGTGTGTGTGTGTGTGTGTGCTCTTTCATTGACTCCGCCTGTCTGCGCTGCCATCAGTCAAACCTCCTCTCAACCTCGTCGGTTCCATCATCAATCACTCACAGA